TACTTTTGCTATATTATTTGCTTGAGTATTTTGAGCATTAAAGGCTCTAAAAATAAATGAACTGTTTTTAGTTCCGCAGAGCCTGCACTTTTAGTGTTTTGGTGAACATAGTCTGCACATTTTATAAAATTTAGTTTAATTATCTTCTTTTTATATTCGCTGTATTTATTTCCAGTTCTTCTAAAAGGCTATTATCTTACAACAAAAATATATAATGCTAATTTTATAAGCAAAAGGAATTGATTTTAACTGCAACTTCAGGTGATTATTAACTTGATTCTTACATTCCTAAACAAGTTTACACATGATCTGTGTGTTTGATGGTAATCCACAATGATACTTTGTATTTATAAAATCATTTTAACCTATTTGGAAAATCAACTGTAGATCCAAAACATTTATTTTTTCCCTATCATTGCAGAATGAAGATGGTGGCTTAGCAACATATGAGCTTAAACGATCTTATGAGTGGTTGGAGGTAGTCTTCTCTCAATATTGGCCTATTCTCCTTAGTTTTAAGTATATTTTCTTTGTAAGGTGAAACATGTTTATCTTCCCATAGGAAGAACAAAATCCTTACTTTTTGTTTTAGTTTAGAGGCAGGCTCCTTGAGCTCCCTTTATATATTATGAAATGTGTTCTCTCATAAATAAATTTCAACTATAGTATAGTGTATCTTCAATTTCACTAAAGTTTGGCTGTAATAATCTCTTTCTATACTAATCAATTATCATTAAAATGTTAGAAATAAACACGTAGACTACTGGAATTTCATATAACTCAGTGCCCCAACTAATTTTTCCAATTCATGTGTCAGGTTGTCCAGCTCAAGTTTTTGGATTGATTCTATAAAATCAATTAAAAGTTGAATCATTGTTTAAGAACAAACTTTTTCTGGTTTTATTGGAATGAAAAAGTTTCAGAATTATGGCTCAATAGTTGATCCTGAGAATTTGGGTAGTTGTTTTTGGATTAAATTTAAGATATAAATACACAATGTTAATAATGCCCTCTCTGTTCCCAGATAATCAATCCTGCTGAAACTTTTGGCGACATCGTTATTGATTATCCGTAAGCTATCAAATGCTTGTCGAATATAAGTTTTTGTATCCATCTAATTCCATCTACACCACCATTTCAAATTTTTTATCTTTCTAATGTGTCCTTATCGTATGCTCTACAGTTATGTGGAATGTACATCAGCAGCAATTCAAGCTTTGACATCATTTATGAAATTGTATCCTGGGCATCGTCGAGAAGAAATTCAATGCTGTATTGAGAAAGCTGCTGCCTTTATTGAAAAAATACAAGCTTCAGATGGTTCATGGTTTGCTCCTCTCTTTTGTGAAATACTTTTTTCTTTTCTATTGATATTATAACTTCTCTTTTGGTATTCACACATCTCAAGTTTGCTCTACTCATTTTTCTGTCAGCTTCTATTTCTGAATAAATTGAGCTTTGTTTGTTTAGTAGATCTGTGACCACTCAAATTGCTAAACAGGTATGGTTCTTGGGGTGTTTGCTTCACGTATGGTACTTGGTTTGGGGTGAAAGGGCTGATTGCTGCTGGAAGGAATTTCAGTAATTGCTCAGGAATCCGTAAAGCTTGTGAATTTCTGCTTTCGAAGCAGCTCCCTTCTGGTGGCTGGGGAGAGAGTTATCTGTCGTGTCAAAACAAGGTCAAATATAATTTTTTTTTTATTCTGCAATACATACCAAGCTTCTGCTTGTCACAGTCCCACTGATCATTGTCTTTTTTCCCTTTAAATTAATGCCTTGGAACATATATGTTCTCTTCGCCTCATTAGAATGCATACAAATATGGCTCAATGATTTGCAACCATATGGGTATTATAGAGTGTAAAAAATGAGAATGGATTTAAATCAACATGGCAATGTGTTTGTACAAGAAATAATATCAAGAATACTAGATTGTTGGGTCCTAACAAATTCTCTCTTCAGCTATAACCTAGCTCCCACCCCTAATACCTTTGGATGTTGATGTCAACTTAGTTGGCATGAGTGGCATCAAATGAAGGGTTTGGCATGAAATGTTTTCAGCTAGTGATATTCATACTTGTGCAGTTGGTCAAAGCTGGGCTGGTCAACCATACTATGAAATTAATATCATTAGAGGATTTAGAGTTTTAGAATTGGTTTTGCATACTAAAGGAAGTGCAGTATCATCTCAAATTTGCTGTGTAAGACAACTTTCATATATTTGTTCCTAGAGATATGGAATCTAGTATGTTATGGACCTGTATAAAAACATATAAAGGGAAGCATAATTCAAGAAGATGAACATAATTCTTACAGGTCTAGGAAATGTACTTGTGCATCAAGTTTTTAAATTAACAGAGTGAGAATACTGGATTACTTTTGGCAATCTAATTGATGAGACTTGTGGAGTAATTTTTCTATCTATCGCTCTTTGTTCAGGTGTATTCAAATCTGGAAGGCAACAGGTCTCATGCAGTAAACACTGGGTGGGCTATGCTTGCTCTCATTGATGCTGGACAGGTATAAAGCAAACTTTACCACTTTTGTAACGATGCCATTGTGTTGATTAGTTTATTGTTGTGCAAAACCCAATTTTCATTTATTATAGGATAGTTAATCATTTTGACAGATTAATTAAAGAAAGGACCAGTCTGGTTTTCGGTTAAATAGCTAAGACATATCTATGAGATGGTCATGCGCACAGTAGTAAGGCTGCTTCATTGTAACCTCTAGATCACAAATCTAAATCTTGGAAACAGTTTCTCTACTGCCTTGTCCAAATATCAGTTGCAATTATTTATTAATATTAATATTATTACTATTGTTATTTTGAAAAGCTTACAAATATTTAAACACACAATATCATCTGTATGATAATCAAGGCATTTAATTTCCACCAAGCATGCTGTCATGAATTATGATGAATTGATGATTGCTTTGCACATTGCTACTATATAGTTTCTGTCCTATTCATATGATCGGGCATTTGATTTTTTACCAAATAATTGAATACATTGCCAATGCATTATGAGCATCTGATTACATCCTTAAATCTGACCCTTTAATCTGGCAGAGAAATGCAGAATAAAAATGATGTCTGATTGTACTTGTTCCCATGTTCTCACTAATAATTAAACAGGCTAAGAGAGATCCGACACCACTGCACCGGGCAGCCGTATATTTGATAAATTCCCAAATGGAGAATGGTGACTTTCCTCAACAGGTATTGAAGACGACCCACAATTTACTTTGTTTCCCTTCTTACTTGTATAGTTTGTACCCTAAAGCGCTAAATCATGTTACTTTACCATCAATTCAGGAAATAATGGGGGTCTTCAACAAGAATTGTATGATCACATACGCTGCATACAGAAACATATTCCCCATATGGGCGTTGGGAGAGTATCAACGGCATGTATTGCAGGCCCAATAATCTCGTTTTAGTTAGGGTTCCGTCTAAATTATTTTGACCTTTTATTTTTTGTTTTTTCATGGTTCTCTTAAAATGTTTATGACTATTGAGTTTGGTAATAGGGGTAAACAGAAAGCAAACTCGCGGAGAATGACTAAAAGTTTTTCGGTTACTCATAAGCGCCTCTCGTGCTTCCCATGCAGCAGAGGAATTAAATATAGGACCAGTTTGTTTCAGCTTTTGAAAAAAGTGATTTTTAAGAATATATACAAAAAAATTGACAAAATTTATTTTTAGAGATTTTATAAAAGTTAAAGTTACTTTAGTTCGGTTTCATTTATAAAAAATACCTTTTATGTTAGTGGGTAATTATATTTTCAGCCTTTTGTCTTTCTGTAAGTTCTTCAAAACAGTTTCTCTAAGAAAGTTAAAATCATAATATTTTCAACTTCAATATTTTTAAAAACAGCGATTATTTAAAAAAAAAAAACCTTTTGTATGGCACGCATCATTTGGCTCGACGAACTCAATGTTCTTCAGCAGTTGGTTCAAATTGTTTACGTTTAGAAATAGAAATGTGTGTTTATAATCTTTAATGTAAGGTTGTGTGTTGCACTAATTTTTTAAGGATTTATTTGGGAAAATAGGATGCCGATGAATAGGTTAAGAGAGCAAAAATAAGAGTAAAAAGAAACAGCTTGACAGGTTATTATATTGTTTGATGCATATTAGATAACTTATATATATATATATTTATGCTTTAAAGTTTCCTGTTGTTAATAATTTTTAGGCTCCCAAGCACGCACTTTACTAATTTTGTGCGTCTTTAGTTTGAAAACCTCTAAATTATAATTTAAGCGAAAATTTGTATCTTATAACTTTTAACTGAATAATGATTATAATTTTCAAATATAAATAACATATACTCTATTTACATATTGTTACATTGCACATAAGATTTTTGTTTTTAAATTTTATTTATAAACTATGACTTAAATTTTGTTTGAGAGTTCGGGGAAAGAAAGAAAAAGAAAATGTTTGAAAGGTAAAAGAGGTAAAGAGAAGGGAAGAGGAATGTGAGTTAATTAAAAAAAAAAAACTCCTAAACTGAATTAACTTAAAAATGTAAAATTATAGAAGTTTTTGAAGGTTTATAAACACACACTCTTTTATATAAAAACTCTTAAACACATCACACAAATATTCTCTTTCTCTTAAAAATCAACTCCCAAATAAGTCTTAAATATGAAAAGAATATCAATAATATAATTCTTTTTTTTGGATACAATAGGAGAGATGGGAGTTTTTATTTTTTTGGTGAACACGAGAGACGGGAGTTGAAGAGGGAGCGGGTTGATCGTGACCATCACGTGATGAAAAAAGCCCAAATCTAAACCCAAACCCCAACCCAAAATTGGTGGGGCTTAAGAGTTTCACAGAGGGAAAACGCTCCCCGAACTGAAATTCGAATTCATGGATAGAGCGCGAAATTTGAAGTAGTAATTAATAATTGGAATGGGAGGCATGGAAATCGATAACGACAAGAAAACAATGCTACAAAAGTTGAATTTCTTTGCTTCTCTCTCTCACCTGACATCTCGCACAAATTTTCTTCTATAACTCGTAAAACACATGACTGACTCTGCCTTCTCTGTTTGCGTGCATGGAGGTGTGCACTTTGAGATTCTCTCTCTCTCTCTCTCTCTCCCTCCATATCTCCTCTCCCCCTCTATATCTCTCCCATTTTCAAAATGATTTGATTTTTGTTGAATGGTGAACGAGAGAATCAGAAGTGAAGATGAAAAAGGGACAGGGACAGGGACAGTCTAATTTGGAGCTAAAGCAGAGAATAGCGAGTGCGCTAAACAAGGTTGGGGATCGCGATACTCAGCAAATAGGAATGGAAGAGCTAGAGAGAATGGCGCATGGTATAAGGGCGGATGGTGTGTGGGCGTTTCTGTCGTGCATATTGGACAGCGACTCGGAGCCTAAAACGGCAATCAGAAAGGAGTGTGTGAGACTGATGGGAGCGTTGGCGACCTTTCACGATTCCCTCATCCTTCCGCATCTTCCCAAGATGGTTGGAAGCATCGTTAAGCGGCTGAGGGATTCAGACTCTGCGGTGAGGGATGTGTGCGTCCACACTGTTGCTCTTCTCGCCTCCAAACTAACCACTAACAATGAGAAGGCCTTTCTGGTTTTAGTGAGACCCATTTTTGATGCCCTCGGCGAACAGAATAAGCACGTTCAGTCCTCTTCTGCTTTCTGCCTCTCCACCATCATCGACAACACACTTGATCCTCCTCTTTCCCTTTTGCACAGAATGTTGACCAGGACTCTCAAGTTGCTTAAAACTCCTCATTTCATGGCTAAATCAGCTCTGCTTCAGTTGACCAGGAGCATTGTCCAGGTTTGTTGTTAGGGTTAGGTTTTATTTTTTAATGCTTCATCGACTCAATTATCGACTCCACTCGCCCCCGTTTTTCCTCTTTCAGGCTGGGGGCGCTCCAACCCAAAATCTTCTGTCCGCTGCTATTGCCAGCATCCAAGAGGCACTCAAAGACAGTGACTGGACTACACGCAAAGCAGCTTCCGTTGCACTGGCAGAATTTGCTTTGAGCGGTGCTTCTTTCTTGGCATGTTTCAGGGCTTCTTCTATTCAATCTCTCGAGTCATGTCGATTTGACAAGGTGCTTCTCGCTTTTACCTCTCCCTCTCCCTCTCCTCATTATCTGTGTCACGCACTTCTTCTAATTGCTTATTCCTTATATTTTAGGTCAAACCTGTTAGGGATGCTGTTTTGCAAGCGCTCAAGTATTGGACCATTCTTCCGCGCCCCCATACTCCTGAGCCTTCTGAAACTGGATCCTCCTCAAAAGGTTTACCTCTGCTATCTCTCTCTTTTATTCATTCACCCGCTTTCCATTTCTTCCTGTTCATGTTGTCTTCTACTTGTGCTTTCCACAGAAAATATATGCAGAGGTGATTCGTCTGATCTTAGTAGTACTACTGAATCCAGACAGAGGCATGTCAAGATCCAAAAAGTTAATACGAAAGCAACTATGGGAAAGATTCCTTTGTCTGTTAGGAAAACATTCCAAAATTATGTCAGAAACCCTCACCATATCAAACCAGATGATTGGCTCGTTGAAGTTGCAGTACCCAGACCTCATTCTGTGGTGGAATTCCAGAATGAAGAATCTGAGAGTTGTTCTGTCACTAAGCCGTTAGAAACAATGAGTGTTGATGTTACGAGCATGCAGGATGCTGGTTATGAATATGTGCCTATGGATGATAAGCAGGAGTGTTCTTCTGTCTCTAATCTTCCCACTGATAACTTGGACACCAAATTTTTATCTGCTTCTCATGACTGCTTTATAAATACTGGATTACAGAAGCCAATTGTAAGAAGCCAACAGTTTCGGGAAGAAACAAGTTGTGATGAACAAGTGTATGCAAATGAATGTTGTGATAACTCCTTAAAGATGCAACACCCTAGAAGCTCTGATTCCACTGTCACAGAGCCAAGTCGCCAAACTGCACATGAATGTTGTATGCAAATGGCTAATGAAATGATTTGCGTACAGAATCAACTTTCAGATATTGAGATCAAACAGACAAACATGATGCATCAATTACAGGTATTGTTCGTATTGTTCATGTGTACATGTATTGCATGTGATTCTAAGTTTCTTACTTTGGTGCTGCCAGTCATTTTCCTCTATGTTGTGCTTTCTTGAGCGTAGGCTTGCTTTGAAATTTTTTTCAGCAGTTTGACAGTCAGTAAGAGTTGATATGTTTCTCTCACTCATTTAGTAATAACTAAAGAAAAATATGATCTGTAACTTTTGGCTTGCATGAATAGACACACTGTTGCAATAAGGATTTTTAAGTGTTTCTTGTTATACATCACACAGTATATGGGGCACTTGACTTTGAACATTTGCAAATATTTTTTCAGACGTTTGTAACTGGCATAATGGACGTCCTTTCTACAATCCAGTCAAGAATGGCAGGCTTAGAGAATGTATTTGATAGATTAAGTCAGGAATCGTTGCGAGTAGGAAGACATTCTTATTCAGAAAACTCCAAATTAGGGAGGCAGAGCGAAAGTGTTTCTTCTCCGAGGTTCTCCACATGCACTCCAAGGCCATTTGTAGAAATTAATAATAAGCAATCAGTCTTTACGTCAGTTAAAAATTCTGAAAGTTGGGAGAGAAAGGCATTTTCAAGGAGCCAACCAAAGATTCAAGCTGGAGATAGTTTGGATATGTGGAAAAATCACAAAGTCAAGACTGGCAGAAAATTTCAAGAAAAGGATGTTTTGAACAGCCCAGCTAAGGATACAAAGAGCATGAGTTCTGCAAAAAATGAAGCCATTTATTCCTCTGCTACCGGAGCTAATGCCAGAAATGGTTGTTCTAAAAGTAATGGTAACTACTGGAAGTGTGTAAAACGTCTTGTGTGTGAAGGGGATCTAAACTCTGCATATATGGAAGCTTTGTGTTCCAGTGATGAACTTATTCTCGTTGAGCTTCTGAATAAAACTGGTCCAGTAATAGAAAGTCTATCAGTGAAGACTGTCAATGTTGTTTTTAGTACTTTAGCATCGTATCTTCAGGAAGGAAAATTAGTTAATACCATAATCCCTTGGCTGCAGCAGGCAAGTTCACTTACCTTCATTAATTATTGCACAACGATCTACTGATTATCATTTTAAATTCTACATTCCTTTCATTTTCCTTCGGTAGCATCCTTGAGATAAATGTACGTGTATCTAGGAGTCCCTTAGCTAATAACGAAAGAAGCAGCAAAGCATTAAAAGTTGTGGCTTCATGTCATTCATTAAATAGATTTTTTAGCAATTTGAATCATAATTGCATAATCATGAAATGGAGATGGCTAAAGTTGTCTCGCTTGAGTAGTCGTTGTAACTGTAGCAGGATGGAATATCATATAAGATCACTTTTAAACTGTTTCTTAAATAGATTTACAATTTGCACAGATATGTTCATAGTTTTATAATATTAGAAAAAAAAATGTTCATAATTTTATAATATTAGAAAAAAAAGTGAAGTGCTCATAATTTCAAAATACAAGAAAGGAAGAAGCGGATGATCCCTAAGTCATGTCCTTGTGAAGAAAATGGGTAGGAATCACGCTTAATGGGTTCTGCTCTCCAAATTGTGGCTTCTTGCCTAGGCGATGAATGTCCAGAGACTTTGTTTGGCAGAACTCAGATTGTGCTTGGGCGTCAACCTTTTTGAGCCTAGGCGCAATGTTAAGCAGCCAAAGATTAAAACTTAAACCCAAATTTATCCAAAAAGAGCAGTAATAGAAAGAGAAAAGTAATAAAACTAAAATCTGGTCAGTAAATTCAATATCCCTATGACAAGCATTCTCACTTTCTTATAGTAAGTCAGGCACCTTTGTCTTTTCGGATTTACTACTATGTCCTACCAAATAACATTGGGAAATGTGTCTGATCCTTTATGGTAATCTTGATTTAGATTGTTGAAATGAGTACTATCCATGGACCAAATTGCATTGCTCTCTCTATTGAAGCCAAGAAACAGATTTTAGCGGCAATTCAGGAGGCCGTGAACCTGCATATTTTCGGTCATGCAGAAAGAAGGCATGCTGCTGAAGTAGTGATGAAATTACATCATATATGGGGTAATATTACTGAAAGTTAATATTTTTGTATCTGACAAAAAAAATCATTTATTTTGTTAGGAGTCGGATCTCTTTCCTGATTGAACTCAAAATGCCAGTTCTAGTTGTTTGTATTTTGTTAGATGGTGAATGTTGGGTTTTGGGAATAATCCATTCATAGTAATTAGTTGTGAAGTTTTCTTTTCGGGTTGGTTGCTGTGTACAGGAAAGGTGGTATCTTCCCTGTGTACTGCATCTTCGTGAATGGAAGTGAAATTATGTTGTATAATTTTTTAATGTTTATTGTATATTTAGTATTAACTATTACTAAATTATAAATTTGAATCATTCCTATTAAATAAGAGTGTTTTTAATAGGTTATTCTCGTCCTTTTATATTACTTATACATTAAAGATTTTTAAACTTGTATTCCTTCAAATATGACTTAAATTTAATTTAAATTTTGATATACTATATCAACTTTAAAATATATTTTAGATTAACTAAATTTTAAAATTGTAATTTTAATCAATTATAATTTAGTATTTATATTAAGTTTTGATACATCATATTGATAAAGATGAGGCGTGCAGGGTTATTAGACATGAATTGGCTATTGATTTGATTAAAGAATTGGGTTATTAGGTTTAGGTGTCTAGTTTGCTATTGGCATTGTTGTATTAATAATACAAGGTGGTTTAGTAGATAGTGCTTGACCTTTTATTCATGCTATGCTTTATACATACTAATTAAATTAAATTTAGCACTATATGATTTAGAGCGCAATGAGAAGTGAGGATTGCTAACGGTTCAAGTTCTTCGTTATGCAAAATTTGGAAAATTTAAATTTTATATATAAATTGGTCTGGTTCAACTTGGGTCGCCAGTTCAAGCCGATTTGTGACGGTTCAACTTGTTCCACAAGTAGAAATGGTTGGTATTATGAATCGGATTGGTCATTGATCTGGATCAAATGCATATTGATCTCTTTATATAAGGTTTTATGTCATTAATTTCATTATGAATTTTATTAATAATCTATATTAAAAAGCTGATTAAAATAAGTTTCAAAAAAGTTCTATTTTATAAGAGGCATAAATTATTTTTATAAATTGTTTATTAGTTTTTTCAAATTTTTACCTAAATTTGTTATTTTTATCAAATCCTTGAGTGCATTTCTTTGTCAAGGAAGGGTGTATTTGGGAGTTAATTTAAAATGATCAATTATATTTTTACAATCAATCTACAAATTTTTTTTAAAACAAAACAAAATTAACTTAATTCATTTTTCTCCTCAAAACTACTCAATTTGAGAGAGAGAGGAAAATAAAAACTAATATGGAGTGTTTATAAAACTTTTCCCTCCCTTTCTAACCCCAAGAATCCCAAACCAAGAAAAGATATTAAAAGCCTTTTTTCTTTCTCTCATTTCTTCTTTAATTCATTTCTAAAACATTATCTAAAAGAAATAAATTTCAGGAACGAAATGTTTGAAAATATTATTATCTAATATTTCAATTAACGACTAGTAATTTAATTGAAGAAAATAATTCGAGAAATGGAATTGCCATTGTGAAAGGTAACCACAAAGCGGATGAACATCGCGAAACATACATTGATTAGATCTGTTAAGTGCTAATGTTTTATTCCACTTTCAATAGTCATCATATTGGCAAAACTTCAATAGGATCATGATGTAGCACAAATCTTATAGAGGATATGCATAAATCATTTAAAGTATTTACTGATTTTATTAAAATCATTAACACCTAGCATGTATGGTTATTGTTTTTTCTTACTTTAATATTTTGAGATAAATTACTAAATTAAGAATACTAGCTATTAAAGGAATATATAAAATGGGATATGGGTAATGATTCAATAGTGGGCAACCTCACTCAAACCATTTTGTGTTCCTGGTGCTGGCTGGGCCTCCTCTTGTTACGTGTTAGGCTGCCCTAGAGAATTGGAGTTCAGGGAATTAATCATAGTCCAAGAGCTATATATCTTACTAAAAAATGCAGATTAAACGGAAGAGACTAGTGCCATTTATTCATAGAAAAGGAGATTAACTTGAAATTGAATAATTTTATATATTATGCTTCAGGTTCTTGAGGAAAGACGAATTGTTTCACAATTACACTGGATATTTTTAAATAAAATATTTTACATTTTGTAGGCAAATATAGAATTCATAGAAATAGAAATTGAACTACACATCTTTGAGTTGATATGTAGTTTACAACCAAGCATTTAAATTGATGGAAGTCAAATTGAGGCATTCGGTCCTTGTTCACACACTCGGTGACGATAATCTCCCAGAGCCCATATGGGAAAGATGTTTCGATACGATGAGTAGTTAAGGGTACAATTCCTCATAAATGCACCTGTGATCTCCTGTAGTTGTTTTTGTTGTCAGTGAATAAATATACGTTTATGAGAGAACCATGCATACGATGATTAATAATAAGTGCTAACTAAATCTGTTTGTTTTTCTGCAGTTGAAATGAATTACCTGCTGTGGGAAGTCTCCATCTTCCATTTGTGAATTGATTAGTAACTTTATTCCACGGTGTATGGGTGTTGGATCTATCTCAGCCTTTTTTCAAGCAAAACATTCACAATTAGCACGATAACATACTCTATTAATCTGCTAAAAAACATCGTTCTTACATTTCGATTTGAAATTATTTGATACCATTTTATTTTTTTTTGGAATAAGAACTATGTGATAGCTTACTAGTAGTCTAGTACTTCCATTCATATCATGCAGATCATATATTTCAATATTTTTCTTCATCCTTGTACGTGTTTGTCATGAATGAAACATCATTACCCAAAAATTAAGCTGAAATCAATTAGAGGCTTTCAAGTACGTTTATCTAAAAAATCTAAGTAATAATTTTATCTCTAACAAAGGATGCATTGAGCTTCTTTGCAGGTTTTCCCATAGGGCCTGGAGAGGTTTAAATTTATGATGTACTAATTTAACAGTTAAAAACATAGAGTTTTATTGACTAACCTGCCCTGCAGCAATAAGGGACAGCAAAGCCCATGAACTCTGAACTAAGTTTGCACGGTTATCTTCTAGATTTGTATAAACCTATTGAAAGGAAAAAGCATGCGAGTATAGTTCTCATGTATTTCTTCAATTCGATTACTCTATCTTCATAGTGTAGGGAAATATTCAAAACAAAATGAAGGGAATATACCTTGTTTTGGCTTGACAAGTAACTCTCTCCCCACCCACCGTTAGGAAGCTGTTTTGACAACAAAAATTTACAAGCTTTGCGTAGGGAAGGACTGTTATGGTAGTTCTTTCCACAGGCTCTTAGTCCCTCTACAGCAAACCAGGTACCATAGGTATAGCAAATACCCCAACAACCGTACCTGTTTTAAGTGCTTATCTATAGTAAATGATGAACTTGGTCTTTTTCTAAACCAAATATATAGCTATGACAAGTTAAATAAAAGTTAAGACATGCCTATTATAGATACCATAACTGTAGCAGTTGCAAGTTATCTAGTGTGTCATAGAAAAATTCACATTAATTTGAATGGTAAAGCTAGAACCAATAATTGTGCTGTAGATTAGAGCGTAGTGCATAACATTAAGTCAATAGTAAAGTAGAAGAGAAAAAATACACAATACCAGGAGCCATCGGGATTTTGAGTGTTTTCAATGAAACGGATTGCTTTGGAAATACTGTGATCTATTTCCTTTCTTCTGTGCTTTGGGTATAGCTTTCTGAAGAGAGACAAGGCTTGCAGTGCTGATCCAGTGCACTCCACATACCTATTTCACAACATGGAACAAAGTAAGTGCAATATAGAGAGTGCAACAACATGTTTGTCACTGTAATCTTACTCCATCTCAATGAGAGTGTCCTCAAAGAATTCAGTTGGGTTGAATTTCTGCACATACAAGTTGTCACTTAGTTAAGGAAAAATCTTAATCTTATGTTAATTAGAGTGTATCTTGTATCGTCTTAGTTCTTACCTCTAACCAATGATAGGCTCTTTGAGGTTCCCAAGCAGCAAAACCCCCATTACTGCTCTGTAGTTAAACGGAACATGTAAGAGTTGGATCCAAGTACGTATATGTATATATATATATTCAAAGTTACAAACAGAAATTATAAAACCATACTTGTAGAGAGAGGATGACATTAACAGCATCATAGAATCGCTGAGTTTCCATCTTTTCCCCAACTAGATCAGTTGGCATTTCTGACAATAGGAGTGCAGCCTGTGCATAAATTTAGTTGCCCAATGTCAAACTCTAGTAACCAATGTGATATTAAAAAATTCAATTTTTCTAACCTTGTCCAGAATAAAAAGTTATATATAATAAATTTTTATTAAAAATGATAGCATTTAACAGTAAAATTGCATTAACATTTCTAATTTTTAATAAAAGTTTATCATATATCCTATATGTAATGTTGTGGAGGTCAGAAAGTTCGTAAAAAATCTACCGACACTCCTCCCCCACTTATTTTTTATTTTACTTTTGACAATGTTAATTTTGGTCCACGATAATTAACATCACATTTATTCTCTATCTATCAATCATTAATATTTTGGTGCATTTGAAGAACCAAATAAACATAAATAGATTAATTTGATAGAAGTTGGATGAACCTTGAGTCCTTCTGCGGTGCAGTCAGAGACTTGCCAACCATGATCGTGCATTGAGAAAGTCCATGATCCTTTTGATATGTGTCTGTACATTGCTTTGAAGTCACCAGAAGGGTTTTCAAGGACCTTAAAAGAATAAAAATATGGCATTGAAGTCCACTTTCAGCACTCATTACGTGACAGAAACACAGTTTGTTAGTTACCTGCGAAGCCTTCACGAAGTCGTGTGCTTTCTTAAGTGTTGGCCCATACTCTTCACTCACACTACAAGAAAGAATCGCCTGTATAGCAAATGCTGCATCCCACATCTGGGATCCAAAACTCTGCATTCAATTTAATTAAGAACCACTGCCACTCAATAACATTCTTCACAATTAATGCAGATTCTTGTATATAAACCTCTGCAATGTTCTCATTAATTTAATTTAAAGTGGTGTCATCATTAATTCAATTGTGAAAATAAACAATACTTGATTAAGTGTATATATCTTTGATTTTGTTTATTTTTTTAAAATAATTGTATATATATTTTTATCAATTTTATAAAAAAAATTATCAAACATACACTAAATATCTGGTTCACATTTAGACCATGCTGTTTGATCTGATTTTAACAACATTGGATGAATGCACTAAATTACTAAAGTATTGGCACATCATTAATTTATACTGAATAAATGTCATGTTTCTCAATGTATTAATAATGTGTAAATATTTCCCGTGATTTATTTGTTTGAAAAGAAAATACACAGATTAAAGAAAGTAAGTATATTTTTATTTATATAAAATTATTTTGAATTTTTAATACATCCTACAGTTATTTTTATTTTTTTTATTACAAATGCATAAAGTATTTTAAAATTAGGTAGAAAAAAGCATAATTATATAATAGTAATGAATATCATCTTAAACTTTTAAATATTAAACAAATAAAGATAATTTTTCTTTAATAAATAGGCGAATAAAAATAAAACAAGAAAAAAAATGCTTTATTTGTTCAGTAAATCCAATTTAACAACATTAAGTTTTTAAACTATTTTAAAAAAACTGTTATTTGGAGTGGTATTTGATTATTAAATTTGAATTTTTATTTATATATACAATTTTTCTATTGTACGTGTAACTAAACACATAAAATAAGAAATGAATTTTCAAGTGTTAATAGTCCTTCAGTGGATGTAATTAAGTGGTATCAATTGTCACTACTCTCTAAATATATTTTTTTCTCTAAAATAGTTATTATCAAATAGTTGAGTCAAACAGGTTAAATGCGATTTTTTTTTTTTTTTAAAAATCCCAACAATCTATTTTAATCTTAATCTAAATTTTTATAGGCAAATTATTTTCTGATTACCTAGCTAGCTATTTTTTTTTTTATTGAATTTAGTGTGTCGTAATCTAAAATAACGAAACCAAACACTTCATCGTACATAATTAAAATTATCGTCTAAATGTGTGTGTTTTAACGAATCTAATGAGAAGAATATTTAAATATTGGTTGAGTTAAGTAATTATATTAAAAGTAATGCTACATATATACCTGGATTTTCAAGCCATCTTCTGCAAGCCAGAAGTAATCAGGGATTCGAGCTAAATGAAGTTGGTATGCATCTGAGTTGGGGTCTTCAACCCAACGTGCAAGCAAACATAACACCTGCAATTTCCATTCAGTAAGAACAAACTTTGCTTAATTATGGATCAACCGTACCTGCTATATTATTTCAAGTTCATGATTGTTGTTAATTACCTTCTCTACACTTCCAATGCAAAGGTATCTACTGGTCTCATCCTCGTAACGTATATGATTGATTGCGATTTCTAATGCCTTCCGTCTAAGCATAGAAAAGGGCCAGCAATTCAGAAAACGCTCTCCCACATGATGAAGAAATCCCCATAACATATCTTGGATCATAGGATGTGGATAATAGAGATCCTCCTGAAATTCCACGCTATTTTCAGTTTCCCATGCATATATCAACAATATGAATTTCTCTCAACTACTTTTTTCTTATTCACTTGAAGGCATAATACGATCATTATTTGTATATGGTTTATTAAATTCTCTTTTATATACGTATTTCTTTTTTCATAACACGATCTAGCAAGTAATTAAGTTGCATGGAAGATTCAAATTTATCAATATATATATATATATATATATATATATATATATATATATATATATATATTTTCCTTCCATAGAAACTTGTCCTCAAATTGTACAAATGACCGTTCCTTACAGTGGTAGATATATATACTACGGAAACTTGTATTGACATTGGCCACGCCACAAAACAATCAAATACTACAATTACTATAGTAATAAATAAAGATTAGATAACCATTCTATGAACCTTAGCAACAGTGTTCCGGGCTTTATTCCAGTTGATTTGATCATAAGGCTCGTTGTACAGTTCTTCTCTCAGTGATCTGATTAAACCAGAGATGCGGCCCACGAACTTCTTCCCATATAAATACGACATAGGCATGTAAACCAATCGACAGTAGCACAACATTTTCCCTGCATATTTGGCGAATGTACTTAAGAAAAAAGCCAAGCAAATGGTTGCCAAAACTAGAGACACGTTTGAATAATTAATTATTTAATTACTTATTAATATATTTTTTTAGATGATCACTTATCGTATAAATATAAGTTATAAGCTGTTTTTCATGAACTCTTCTAAACAAGTTTTCTCATATAACTTTATTGACATTTCCTCTAGATACCATATAAAATATCAAATAAATGAATAGATAGAGAAATAAGAGAAAGCAAATTAAATGTAAAAGTGAATGTATACAAAGATTTGAAATAAGTATGTGTATGAGACAAACCTGGATGAATAGGGGTGCATCTGGGTAGAAGCCAGAACTCAGGTGGAAGTGGATTACAGCCAGACCACTCATAAACACCAAGTACCTAATATCATGTTTATTACATGTGAGTGCTTACTTTGATATACACTTGTCTAAAAGTGATAATAATAAAAATCAAATAGAAACGAGAGAATTAAGGAATTTACCGTGACCCAGAACTTTCCCCATGATGGTATAGCCACTAAACCACCATGGTCGAGGATCCACTTTCTGGCTTTGGCCATTGCCCTGTCCTCACCATCTTCAGGCCCTTCTCCAAGTACCCTCAAGGCAATATAGCTCAATGCTGATCCAAACATTGTGCTATGACCCTCTATATGGAATCCCCAACCGCCATCTTCATTCTGTCCCGAGACAATTTTAGTACAGAATTTAGATGCTTTTCTACTAATTTTTTAATAAAAAAATATAAACACTTGAATGATCATACCTCCTAGTAATACCAAAAAACCAAAAAACAAAAATGGAAACAAAGACAAAAAACTTTGTACTACGTGTCCGAAGTCATGAACAACATATTAGTTCTAATATTACTATTGCAATTAATTCAATTAAAATATTTGAAAATATTAAATAATCTCTTATTTTTATTTTAAAATATTTATATTTTATATGATAATTTTTTAATTTATTTGTTTTGTATTTCTTTGTTTTCTTTTTTCATATATAGTTTTGTATGTATAAGTGTCATTAGTCTCTTATAAACTATGATTAATCAATATTGTACTAATACTTTTGGTTTAAATAATATTTTAGCCTAAAAATATTAACGATTCAATAATTTCATTCTTTATTTTTAATTTTTTAAAAAAAGCGATTTAAAAAATATTTTTCTTTTTCATGTGTTTCTTCTATTAGTAGCGGGGGGGGGGGGGGGAGCTTAAACATATTTAAAGCTGGGTTATTTTTTTCTACATGTACTGATATTTTTTTTTATTTATGGTTCCATTCAAAAATGGGACTATCAATTGGTCCCCAAGTAATTAGTATAATCAATTCATGTTGAATATTTAAAATGGTTGAAGTTTTGTGGTCCGTAGGGATCAGACTTGTGTCATAGTGAGAAATAATATTTACATTGTTAACGGCTATTTAATAATTATGCATAAATATTTTTCATTATTATTATTATTATTATTATTATTATTATTTATGAGAATATCCTTTTAGTAATATTTATAATATATATTTATATATTTATGTAACAATTATATATTCGTTTCTTAAATTTTTTAAGAACTATTTTAAATATAATTTATGATAAATAAATAATATTTTTAATTATTGTTTAGATTAAAAGAAATCAGGTGAAAATTTGTTGTTGATATTTTACAATAATTTTAGCCATTGCAGATAAAAGAATATATAAACTTTTAAAACTTATTAAGAACAATTTTATTTGTTACTTTTATGAAATTAACTTGCAACAGTTACTGTCCAAGTTCAATTTCATATGAAATCAAACATAACTTTATTCAGTGCAAATAGACTTTAAAAACTGTGTTAAGTAGTGTGAGAATATTTTTTTTAGCATTTAACAAATTGGTTCTTGCCATTGCTCTACTACCATGTAAAACACTGATTTAGTTTGGTAGATTCATGTTGCTAATGTTAATTTTTACAAGTGAAAGGCAAGATAAATATACCTGATGATTATACAAATACCGAACAATTTCCTTCTTGTGTTCAGGTCCAAGAACAACATCAAGGGATTTTGTAATATATAGTGCCATTACCTGTACACATTGCATTTACAAAGATCAATACGAAGAGGGCCCAACAAAATAAGCATTAGGCTCCAATCAAGAAAAAAAGGAAAGGAAGAACAATTGATACTTGTTTAAAAATTGATTTCAATATAATAAAACACAGAAAAATGATTAATTGCGGTAAAATTGGAGCGCACCAGAGGTTGAAGAAAAAACAATGGGCCAGCTGAGTCGGCAGGCCAATGGCCATCATGTGCTTGAATTGATGAATAGAAACTGATAGCCCTTCCGATTGTAGCAATCAATGCTTCCGTCGTCACAGACTCTGAGTCTCCCATTTTCACTGCCGCTGGAATGGGGCCCCGCTGGTTCTCCTTTGTGAGCTGCATATATTGTCAATTATAACTACTCTTGTAAGGTTATTAGATTTAGAACTGCTGCCTTTTTTTAATTTTTTCACTTGACTAAGATTGAGAGTAACAACTTCCTAATACTAATATCTTCTATAAATAAGTAAAATAATCTTAATGTAAATTCTATTATATGACATGATCCCAAATGTAATTGAGTTGTTAATGTTTTCTTTTGGACTTTGTATTTGATGATGGTTCATGATCCACTTGAGTTAGGTCTGGCATTGATTTTTCTTTAGAGATTGTGCTTTGTTTCATAACATAATATATTTAAAAATCTTTCACATTTAAACGTTAATCAAATTTTTTTTAATGTAATTTTAAGTTTTTCAATCTAGATTGGTTTATTCTATTAAATAAAAATATAAGTTTCACTTTTATGTTAAACAACTTCAAAATACACTATTTCATTTAATTTGATTTATTAGTCCAAAATTAATATGACTAATACCCACGTATAGATATTGATTAATTTATTTCGCTTAATATTTTTTTATAAATAATTTTATTAATTTAATTTTTAATAAATAAGTTGAGTCTACAAAATTAAATTTTTATCAAATAGTTTTATTTTAATGTATAATTTTTTAAAATATAATACATATCAATCATAACTTTATGTTTGTTTGAAAGTTTAATTTATTTAAATTTTAACATTTATAATTATAAAATATTATATAATTTAATAATTGAATTAATAAAAATTTAATGTATATAAGAAGTTATTAAATATTGTACATAACTATAATTTATTATTAAAGTAAGTGAGTCTTTAAGGTTTTATAGTTATGATATATCAATGAGAATTGTTATTTGTTAAAAGAGTTGTTTAGAAAAAAAAAGGTTTTAAAAAAGAGGAAAAGAAAGCACAAATTTTATATTTTAAATAAATATATTTAAAATTAATATTTATTTAAAATAAAAGATATATATTAAATATATTTATATAAACTTAATGTATTAATAATACATTTCTTATTATAAGTGATATAAAATTATTTTAAGTTAAAACTAAAAAATATGTCCTATTTTTTTCCTTCAAAACTTTTTAAATATACTCTTAAAGAAATAAATTTTAATTATTAATTTAATTATAAATGAATAAAAAAATATAAAGACATGTAACATTTTAAATTGTTATATTATCATTAAAAACTTTTAATCTTAATTATTTATATATAAATGATTAAATTACCTTTTTCATCATACTTAGAAAAAATATTTCATTAGATATGTTATATGTATGGATTGATACAAAAATACTCAATACTACTTACAAGTATATACACACATAATAAGTATAATATATATATATATATATATATATATATATATATATATGGTAAGATTTTCTTACACTATTTGATTCTTTAATTTAATTTATATCTAATGATCAGTGAAATAATAAGTTATAATATGTTAGATGTAAGTTAAATAAAAAATTTAAATTAAGTGATAGATTATATAAGTTTTTAAACTTACAACTATTATAAGAAGATCTTTCATTTATATATATATTATTTTTAAAAAACTCATTCATACTTTTGATATTTTTAATTACATTAAATATTATAATTTTTAATTAAAGTTATTACAATATATACTTTTTATGAATTAAATTTTATTATCGTATTTTATTTTATCATTTATAATAAAATTATCAAAATATTTCATTTAGTTTTAATCTCAGTAATAAATTCAAATATAATAAAGCAGACACCTATTAAATATGAATACATAAAATTATTGTTCACATGAATATATTTAGATAGTAGATACGGACTTTTCAAAATTTTATCCATTATTGTTCGTATAAACTATCTAATTTCAAGCAATACACACGATAATTTTTTGTCCCAAAAGATATTCTAAATTTTTCTTTTTATTTTTTTAAATGTTAATCACTGTTTTTAAGGTATAGATTACCCAAAAATAATAATGATTAAAAATGTTTAATTTTATAATTTAATTAAAATATATAGCGTAATTTTTTAATTTTTGCGTTGCCATGTAATTAAAGATTTTCATGTTTTAGTTTTGTCTTTGATATAGGTTTTGTTTTTTCAAGTAATTGATAATGTATTTAATGTTCTTTAATGGTGGTTTTATGGACACGACAGTTTGAAAGAAATTAATATACTATATTTAGTACTTCTTAACTTTGGGTGTAGGAGAAAATACTAAGATAATTACTTAAATAATAAATATTTTATTTTTATAATAAATTAAAATATTTTATTTTTGATTAAAATTTAGTTTCAATCAAAATGGTAAGAATTTACAAGTATTTGTTTTTTTTTTATCATAATTTTACTTTTTGTTTCAAAATAAAGTTTTAAATTTTAAAATAAAAAAAAACATTTGCTTAATTCTTTTTTTTCCTATATTTTTAAATAAAAATAGGTTTAAATATATTTTTCTCTTTAAACAAACTTTAATTTTTTTATTTGTCCCTAAACAGAAATTGAGAACGAGTCCTTAACAAAAAAATGGAGAAAGTATTGACTAAACATTAAATTATAAAAAAGTAAATATTTGATGAAAATGAGTTGAAGTTATTTTCTAAATGATTTATGTGCAACTATCTGTAGAATAAATTCTCATCAATAAGCAAATTGCAAGAGCAAATTATCTTTGTTACTTTGTTCTTTTTATCGAAAAAACATTAATTATACATTGATTATTGATTAATTTTATAAAATAACAATAAAAAGTGAATAAAAAATTATTAAAATAAAAAAGTAACAAAAATATTTATGTGATATAAGTAATAAAAAAATTATATGTGATAATTTTATATTTTTTAATACCTATAATATTATATATATATATATATATATATATATATATAAAGTGTTAACTTCAAATTTTAAAAATAAATTTAAATAATTATTAATATTAAAATTTAGAAAAGTTATATATTATACATGAAAAATAAACGAGTAACTCACTAGCATAAATTTTATAATAAAATAAAGGTATAAACAATTTTAAATATTAATATATCTAAAAATAAGTTTATATTATTTATAAATTAAAAAAATGCTTATTATTTTAGCAATAGAGGTCGGTCTGAGTGGCAAGTGACTCGGTATCACTTAAGTAAAATATCGAGTTTGAATTTTTCATATGCAAAAGATTTTTGGTGATAAACTCATCTACTACATTCAAGTGTGATCAGATAAAAAAGATTTAAAATGAAATATTATATTTAAATTATTTTCTTTTTAATAATTTATTATATAAAACGATTTTTTATACAAGCAAATAATATGTTTTATATTACTTTTCTCCTTACATATTTTAATGAAAAAAATAATTTTTTTCAATATCATTTTAAAATAAATTTTTTTATACATAAAATCAATTATTTTAAATAAAAGAGGTTTATTTATTTGAAAAATAATTTTTTACTTATTTTATTTAATAATTTTTCATAAATTATTAAATTATATAATATTATTTCAATAACCAGATACATACAAAAGCCTGGAACCTAACACTTAAAAAAAAAAACAAACTTTAGGCATATATTATCTGAACCATCCCTTAATAAATTTAGATAAATCAAATATTCATAAATAAAAAAAATCTTATAATAAAAAATATCTATACTTTAACAAGTATATTATACGTATATATTTAATTAATTGATGAAAAATCATTACATTGGAAGATGCAATTCAGATTATTTAACTTACCTTTTAAAAGTAACTTTTAAATTTTTATTCATTTTTAAATTTATTTTTTAAATTTATTAAAATTAATCCACCTCTTAAGATATATTTACACGATTCAAGATCAATGAACAGTATATTTTAATTGTCAACATAATGAAAGTGTCAATTCATTTTGCATGTATTTAAAACATTAAATGCCTGATTGTTTTTGTATACATAAAAAATGTTGACTGGTAGATTTGTTTGGTTCGGTGGTAGTTGGCAGTTGGAAAGCAAAAGGTCGATGACATTATCGATTGTGATGCCGTTATCATAAATCCTTAAAGTGTTCTACTAAAAGTAAAATACAAATTAGTCTGAATATTCTTTGGTAATCTTTTGAAGATATACTTTCTAATCAAAAGATTTTCGCAACTAAAATAGAATGTATGAATTGTAATTTTAATAAAAATAAAATAATAATAATATAAAATGATAAAAAATTATAAAAATGTGTAAAATATAAATTAGATAGTTAAATAAAAATCTATAACTATAAAATGCTTGTTAAGTAAAAAATATATTATTTATTATACAATTAACTATTATATATAAATATCAGACTTTATAAAAATAACTTAAAAAAAGAGTTGTAAAAATAAAAATACTAAAACGCATCGATGGATTATACTAAAAAATTGACAAATAACAATAAATAATTGTATAGAAAATTAATGACTAGTTTTTAGTTCAATAAAAGTGATAGAAAAAGATTAAAAATATTAAAATAGAGTTAATAATGAATAATATATTAAATAATTTATTTTTTATTAAGCTTAATAATATTATAACTCATAACCAATCTCAAAATAAAAATTAATTCTTTTATTTAATTAAAGATAAGTCTTTAAACTTCTACGGGGAAATGGATAACCTAATTCCCTTCTTTATATCATCATATATTAGTGCATGAGGACAAGACATTAGTTTGGACTGATATATATATATATATATATATAACCTAATTCCCTTCTTTATATCATCATATATCAAAGTGCATGAGGACAAGACATTAGTTTGGACTGATATATATATATAAACACATTAAAATAATGAGATATATATATCTAAATAATAATAATAATAATAAAATATAACTATGAAAATAAAATGTAAAAAATAACTAAGTATTAAAATATATAATTGTATAAATATAAGTGAAAATTAATTTAGGTAAAATATATATATATATATATACACTAATTTTTTGATTTAATATATGCAATTTACATTACAGTGAATTAATTAAATTTATGAATATCTTTTCAATAAAGGCTGAAATAGCGCGCGCATACTGAATGGAATTATAAAAATAAAGTGAGAATATAAATGAAATTTGAAATTAAAAAAAGGGTGTATATAAATATAAATAGAATAGGTAAATCATATTAATAAAGACATGTACTTAACTATTAACTGTGTTATGAAGAGGGAGGTTAATTGAGTAATTTGGGAGTTGGCTAGCTAAAGTTAACATTTGAAGAGAAAAAATAATTGAAATTTACTGATAATAACACGCGAGACACGAGATTTAAAATCAGAAAATATATTTTGAAAATTATTATTAATAATTGTAATAGATAAAGTAGATGCTATACGTAATACGTGTAGCTGACTTACTTGCATTCTCATGAAGAGGTCGGCGCTTTGTTTAATAGAAAATCGGTTTTTTGTGAATTCCTGGCGTAACCTTTCAATCTCAGCGTGTTCTTGTGGGGTTCCTGCATTTGGATCAAATACCCAATGTTGACGCCCCACGAAATTGTTCACCGATATCAACCCTTCTCCTCCTTCTGCTATCTTCAACTTCCACATCTTATCTCTCTTTTTATTATTCCTCTGCCTTATTCAACAGAACTCTCCTGTATAACAGATTAATGAATAATAGATATAAGACGTACGTATATGAATTTGTAAACTAGAGCACACAGTTCCAGAACTCAATCTAGCTTAACCTACATTTACGTTAGTATCTTATCAAAAATGGCAAGCTATCCGTATACATAACCATGTAAAGCTATGCCAGGGCAGAGGTTGAAATTTCATACTATTAGTCACAAGATGAAACAACAAGATTCGCGAATCGTATACGTTAGCATTGCTGAGACAATTTGCAAAAGAAAATCCTCTAATATCTAATATAGACTACAGAACAGAAACTTACCCGTGTCTGCCACGCCTCAAGGGAGACACCTGAATGAAATCTACATACGTGTGTCAAGTTACTAGTCAGGGGCGTTGGATAATTATGCGTCCAGTTAAATCCTTTTATAAGCCCATGAATAATAGTGTTTGCGTGGAGAATATCTACAATATCATAATGATAACTATAGTAGTGTTTATCTATATTTATATCCATCTATGCATATAGACAATCTAATTAAAAATTCCCTCATTAAATAATTAACAAAATTTGAAATGCCATCAACCAATGAAAAATTGCTTAATATTCTTTTGAAGGATAAACATCTTATTAAAATTTAAAAACTATATCAACTAAAAAAATGTAACTTAAGAATTATTATAATTGTATATATGGAAATGAAGAAATGTTGATCTAACTCTTTTGAAGATACTTTTACATTCTTTGTCAAGTAAACGCTTTTCATTTTAGTCATTTAATATTTTAAACATATCGTTTGAAATTTTCATGCAAACAATTTAGTCAGCAAATAATTTTAATATATGTGCTTATTATTTCATATTCTATATGAATATTTTTGTTGTCTCACTAACAGTTATTACAATTTACAAGTAAATTTACACAGATATGCATATTTCAGGAGCAAAACCCCGAACATGATTGCATGAAATTAAATGGTTAAGATAGTTATTAAACTAAGGAGGAAGTTTCTCATTGTTTGAGCAATACGTACACAATGTTCGATTTAATTATTTTGTACCATCCCACTGATCAAGCGGTGGGAACTGCATAAGCTGTGGTTCTGGAAAGCTACACATATTGATATAAGAATAACTAAACCATCAATTTCATCTCCTGCATCAAGTATAAGTATATATATCACACCTAATACTCCCCAATTTTTACTAAAAAAAATCTAAATATATTTTTAGTTGTTTTATTTTAGTCTTTAATTTTTTAACTTTAATATTTGTTTTTATTTATAATGATAACATCATTAATTAAAAGGTTGTTATGTGTTTTTTTTTATCAAGTTAATGAGAGGGGATAAAAATGTTAAATTTTAAAAAAATCATATTAAAATTAATTATTTTGGAGACTAAGATAAAACGAAAATGTAAACACTAAAACATAATTGAATTTTTTTTATCACTAACTATCTAACCTTAAGATAAATTTTCACGTTAAAAGATGGAGGAAGGGGTTTTTACATAATCTGCATTAATTTAAAGTCATAAATGAATATTTTGTGAAGTCGGATAGATTTGATCATGAAACAAATTCTACTGATTAAATTAAAACGATTTAAGTAAGCGTCTTTGAAAGAATAAAATGTTATAAATAAAAAAGTAAAAACATACTTGAAATGTAGGATAAGCAAATAAAAAAATATTTTTTACAATAATTTTGTTCAAGAGTGAGGATATAAAATTTTAATATAACTGTTGATAAATTTTGAAGGTGTAGGAGAGTAACACCAGTTGAAGTGTGATTGGTAGATGCATTGCATGTCATGAAGATAATAGTAGTGCTAAGAAATTGAAATGGGGGTGTGTCAATGGATAACTAACAGAGGCAGAAGTATGTAATGTAGGGACTGAGACAGCAACGTATGCAAGTTTAGTGGTGATGGAATCACGCCACGACTCTACTTGCGAGTGGTGGGAGAAGTTTCCAGGTTGAACTCACAACTGGCTGTCAATGCCTTTAATGCAGGGATGTGTGTGGAAAAAAATCTCATCTAAAGATGTTCAGAATTATCAAATTATATTTCATAACTATGCCTTTTCTATATTTTTATTTTTAGAGTTGAGTTTAAGTATTTTCAATTATATTAAAGTTATATAATTATTTGAATATGTGTTCAAAGGTTTATAATGAAAAATATATAATTTCTTATTAAAAATTATTGAATATCACACGAATTAATGTAATAATACTATTATTCTTTTAATTTATAATAAATTTTTATTATTTATTAACTTTTTACTGTATGCTTTTTGATACATTAAAAAAATTATATTTTAAAAGTCATAATTTATTTTGATCTTAACTGGTTAAATAACTTATCTAATATTGTTTTAATGTATGGAAAAAGAAAAATAATGAATGATGTGATAAAGATGTCAGATAATATGTGAAAGTATTATATATATATATATATATATATATATATAGAGAGAGAGAGAGAGAGAGAGAGAGAGAGAGAGAGAGAGCATGAAGATGTATTTAATGAAAAAAAATTATTTAAAAATATAAGAACTATAAATTTGGAATACAAAATTGCACAATGTTAATTTATATTAAAGTATAACACACCATTAATATTTACTTATGTTAATAAAAAAATTACACAAAATTTTGTGAATTTGATATACTTAGTATAAATTATTAAATAAAGTTATTCATGACTTATTTATAGGGAAGTAGATCCTTTCTCGTATATAGTAAAAAGACTTTCTTAATATGAGAGATGAAATATAGACAAAGCTTAATCATACAAATATACATTAATACTTAATAATAATATTTTAATATGCATAATTATATTTAATTAAATATAATGATTGAAACACACGTAATTATTCTATCGTAACGATTATATATGTAATAAATATATAATAAAGTAATAGTACTTTGTTTATATTTTAAAAATATTTATGAACTAACATAAAATAACAAGATATTATTTTTTTTTAATAACTTATTTTGTTTTGTGAAAAATTTAAATTTAATAAGTAGATTAAGAATCTCAAAATTTGATTAGAATGAATGTTAAAAATATGGGTGGGTGGGTGTTACGGTGAGCAAGTTGTACAATCACGGGTGGAGTGACGCGATCGATAATTAATAGTTTAGTTGGAGAAGCACAGAAGGTGGATCCAAATTGAATTTGCTTAAAAAATAATTAAGCAGTACAAAGTGTAGGGGGTAGAAATTTCATGGTTGGAGACTTTGAGTGATTTTCCTCACTTACACGTAACATGTGTACATTCAAAACAAATTATTTGCTAAAAACAGTTAAATTTCAATAACTAAATCACCATAAATGAATGGATACATTTTCATGTTTAGGGTATCAGATCATAATATTATTAATTTAAAAACTATTTCTGCTTATCTATGTGTAGTTAAATTTAACTTTTCTTATAACTTAACATGATTAATTTTTATAATGTAATACTCATACATAATTTTAAATCGAAACAAGATATGCATGATTAATTTTAATATTGATAGTTTGAGTAGATCTAAAATTTAGGAATATATAATTTAGGCAATTTCTAATATTCTTTAAAATATTTTTATCTGGTAAAATAATTCAACACCAATTAAATATTTTAGATCTCGTAAGAATAATTAAGATATTTGAAAATAAAACTTATAAATATTTTATTATAATAAAAAAATTATATCAAATATAATTCAAAAAATTTATAAAATGTAAGTATCAATAATTGATTTTAAAATATAAATTGACATATATTTTAATGAATAGTGGGATAAAAAAGATAGAAAAACTAATAAATATGATAAATTATAAACTAGAGAATATAAGAAACATAAATGATACTGTTGAATATTGTACGTATCAGCTAATTTCAAATGAAAAATTCAAAATTCATACAACTAAAACACTTGGAACAAATCCTTTGTGTATATAAAATTGATAATATGAAGATGTATTGAGTGAGGACTATCTTCATTTTAAAAGTTTCATAATAATAAATTTAGATATATAATAATACATGCATAATCAATATTAAAAGTTAGTTAATACTAAAAGTTAGTATATGTTCATTATTTTTATTTCTTGTAATGACGAAGCAATGTCACTTGAATACTTTTTTAGAGTACATATAGTAAATGTTAATTAGTGTTATAAATATATTGATTAAAAGTTTGAATTTTTTTAGTAAAAATAACTATCAATAACTTTTATCATAATTTTTGACGCCTCTCAAACATAAATTTTAATAAAAACATTATTTATTAACTTTATAATAAAAATCTATTTGTGCCAAATATATTACAAGAAAAAAAGTCCATATTATATATTATTTAGAAAAGGTTTCGATTAATCAATGATATATAAATGCTTACTTTAATTTTTGAATTGCACCAGAAGAATTATATTTATCTTAAACAGATTATATAATATATTTTGTTTGACATTGATGGGGAGAGTGCAGTAATGCATGTGAAAGCGGATATTTAGCAATCAAATAATTAAAGCAAAGAGCAATGCATGCTCTGCACAATGCTTCCTAAGTCATCACGCGCTTTTCATCCCATTGACTTTCTTCTTTTTATGTCACTTCTTGTGTCTGTTAGGGGCTGCTTTTCTTAATTTCCTTCTTACATTTGCATGCCTTCTGTTAATTAATTATAGATTGAGCACAAAACCAAACACATGTTACACATCCATTGGAATGGAAATAAATTATATTAGAATTTTCATAAATAGGTAATCTCATTTATTTAATAAATTTAAAATTTAAATTTAGTCTATTATTTATTATTGACTTTTTATTAAGTTTAGTTTAATATTTTTAAAAATTTATTTTGACCTATTAACTTTTTTAATAATTTATTACATATTGAGACTTTTAATAAATTATTAAATTTTTTTAAAAATAAACTATTAACTCATCTAAATAGGTATATTTTTTATAAATGTAATAAAGTTTATATTTATCAAAATATGCAATCAAAATAGAACAAATACAAATTAATATTATGCGTATAAGATAAATCAAAACGTAAAAGACTTTAGGAAATATGACTGTCTTTATCCTATAAGATATGTAATAGAAATATTTTTTAACTCTAATAAAAAAAAGTAGAGTTATAATTTGATGGAACAATCTAATATATTTTTATCCTTATTAATAATACATTTATTTCAAAATAAAAAAAAATGAGTAGGCTCAAGAGATAATAAGTAAGCCTATATATATTTAGGCTATCTTTTAGAGATATTTTATTTTAATGATTGATATTAATTAAAAAGCATAATTTTTTACATTAAAATTGTTCTTATTAAAACACTTAGTTGAAGTTCAATTAGGTTGTTTGGAAGGAGGACCCTAACCCATGCCATTGTTGTGCCATTATTTTATATGATTATTGTTAATTCTTGTGAATTTATTTTTCATGGTGCTTTGTTGTTCTTTGACTTTCATTTTTATGCCCACACATTTTTTTTTGACAAAGTGTTTATAAATTGATCCAATTTAATTCAAGTCACAAAAATTGAACTAAAATTCAAAACTTGAATTAACTATGAATGAAAAAAAAAACCTACAGAAATCAAAAGGTTGTTTGATTTTTAAAAAATTATTGCATTTACTTTTAAATTTTAAAATGTCACTTTAATTTTTTTTATATTTTCAAGGATTTCAACAAGAAATAATAAAATAAAAAAATACTTATTTTCAAATTTTTTCATACAAATCTTTAAAATATAAAAAATAAAATAAAAATAAGATGATAAATTTGTAATTAAAAATAAAAATGAAAAATAACAAAGTATCTCTTGAAACTAAACAACTTTTAAAATTTTTATATTAGAGTAGATTGATTTTCAAATCTAATTTTGAAAACTAATTCAATACAATCTAAATTGAATTTATTAATTTATATATAATATTATTTATAAATTAAAATTTTACTCAGCTTATACAAGTATATGTTTTTGAAATTTTAATTTTTAATTTTTTTTATATTTTTACTCTCAAAGATATATCTTTATAAGTTTATTAATTTAAGATTAATTTAAAGTTCTCATGTCTCTTTTTTTTATATATTTGTTTTATATAAAAAATTTAATTAAATATATATAGTGTAAAAGAATAATAAATAATTTATTTATCACCATCTAAATAAATATAAAATATAAAAAATAAACCATTCAATTCAATACAAATATCTTTTAATCAGATAACAATAAATTGTTTTTGAAATTTTATCCAAAGTGATCTAAATTGATCCATAATAATTGAATTAGATGATTTTTTTAATAAAAATTAATACAAATTAAATTGCAAACATGCTTACTTTCTCATTCCAAAGTTTAATTAAAAAATATTATAAGCTTATGAGTTAGCAATTGAAACATAATCCTTGTAGGAAAGGTACTTGTTCACAATGCATTACTCGACACAATTTGGTAAAGTTAGTAAAATTGTTCTCTATCATCATGCTAGCCGAAGGATACAAGCAAAGCTAAGAGGATCACACTATGTTAAGCATCTCCTCGTGTGTACGTGACTTGGAGGAGCAAAAACTCAGAATGGAATAGCACAATCAAGTACAAAGGCAAAATTTAAAGCAATGGCTCATGGTGTGTACGTGAATTACTTCAGCTGAAATTCATTCTTAAATGTTTGAAGATCAAGTGGGAAGGACTAATGACTCTTTGCAATTAGCATAACACCCATAATTTGATACAACATGATCAAGCAAAGCATATTGAAATGATTATCACTTTATCAAAGAACAATTGGAGAGGATTAATTTGCAAGCCCTATGTAATTTCTCATGGATATTTAGTTTGGTCGCGGTTTTACTAAAAGATTGAGCCGTCCAACTTTTCAGAACATTGTTTCCAAGTTAGGAACGGACAATGCCGACTCACCAACCTGAGAGGGATCGTGGAAAATTAATTAATGTGTTCATTTAGTTACCCTAAAAAATTGTCTTTGAACGGAAAAAAAAAATGTATATATACTTATATAGAAGTGTTTTGAATTCATCTCTTAGGAAATATATCGTTAAAATTATTATTGCATGAGTTAACTTGTATAATTATTTTTTTAGTAAATAGATATGCATTTATTTTCTAAATGTATTAAACATCCGTTGTTGTACTGAAAAATCTAAGAATACCAATAAATTCATACATGATCATATTAAGTAATAAAATAAAATTACATCACCCATACTTTTTATTGACAATATAAGTTACATTTAATTATATTAGAACGTACGTTTTATGCAAAATGGGTGTTCATTCATGGTGATGACAAGCATACCATTTTGAACTTCCTCTTGCGGGCGATTTGGGTGTTTTTGTAACTTGTGGGTTCTTAAACTTTTCTTTTTTCTTTTCAATGTACCCAATAAATAAATAAAATATGCGCAATCTTGGGGCTAGTTGGAATAGGCAGAGTGGATTTGATTCTTTAAATTACATGTCGAATACTTCTGAGGTTTAGCTTAAGAATATGGATTACACATTCCTGTGATGAAAAGCCTAAAACACACATAATAATCAATATTATGTCAGATTAAGGATGTGTATCTTTCTCAAAAAGTCATTTAGAAGATTAACATGATGCAATTAAGGATGTGTAGGAATTGACGTCAACAGTACAACTTGAAATGAGAGATGCTAGTTAGTGTAAAAAAATATATATATATATACGTATATATGTAGCTTATGTTGGAAATCGGTACATGGTTTACATTTTTACCACAACCAATAACTCAATAACACTTCTCTTCCCAATATTACTCTAATAGTTTTCTTTTTTGAAAATTAGGATTCATAGTCAAAATTAGCATAAATTCAAGAAATTTATTTTATTTGCTTAATTTAAGTCCCATACCAATTCAAAACCGCAGGTGGAGGTTGGGCTTCGGTCTTTTGACCATTTGCTACGAGAGTCATACACAAAGAAAACAGTTAAGGAAAATTATAATAATACCCTTTAAACTTAACTCAAATTGCACTTGATATCCCTATACACTTTACACCTATATTAATTGAAGCACCCAACACCATGTTCCCCTCCCAACGTTTAGTCATGTCATTAAGTAACACTAATGACTCATGCGACACAAGGCAACAAAAGAATCAGATTATTTGTGAGGACCCATGCCATTGCCATTCCAAACTACACAGTTCCTGTGTTTACTCAAATTGCACTTAGGCGCAGGAAAATTGTTAGACCTCATGTAAAAGAAAGTTTAAAAGGATTACCCGGTGCTAAATCCTGCCTCATCCACTCCTAAGATGTTTATTGCATCATGTGCATCAAAAATGGGGTTTTCCAAACGGTTATTTTATTTTATTTTATTTTTTTGTATATGCTGAGAACAGGTGCAATATTTTATGCAGCAATTGACATAATGATATTATATTTGATTATTAGAATTATAAAGTGGAAAACCGAATAAACATGTAAACTAATCATAAAAAATGGAAAGGATGGTTCAGTAAATAGGTAAGAGATAAAATGAAAATAACATGGTTAATTATTATTATTTATCCTTTCACCCTTGGGTTTCAAAACACACCCTTTTGCCATTGCTGGCACACTTCAACAATTGCCTCACTTTCAATGACACCTAAACTTGTGTTTTTATTGTTCTGTGCATCGAATGACACCCTAAAATTTCTTATGCATCATTTTAAATTTTTTAAGCAAGTTCATAACTTAAACCCCAAAGGTTGTCATAACCTTTTCATGACTCTTCCACAAATCGTAGTCTTCACCGATGAGGTTCTCACAATCCAATGTGGAGGCACTTTTGTATTCTCTTCATCTTAGTTGTTGATGCTAGCAAATAAATCTCAAAGATAAAATTAAACTAAAACAAAGCCGGTAATTGCTAATCAAATGTTTTTCTTTCTAGCTATTCTCAACTAAAAGTTAAATAACAATACTGTGGACTCGACAACATTGACGCTGTTCACTTGCTATAAATGCTCAAAAGAAATTTAGATTTAATTTTTCACCATTTTTTATTGATACTTATTTATTTGGTTAGCACCCGTGTTTTCAAGTTAAAAGTTATATTCTTTACTCATCTTTTTAAACTTGTCCCAGCCATTAAATTTTTATAATAATAAATCAATGATTAAAAAAATGTGAGGTTAACTCCTCTCTATTCAGTAAAAAAGTAAAGGAAGAATGCTAGAAAGAACCTAAAAGATGCCAAAATAACCTGAATCTACGATTTAAATTTGATTAGATTCGTCAATCTTCTCTGTATAGTACATAGGACCCTAAATATGGCATGTGAGCCATCACTTCATTATTTTGAAACACGCAATATATAAAAAAAAGAATTATTTATAAATTTAAAAATTTTTATACTTAATCTAAATTTTTTTATTTAATTTACATATAATAGTTAATAAATTAAAGTTAAATAAAAAATTTAAATTAAAAATAAAAAATTTTAAACTTTATTATAGTGTGAGAAAATCTTTTTTTTCTCTCTGTTTAGGGTTTAGGGTTTTCTTGCTCTAGTAGAACCATCTCAACCCTACACCCCAAATGCCTCCCACTCAAGAACAAGTTATCCCCGTATGCACATAATTCCCTCGGTGAATGCTAACCATCACTCGTTCTCCCTAAAACCGCCACTCAAATCTCCACCTTACAATAATCCCAACCCGTTTACAATCCCTTTTTTTTCAAACGTTTGAAAACCTAAGATACGATTGCAACTCAATAAACATGAGCGCTATATGTATTTTTCTTTTAAAAGTCACTGTCACTTAACACTGTAGTTAAGGGTTATTTTTGCAAGTGTAAAATAGAAACGAATATAGGATGCAATTTGAGTAAAGTTCAAGAAGTATCATTGTATTTTGTCCACACAATTATATTCGTAAACTCCATTCCCACCTATTTTAGAAGAGAGAAATCCTAATTGCTGTGTAAGCGTGAACTCCCAGAGAAAAATTTCATCCATTATCTCATTCCATTTTGCTTTCAAAGCTATACATAAATGTAGTGCATGCATGTATTACATACACAATCTCCTCCTAGAAATCCAGACAGTAAATAGGAACCGAACAAACGAAAGGTCACAAGTTAATATATATATTTTTTTTTCCTTAAGAAATTAAGCACACATACAAAGCTATTATATAGCCACCCTTTACTACCTGAGTCTCATGTTCCCTCTAAATTATCAGTCTATGGTTCTTATCGCTTTCTTGTTTTGTTTTCCCAGAATCAGTCAGTGGTCATTGGTTGTGTCATGCAACACCTAAAACGGGCCTTCCGAACAGTTGTCATGATCTCAATCTCTGCGTTTTCAAGCATTCCTACAACTTCAGTAAATGGTGGCCTAACATCAGGATTGTTATCCCAGCATCTTGTCATGATCTCACGGAGAACAGGTAAGCAGTCATTGGGAATGATTGGGCGAACATTTTTGTTCACAACTGCAAACGCTGCTTGTACTGCTGCCATGTTCTGAAATGGAAGCATTCCAGTGATGAGCTCCCATAGAACAATCCCAAAACTATATACATCTACCTTTTGTGTGTAAGGCCTATGCTGGATCATCTCCCTGCAGCAAATCATAAAATAACAAATTCAAGTACCATGTCAAAAGATACATCTTTTGAATTAAAAAATATACAGTGAAAACCAATCTTCAAACAAGCAGGTTCATGTTAGTTACAGGTATCTGAGTATCAACTGGACTTCGGAGGGTAGCAGAAAGAGTTTTATAAAATAAAGTTTTGGACACTTATTTTACTTAGTAACTTTTTATAGAATACAAGTCTAACCATAGTAGGATCATGTGATTTATCTCGATGCATCCTAACTTTTAAATAAATTAAATATATGTAATTATAGTCAATATGTACAAATATATTAAGAAATAAAGTTGATTGGTGAAAAATGAACCAGTTTTAAAATTGTAGAAATTTTTGTAAACTTAATCTACTTAAATAATAACTTTCAGTCCGACCATTGGATTGATGAAATGCAATGTCCATAAAGAGCTATTAAATGGATGAGCTTGACAAGACTAACTTCTGAAGCGAATCCCCACCCATATCTCTGTTAAATAGAACCATTTAAAATTTTATTAACAATCATTCGTTCATTTAAATCTCTTGCTTTTGCAAGATAAAATTTCAGAAACATAGAACCAGAATGAACATTAAAATATCAAGAAAAGTAAGCAGGCCAAAGAATCTTACGGAGCCATCCAACGGTATGTCCCAGTCTCAGGTGTCATTCCTTCAGTTAGCACCTCAATCCGGGCAACTCCAAAATCAGCAATTTTAATTGATTTGTCACCAAAAATCAAAAGATTATCAGATTTCAAGTCCCTATGGATCAACCCAAGGCCATGAACATATGCCATTCCCCGTGCAACATCCAAAGCCTGTTTGACAGCCAATTTGAGGGGCATTGATCGGTTTTGACGCTTTATCAAAAACTGTCGAACTGAACCCCCTTTGGCATATTCTGTAACAATGCACCAAACCATTGGCTTACGACATGCACCAATAAAACGAACTATGTTAGGATGGTTTAGTGTAGCCAGCATCATCACCTCCTGCTGAAACTGTTGTTCCATCAACTGAGCCTTTGCTGGATCATTTTCAGGCCTCTCCAAGATTTTGATAGCAACATCTTCACTATTGTAAGTACCTCTGTAGAGTTTCCCGAAAGCTCCTTGAGCAAAAGCCTCACCCATACTAAGATTTCTCAAATCAATTGTCCACTCATCAAAATTGTCAAGCCCCTCAGTTGGGGAACTACTGTCCAATAAAGCTTGAGCCAAAGCATCATCACTCAAAGCATGTGTGACTCTCCCTCGATGATTGACGCTGTGTGCAATGGAGTAGTTATCAGTGGCATGTCTCCGCAACCCTTGGTGGTTCAATATACGAGTATGGGAATCAATGGACGCAACACTGCTATTGTCCATAGACATTGCAACAGATCCTCCACCATTACTTGTCTGCCCAATGCTGTCAATTGACATATTGGTGCCCTCCTCAAGCTTATGATAAAAGCCTTGAGAGAAATCATAATAGTTATCATTGTGTTTGTTGAGGTCTATTATTCCAGGGAATTTTGCACCACCTTCCAACATCTTCCACAAAAAAAGCTTCAAATCTTGTTATTTCCTCAGCATCAGAAATTGTGAATTAAACTACCTGAAAAAATAACCCAGAAACCAAAATATATCCGCAGAAGCTTATAACATTTGAATTTATAAACTTCAAATACAACAACAAAGGTAAATCAACCATTGTATTTACCCATAATCAATGCATAGTTGTTTATGCATGCAGCCCACAGACGAACACAAAAAGAATAAAGCCTCAGAGCTTTCAACCACATTCTTCTAGATTTATGACAGAAGAAACAAGAGTTGATCTAGTTAATTTCAACAAATAAAAGATGAAGACTACATTTAAAGTCAAGATGATTTCCACCATACAATATCACGTTTTGCTATAAACTAGGAATCAAATGCATAGAAGCAAGCATGGAAAAATTAAAGGGAGAAGCAATCAAACAAGCACATTACGTGCTATAAAAATAATAGTTACAATAATAAACCCTCAAAGACAGGAGGGTTTCGGAGCATTCAGTCCTTGGCGCAAATCAATACACAATAAAACTTCTGTGGAAAATAATCTAAAAATAAAAAAACTAAAATCAATGAGAGACCCTAAGGTTCACCAGCTACATATTCCATAATCATTGTAGCCAAACTAAAAGCTACCAAAATTTACTAAGAGTAGGCAGAAGAAGGGAACGAGCAACTAGATGAAAATGAGAACAGAATTGAGTTAAAAATAAAATTGTCTATGAGGAAAAAGTTGTTAGACTTTAAACCAAGTAATAAGAGAGGGAATCTTAAAAATGAAAAAGGGGAAAAGACGAAAAGGTGGGAAAATCTGAAGAACCCTAAAATGAGGGAAGCGTAATAAGAGATAACGAGACGTACCCGAAGGAATACAGAGTATGCGAGTTCCGATGAATGCTTGAGGAGATCGAATAAGGCGAAAACAGAATTCAAATTGAGAAATAGATTGAGATGCTAAAGCAGCAAGGAAGACTTTCTTTTTAGTTTTTTAATTTTGTTCTACGCTCACTCTTTTTTCTTCTATTTATTATTTTCTTTGTTTATTAATTTCATCACGCCGGTATGGGAACGCTTGCTCGTACGGCCGCGCGTTAGTTGCGTTCTTCGCTTCCACAACCCCCCAGTCAGCATTTTTTATTTTTTATGTTTTTGTTGCAAAACCAACCTACCATCTTCTTTTACTACAAAGTAGACATGTCTTTTTATTGCATGTGCTACAGTGACTGAAACTAAAATTCAACTTCAGAATCTTAATTATGATGTTCCATTTTTTTTTTAAACTTAAATCACAACGATTAAAAAAGTTAGGGTCTTACTTATCACTGTCCTATGATACTATATAAAGAATCAAAAATATCTTTTTAAAAAAATGACGTTAAATTGCATTAAAATTATGAAAAGAAGTTTATTAATTTCATTTTCAGACAAAACTTTTTCACTTTGATTTCCTAACTTAACATTTGTCAAAATGTTAACACACCCTTTAATATTGGGTTCGAACAATTAATAACAATACTAATTTATTAAAAAATATTTATTATACTTTTCATCTTCCATATAATAAATGTTTTTAATTAATAACTCAAAATGTGATTCACATCATTTTTCAATTTTAATAAATTTCAATTAATTATTAAGAATATATTAGAAAAAGTGTGTTATTAACATTTAACAAACAACAAAAATATAAGAGAAAATTATTAAATTTAGTATGAAAAAAATTATGATAGAATATATATTATTAACATTTATCCTTCAAAGAATGTCATCACAAAACTCCCAAGTCCTAAACCTTGAATTCAATTGAATAGACATTTCCTTAGTGCTATGATAAGAGATGGGTAGATTTGCAAGGGACGAGAGGTTCATTTTTTGAAGTAAAATAAAAAATGTAAGAAATTAATTATAGTTTATCTAATTTTGTTAATAATTTAATCACAATCAAGACTTCAAAAGTAATCTTAAAAATTGCAAAGCCCTAAATAATTTTAAATGAAGACTAATTAAAAATGAAATTCTCTCTTAGATTTCAAGTTGATTATTAGTTAATTTCAATTTTAATTAATAATCATCTGTTAGGGCTTTTAAGAATGACTTTTCTAACCAGTGCATATGATAAAATGTTCTGTATAATAAGTTTTTGTTTAAAATTTCAGAATTTCATGCAATTGAATGCAGTGATATAATAAGTTCTATAATTTCCAATAAAAACTAATGTTGCAAAATTTAGAAAAAAAAAAATTTTAAAAAATATGTACTTGTAGCCATTTTTAGCAAGAGAGAGAGAACCTTGAACTAGTTGCTTAACTCATTGAACAGTCATTATTACACAAAATGTTGGACTTTGAGCAATATAGAAATGCATACAAGAATACGAGGTTAGCGAGAAAAACTGAAAAATGTTTCAGTTGACAAGGCTAGAGCACATGGCTGAAGAAGATCGACTTGCCCAGACATAACTTTCCAACTAGTGACGTTTCATTTCCCGAAATATATTCGTCACCCTTGGGGATAATCGTGGGAGGAATTTAAACAGCTGTATCACAAAAACAGTGAGGGTTGATCAGCATAAATAAGCAGTAACTAAGTAATTTAAACGTGACAAATACAAAACTTAAAGTGCTGAACCGTAGGTACCGTTACTGTTGTTTGCAGATTAAACTCGAGTTTTATTTTAGTAAAAGTTTTGCATTTAATGTTATCGTATATTGTCAAAATAAAACTCTAATATTGATTAGTAAATAGCACTAACATGTAAGAAACTATATGTAAGTTTTGTCCTTCCAATAACTGTCCACATTCCACAAAATAGAAATTTTCAGATTCCTGGTAATTTTAATCAAGATGGCACAGCATGCTTTTGCAAATTGCTGTATCAGTTAACACAAACAAAACAGTCTACCGTATCAAAGGCTTCCTTGTAGGTTTCTTTGAGGGTAAGCCTTGGTGCAATGAAAAGGCTGTTATGCGTGGCCTGGTTGTCATGATTATGAATTATAGTTGTAGAAACAGCCTTTCCGTTTACATGGGTATGGTTGTAAACATTTAATCGTCACAAACCCCACAACGATGAGAGCCTAATGCATTAAGCCGCCATAATTTGCTGTGTCCGGTCAACAATATCGGGTGAGAGAGTGATAAAAGGTTAGGAGAGAGGTCTTAAGTTTGGCTTAATTTGGTGACAAACAAGGGAAAATGCTATGTTGGGAACAAGCAATATTGCTGATATCAAATTCCTTTAGGCTTTGTTTGTGACTCAGTTTTTGGAGGTAAAATGAGGGGAGGGAAAGACTTATTTGATTATAATCTTTATTTGGGAGTTTTTAAATGAGAGGGGAGGCTTTATAACCTTTCCAAAACCCTCCTAAGCTCATGTTTTTAAGTTTCCCTAATTTGGAAGATTTTTTTTTAGCCTTGCTTGCCCTTCAAACCCTTTCCTTCCTTCTCCCTCTAAACTTTCAAACAAAGCCTTAGAGGAGGTTGAAAATTAGTTAGAATATAGAAGTTTAGTTGAGATTACAAGTCATTCATTTCTTTTAGCTGCTTCTCTATTTACCTTAACAAATTACCACTCACTAGCATGCTTATTGTGATTTATCGGATCCTACATATGCAACATACATACAATTTATAAACGAGTCTGTCAGAAATTGTGATCATGGCATACAAACTTAATCTTTCTCTGTATGTAGCTTTCCCCTGTTAAACATGCTATTGGGACCAAAGACAGGTCACCGAAATCAGGTTAAACAACCAATAAGTGTAATCGTTTGCAGGATTGCAATCCACTAGAGATTGCAGAAGTGATGGCAATGGCAGTAGCTGGTCTGGGTGCAGGTAAATGACGGTGAATTCCAAATGAAAGTTTAAGTTGTCAGGTAGAAGCCAAAGAATTATTTTATTTTCTAATTCTAACACAAGCAACTAAATGAAATGAAAATGGATATGGAATCAGTAGCATTTAGCAGTTACTAAAGAGAAAAACATACCCAAAGTTTCACACATGCATCCATGATAACTGGGACCAGGCAGATAAAAATAGTTATAGCAGACTGATCAACTTCAAGTCCATAGTGCTCAACAATTATCTCTAGCAAAGTTTGCCAACCAGATTCAGAATGATACCTGAAAGCATCCCAGTATCCACCAAAATCAGTCAACAACACAGATGACCCCCCTCCCCCCTTCAAAAAAAAAAAAGAAAAAGAAAAAGAAAAAGAAAAAGAAGCTAAAATAGAAGAGGCTAATTAAATCAAGTGGGAAATCTGGCAAGGTGCATAGAATATTATATTCTATCAAAGGGTGTGAACGTGATAGAGACCAGAAATATTCTCTTCAAGGCTGATAACTAGCTCACAGCCTGTTGCCAATGAACTCATGTCTTCTGGCTAAGTAGAAAGCTAACCGTGTAAGTTAACACAAAATTATTCCCTTTCCTAATGCATACAAATCAAAAAGTATTTTTTTGGTCTCTCATTTATTGTATTGGTACTTCTTCTAATGCTATGATACTTCTCTTGACTGCATTGATACTTGGTACAAGCAATACCGTGAGCAACATCAAGAATTTATTAGAAACAAGTTTTGCTGAATGGAATTAATTGCCAAGTTGCAGAAGGAAATTACCCTAGGAATATATCTGTGATCAGTATAATTAGAAACGCCTTCCCAGTATCAGAAATATTATTTATAATTTTATAACCAGTAAATTTGAGCAAAGCTACCTGCACAACAGAAGCAAAAAATCAAAACAAAGGATAATATGTATACTTCAGATTAAAGCACCAAATTAAATCAGTAAATATCAACAATTGAAGTGTCTTTAAAACATAGGAATTCAAATATTCAAAATGCAAATGCTATGCTGAAGAAATCTTCCTAAAGATATGAGTGTTATGAGAAGCACAGATTGCACGTTGCTATAAATATTTAGAATTCTCATTTCTACCAAAACCTTTAAACTAGTTACTAAAATGAGGTACAAGGACTGACGTACACCCAAATTCACCAAAAAGTCTGAATAATGTATTCCATAAAGAAATAGCAGCAAAACAATGTAAAAACATATTAGGGACCAATTCTGATCAATCACCACACATAACACACATTATGGGAAGATCTTTGCATGGCCTACAAACCTACTACATGTGAATAGTGTCTATTTAATTTAAGAACCACAGTGCAAAAAGAAGAAACTTGAGCTTAGAGGAAGATTTGAATTTGGAACTTTAGAAAGGGTTTGTCAAAATGGAAACAGATTTTCCCAATGTTGATCTGTGCACTTATTATAACAGTAATCGTTTCCCCTTTAGATATTTGGCTGTACCTGTTTTGAACAAAAAGCGTGGTTCTAGGTGACAAATACAACCCCTAGTCTCTTCATTGTGAATTCACAGGGTGGTTCCCAACACAAAGGGTGCTGTTGTCTCACCTCTTTGGTTTCACTATTTACTCTTTTTTAATCTACACATTTCTTTCCAGAATTCCTCTCTCTTTCAAGTGATTCTGAGGGTAGCTTTCTAGTGTATCACGATTCAAGTGCATCCAACCATTGCACCTGCAAAGACCTAATTGACTACCTTAATCCACCACCATTACACTCACTGGGTGCAGCAGTATTGTGCTGTTTCCTGGGGCCCCTGATTCCCCAAAAGCTTCACCACTCCCCATCTGTGGCCACTTGACCTAAATGTCATAATTCTCTCATGTCGGACTGTTTTGTTGACCTTCTTATTGCTATTGTAAAGGTAAATTATCTTGCCCCTATCTTATTACCTTGTTTAGTTCATTTGATGGCTTATCTGCTTCTAAGTGCTTTGTCACTTCCTTAGATTCTGTGCCAGTTCCTAAGCCTGTTAAAGCAGCTGTCGCTCATGGTGAAAGAAAAAAATCCTAAACTGGAGGAAATGCGGGCTCTTAAGAAGAATGAGACTTCGGATGTTGTTTACCATCCTGCATGTAAGGGTCCATTTGTTTGTACTTTTACAAAGGATTTTTTTTATGTGCAAAGTGTTTTTAAAAGTCTATAATAATTATGTAAGGACAGGATAAGAAATTATTGTATGTGAGAACATCGGCGTAACACTTATACTAGAAAGGATGATTGAAAATTGTCTAAGGTAGTTAAGTCATATGCAAAGAAGACTTTTGTAGGCACCAATGAGAAAAGTGGACAATGACTTTTACTCTGGTAAGAAGAGTTAGAGGAAAACCTTGAAAACCTTTGAGGAAGTTATTAAAAGAAACCTATTAATTAATATTTTTGAAAATTTGGTTTTTGAGTCTTTTGACAGAGCTTAATGATATCGTGTGATTTATATAGTTGACCTCACTTAATGAGATAAGACTTAGTTGTTGTTCTATAATAATTTTGCAAGGTTTTGCAAGAAAGAAAAAATCTAAATGAATTTTTCAGAACTTAAAATAGAAGCTGGGCCGTATATGTGTCATAGTTTGCAAGGCTAATAATTTATAAACCTTTGATCAACAAACCTAAAAGTGTAATACAGGCAGTCAGGCACAAACCAAGAATCATAATGATTGTTATACAGAAACCATTGGCATTGTCTAGCTTGATATCCTCAAACATAACTATATCTAGCAAATGTCTAGATATACCATCCTTGATCATCTTTCATTTCTTGACACTTATTTCTCATAAGGAATTATTCGCTTCTAATTTCTAACAAAATAAAATTTCTTCATCTAAAAAGGATAATTGTATCTTGGTTATTTACTATTGTTAATTGTAATATACTGCAAAGAAATTTATGGTAGATAACAAGTCCAACAAAAATGGTAATGCATCAAAACATTTATCAGAAAGAAAAATGGTCAACTTACTTTACTCTTATTGAAGTATAAAAGAATAAATAAAGAGATCCCGTAAACTGTATCTGACCATATGTTGGCAAATGCTCTGCGATTCTCCAGTCTCCACTCCTCTCTCAACTCTAATCTGTTGGAGAAACAAATAGAATGGTGATAAGGATAACAAGTATAAAACAATTAAAGCTCAAAACTGTCATCTTGAAAAAATGAATCTTACAAACTAGCACAAGAACAAACAAACAGGGTCGAGGGACTGGATTGACGCTCCTATTGCTCAAAGCCTTTACCAATTCAGAAGCTCTTTTATAAGGTAGAATTCGGAAAAAGAATGATATGCAGATTTAATGAAGATTAATGAGGAATATATTGAAGGACAGGAAGTTATAGTGCACATACTTTAGGATATTGGCTTTTTTGTCTTTCTTACTAAATTAAAGTTCTTTTAATGCTCCTTCTGGATACACATATAGTAACGAACACGAAAAAGAAAGAGCACCATTCAAGAAGATCAGGAAAAAGAAAGATTGTTCTTACGCTTTATGCCTTAATTCCCCCCAAACCTCATCATCAGAAAGAGGTGGAGATTTACCAATCTCAACCTCAAGCTCAAGTCGTCCCCTCTCAGTTCTTAGTTCCTCAACTATTTTAAGCTTTTGATATCTTCTCACATCAAGCATTTGTGCTGCAAGTGGTACAGTCTTCACATATCTATCAATGGCAAGACGTTGCTTGAACAGTTACAACAAAATTTTTTATTCAAGAAGTTAAAACTAAAACACAAGTAAAAGATGAAGGATCTGAAAACTTCCACTCAATAACAAAGAAAGCATAAAAAAGGAAGGATAAAAGTCGTAGCTTTCTTTCTAAATTAAAACAAAAAAACAGCTGCATATAAAATCATCAAAAACACATGGCACCAATACTGGATATTTAAAGTAAAAATGAGAATAACATGTTTTTTTTTTCTTATCCATTTTCACATTTATTATATTTAGACAACACGTGAAATCTTAAGCTGTGAGATAAAAGCTCATGAATGATTTTATATCTCTAACATACTCCATTATGCAAAAGTCATTAAGCATGAACTGTGAACGATGCATAGGTCCACTAAAATTATCCTAAATTTTACATTAACTGTGAAGAATGGAGACATCGAGAATCAAACTATTAATCATTTGATCATAGAAGTTTTGTTATCATCTCAAAGATCAACTCTCATGGTGGAGGCCCATGAATGGTTCTATAACTCAAACAATGGTATCAAAGCCTCCACACCAAGTGGCATGAGTTTGATCTTTGATCCCAATCCTCATAATTAAATTAAATTTAGTGCAAGGGAAGGCCGGCCTGTGCAAACACTTCAAGCCTAAAGGACTCCAGCATCAAAGCCTAAATGGGCATTTTAGAGATATAAAACCATTAATGAGAATCCATCTAACAATTTAATCCATTGGGAGAATTGATTTTAAAACAAAAACATTTGACTATTTGAGAACAAAAAATAGTAGAAAATACTACATCATGTTCTATTCTGCTAGTCTAAATGGTTTTTTTTTTATTTATATAATTGCAGTGTTTAAAAGGAAAGAATTGAATTCAGGCAAACCATTAATTTTGGTTGATGCCATATTCTTTGGCACTGTATTATGAGATTATGAATATCTAATATTTTGGCCTATTCTTTTCTCAGACTGCACTTATGTGTTCCAACTTGGTTGGTCGCTGATTCAGTGACACATGATAGTCCTTTGAACACTGAGTTTCCTTAGCATGGCCATGGCAATCTATTAGATCTCAGATTGATCTCACCACTTCAGTACTCTCCCTCATTCCATGTTCTAAAGCTTTGGCCTTCCCACTAGAGTTATGTATAATTGGCAAGCCATTCCAAGCCTATATCATCTTGCCATTCTCCTTGTCCGCCTAACATATCACACTCTATAAAACAGCATGCAGATAGAAGTACACACTTACAAGTATATCTGTTTGTGCACAAATCTTGAGGCAATTTGGCAAAACAGAATAAAATCTGCCAATATAAAAACATTTCATGAATTTAGAAGAAAAAAATAGATTTGAATGAGTTGATTTCCAACAAATACCTGTCCAGAAAAGGCATAAGTATATAGTCATGAACCAGCAAGTCCATTGCCCAAGGTATGATAATCAACACTGCCAAAAATTTAGCCTGTAATAAAAAATTTGGTACATGAACTTGAGTTACTGATTAAAGAATATATTAAGCAAGCACCAGAACATCATTCAATTGGTATAACAAGATTTGGAGGCTTGATAATGTCTGAATAAATCGATGGAAAATTTGACATCATAGATTTTAGATGCTCCACAAAGAATAAGTTCAATATAAATATTATATATTTCAATTGGGATGATAAAATCCCTCCACCTAACATAGAACATATACATACATGCATGTACATCTCTTCAAACCCCATTTTTAGTGCAGGTCTATGCATTGAGAGTTGTTGAATATCTCATTCCAATTCCAGTTGCAGCTAAATGAGGGGTTTGCTTGAGAAGGAAAATGATTACATAAATGACAAGCATTTCATGAAAAGAAACAAATGCAGTTACCGAATTAGAAGAGGCATAATGAAAAACACGGTCTTCATAAAGAATATCATCATCTTCCCCTCCAAAAATCCAATACCTAACAGAATCTACAAGCCCCTTTTGGGAGGGAGCATCACCGGAATCAGCTCGCACATTCTCCCTGTAATCCTTCATTCCCTGTTCCCAGTCCCAGTCTTGACTCCAAGAAGAAGTGTTATCATCCTTATCCAAAAGCCAATCTTCCCATTTCCTATACTCTTCGTTCCTTTTATCTTCTTGGGCTTCCCTTAACTCTATAATTGCTTCAGCTCTCTGCTTCCATGCTTCAAACTTCTCATCCTCAGACAAAGCTTGTGTGCTCTCACTCTCGCCCTCTGTCTCTGCCTCTACCATATCATCGTCCTTCAAACCAAGCCAATTCCCATCGTCTTCGAGAAAAAACTTCTGCCACCAACTGCTTTTCCTTGAATGGTTACTATGCTTTTCCGCTTTTGAAATGAATCCATTAAGCCGCTTCGTTTTGCTTCCCAACTGAATCACAAAGTTCGTTGAACCATGCGATACGAAAGAGTTCAAAAGCAGTTTCTGATTAAATAAAATTAAGTGGTCGCATAAAACAATTGAAGAGCTCATCAATAACACCGATATATTCCCACATTTTTCAGTTTCCCAAGTGAATGCACATTCTCATTCTGCGTTCTGCTTCTACACAGCACAGTCTTCAATTCATATTATCCCTCAAAATCCATGTCACGCCTTATTGCCTCTCTTAATTTACAAAAAAGTCATGCCTTTCGCTATTGGCTATTGTTCCGCCACGTTCTATGATAAAAGGACAAGAGGTTCTCAAACACTTTAGTTAATAAATATATAAATTATTTTTACTTGTTTATTGTTTTTATAGTTTTTAACGAAGTCACGGAATAAAGGCTTTTTTACACAAATAAAATAAAAAAATTATTATTTTTTAAATATTTTAAAAAAATTATGTAAATGTCCTCAAACTACGTATAATATATATCAATATATACTATAGTCTCTCTCTTTCAATTACAACACAACGGTTTAAATCTAAAATAAAAAAAAGATTCAAATAAAATTGTAAGAATTTGTATGTTGTATGCTATTTTTCCCTGAGATTGTAGTTCAATTGGTCAAAGCACCACTTTTGCTATTTAAAGATAAAAAAAATTTGAAATTAAGTGCGAAAATTAGAATGAGATGATAATATTTATTAGCAATCACTTTACACATCTGTTCTTAAACTTTACAATAAATTTAATATATAATGTGCTACACACAATATGTATGATATGCTGAAGGAATGTCACTCATTCCTTGTAACTTCTAGAGCTAATTTGATTACATGATGGGGATCGGAAGCTCGACAAGAGTAAGATAGGAAGCCATATACGACGAGGAGAAAGATAGTAAAAGCTCAAAGGATTCATCACAAATGCAAGTGCTCCAGCGAAAGTTATCAATTAAAAGGGAAAATCAGGTAGTGGTAGTTAACCGAGGGAGCAGCTCATCCGCTACTTCACGTTTTTTACTTATCTTTTTCTTGCGTTGACGCTTACAAAGGAGCTTTGTCTCCACCTCAACCTTCTAAGCTCCCATATGGGTATGACTTGAGCTAAGGGATTATTAAATGAAAGTCCCATATAGTTATCATGCAATCAAATTAGCTCTAAAAGCTACAAGGAAAGAGTGATATTCTTTCAGCATATCATACATATTGTGTGCAACATATTTTGTGTCATTGTATCAAAATTTGTTATAAGGTTTAAAAACAGAGGTACAAAGCAATTGTTAATGAATGTTATTATCTCACACTAATTTTTACACTTAATTTTAAAATTTTCTCATCATCAAATGGTAAATAAATATTTTTATATAATTAACTTTTTTCTAATAAACTTTAATTATGCATTACAAAGTTAATTATAATTAACTTCTTTCTAAAACATATTCATGTGTAAGTGAAAGTTAATTTAAATTGACTTATGTTTTAACAAAATTTGAAACCAGAATGAAAGTTGAATTAAATTAATTTTTATATAAAAAATTTAAAAATAAAATAGAAGTCAATTTAAATCAACTTCTGTGTAAAAAAAATTTAAAAGCAGAATGAAAGTCGATTTAAATAAACTTCTATGTAAAAATAATTAAACCTATAATAGAAGTCGATTTAAATCAACTTCTGTGTAAAAATTTTTAAAACAAAAACGAAAGTCGATTTAAATCAACTTCTATTATATGTACTTTTAGAATATTTACGTAATTTTTTTTAAGATATTTAGGAAATAATATTTTTTTATTTTATTTATGTAAAAAAGCCTAGAATAAATTAAATAAATATTCTTTTTTAAATAATTACTTTATCTGGTGATTTTTTTGTCTTCATTTCATTTCATTTATTTGAATATCACAATTTCTATTTTGATCATCATATATAGCATAAAATTCTTATTAGTCCTATAAAATTAGAGACTAAAAAAAACATGATATTTAGAGAGACAATAAAAATAATAAAAAACATCATTTTGTAATGAAAACATATATATAAGAGACTCATTTAAGAAAAAAAAAATAAAGATTCACATGAAAAAATTATAATTTTTTAGACACCAACACCGACAACCTAATTAAATATAAAAAAATTATATAGAAATATATGCATATAATTACAACTTAAAATAATAATCCCTATTATAATATTTTTTTAGTCCCTATTTTGGTGAGTGGGACTGTGTGAAATTGTTCTCCAGTTAAAAAGCCACAAAAGTACTATTTTAGGTCAGAGTTTTGCTATATCTACAAATAAAATCTTAATAATTTCCTTACTATTTAATAATCTAAGTATTAAAAAAAATCATTTTTTTAATCTTAATAACATAAAGAAAACATTTAATAAATTAATTGATTAAATATATTATTTCTCCTTGACATATCTCAGTATGCTTCTCACTTACGGAAACCAAGAGATAGATAAAAGTTCTCAAGTATTCTTGAACATGAGATCTCATTGGTAACTAAAATCTATATATTAAAGAAAAATTGTTTTAGATAGTTTCATATTATCTAAAATAAGTTCATATAAATATTTTCTAAACTGTCACTGCCAAATAAAAGAGAAGATTTTAAACTTCATTTTAACTCAAATTCGTATAAAAATCTTCTGATGAGTACTCTCTCTTTATCTTTTATTCCATACATTCCTCCTAATCAAATCATTGATTAGGCATGATCTAAGTTAATTTCATATGAATAGTTTTTCAATTTGTCACAATCAATATCACATGGATAGGTTCACAAAATCATTGACTGAATTTCGTAAGTACTTTCTCAAGATATTAACAACATTAAAGGGAAGATCTTTGACTCAATTCTAACTCAAATTTATATAAAATTTGTTTTAGCTAATGACTCTGTTTTTTATTTTTTTTTACTAAATTCTAAATTTTACTTTTGAGACTTGCAAAATTATGTATGTCAATAGATATTCCTTTTCTCTAATTAGAGTTAGCTATCATCCATGTGCATCAGTTTCAATTTTTCACGAAGGTGTGTATCTGTATTAGTTCAATGCTAGTGTAATGTTCATGTTTTACTTACTGACTCTTATTGATATTGCTTAGGGCATGCATTTACGACCACAATGTGCTTGACTTTTATTTATAACTAGTTATAATACCCAGGCATCACGGGTTTATTTTAAGTTATAAAGAAATGATTTCAATATATAAAATGTTAAATAAAATTATGACATATTATAAAAATAAAATATACAAATAAGTTATAAAATTAAATTCAATAATTGAAATAGAAGTATGGTTTTATAATTTTATTCGAAATATAAAATTATTTTAATAAAACTGACACTTAATAATTATGGTAAAAATTGACTTTATTATAATTTTGTATTCTATTTATATTTTATATAGTATGTGTTGTAAAAAGGATATTTTTATACTTTATGATTAAAAGATAAAATATATCAAAGAAAAACGTATCAAAATAATTTATTTAAAACTTTCTTATAACTTATATTTTTAACGCAACTTACACATTATATAAGCTACTTAAAAAATTTTTTCCTCTAAATTACATGTATTTTTCACTTGAGATAATTATGTTCATATCACATATGACTATTAATGGAGAAAAATTCTCTTTTCGAATATTTAACACAACTCTCTCTCTAAATATTTAATCAATATAATAAAATAATTTAAAAATTAAATTATTAATTTATTTATCAATCCATATGAAATATATAATTATGTATTTCAATAAATAATGTAGTTAATATATTACTTAATGATACAGTATAGTTAGTTTACTTAATGCTATACTGTAAGTTTTATACTTAAATATTTTGAAAGTAAAATAATCAAAATGGAAAAAGTTTTAGAACCAAACCAGAACAACACTAAGAGTAGATGAACTAATCTATTAATTTAGTCAAATCTTTATTAATATAAATTAATATTCTATTTCTTTTATTATTAAATTTTGCTTAAAATTTGATAACTATGCATGAAAATTTTATTTAAGAATGATGGTAAAGTAAAGAAAACTATTACGTGTCACAAGTTACCATTAATTTCCTATGAATTCAAACCCTTGTTGAACTCTCCTTTTACAATTTCTTTAGTTGTGATAATCTCAATGCCATTACCTTATAACCCTATTCTACATACCCGCAGAAAACACATGGAACTTGATCCCTTTTTGTTCAAGAAAAGATTCTCAACAAACAGCTCACAATTCAACACCCTCTAGCTGATTTGAAAGCTTCTGATGCACTCACCAAAGCTTCGTCTCCCACCAAGTTCACCGAGTTTAGCAGCAAGCTCAATGTTCGTGTTGTTCCTCATACCCCATGAGCTTGAATGGAGAGTATTAGAGTATATACACCCATGTTCATAATTGTATGATGTCTGATATCTGTCTGTACAATTCATAGTTGCAAATCAATTTTTGATTTCTGTTAGGTGTTAGTCAGTCTTGCCATAGAGCTGACTTCCAGTCTTGTAACTGTCATCCCTCTATATAAGGTTTATGTACCTTCTCTCTGGTTGATAATAATCATAAATTGCGGTATCCCAAATTTCCTGTATCCCTTTTCTATGTAACCCTGATAATACGAAAATGTCCCCGCCGGCAGCGGGAAATGACAAAGGAGATCGTGAATTGAGATTCATGAGCAAAACCACGCCACATATTATATTTAATTTAGCGTATGATAATTGATAATACAAGGTGGTTAGGCCTCATGATCGTAGTTACCTAAGAGGACTTCCCTGTTCGTAGTTCTGGTCCAGATAGTGACACAACTTTATTCGTGATAAGGTTGTACTAGAAATACAAGTACCAATCAAATTGAGAACAAAAACTGCATGACTTTTGTCACAAATTCGAAAACTACCACTTTCTATCTATCTTTGAGTTCCTGTTCAAATTGAAGCAACTTTTCCCGAACAGGCTGTAAAAGTAGTTTCAAGTCGTTGCTTATCTGCGTCCTATCTTGATGCAAGATATCCCCTGCTTCCCTCAGTCTCACGTCCATCTGCTCACAAAAATATTGTCGGAATAAGCAAACAGATTATCTAGGGAAATCGCTAGTCATAATTTTAATCAAAGCAAAGAGGTGATTTATTCAGGCAAATAATAATCCCAACGATATAGACATTGCAAGTCATCCCCTACCAGCCCTTCATCCTAGGCCTTGCACTTCGGGACCACAAGAATATACTTTCTAGAGGGATCAACACCATCGTACCCAAGGCATATAATGTCAGAGCTTGTTACATGGGTATTGAAAATCCTACCACAAAAAATGGATGTGTTCTCACTCACGTAGCAGCACAAAGAGAGAGGACACTCCCAGTCCCATATAAGCAGAGGCAGCACACCCACTAGAGGTGTGGAATAAGTATTCCTTCCACTCTATAGACATCTTTCCATTCCTCCACTAACTTGAGCATCAAGGTGTCTTTTATACGTAGTCACCCTCTTTCTCGTGAGGAGCAAGGAACGTACACCATTAATGCTTAACAAGAAACAGAAGATATCATACATTTACTGAGAGCTGGCACATTGCACTGTAAGCTATTTGAATAGAAAAAGAAGAGGTAACTGCTAATGCACTGTAAGCTCTTGAACACTAACCCTTTAGATGTCCTACATTGCCTTTGAAGCTCTTAGAAAAAAATAAAAAAAGAAAAGAAAAGGTAACTGCTTATGCACTTGGGTTTAAAAATTACATCTGAGACTCCAAACAGTGATGTGGGACATTGAAAGGTTTAGTGTTCCAGATGTAAGATTTAGGGTATTTTTGGGTGACTAGGGGTAAAATTTAGTATAATAAGGGTTTGCAATCAATATAATGTATTCGAAGGAACTGAATAGTATCTGAGATGAAGAAAATAAGCATCATATAATTCATGGTAGGTAGCAAAAATCAAACACTTCGAGCTGACCATATCAGTATTTGCCCATCATACAGAAAAATGGCTGAGCTCAATTTTTAGGAACTATTCCAGCCAAGTAATGATTCTAAGATCGCTGTGATATATATGGCAACAAGATAACAACAAACAAACAAGCAACAATCAGACTTTATCCTACAAGGTGAAATAAACTAAGTGAATCAATCAATGGCATTGGGCTATATCAAAAACCAAATTTTAATTAATTCATTTGGAGCAAGGTAATTTAATCTTTGGTCTTACTCAATCTTTTAATTTGACTATCTTGTGAAGAAACGACAAATTAAAACTTCGGAAAGCCTAACAGAGAACTAGATATGTAATAGTACACTATTTACTGATTCACAAAGAAACACTCCTGCTTAGGATTTTGGGGGTTATCAGTATAGAAACGCTATTTGCTATCCAAACAAAGCATAAAATATTTTCCCCTTCACTCTCAAATTTGGGAAACAATTTCAACAACAATCAAACTTTATCCACTAGGTGAGGTCCACAACATGAATCACACTATGGCATTGAGCCTGATCAAAAACCAAAATTTCAAAAATATTATTAATCAAAATGTTTCTTTTAATAATTTCTTTTAAGGTTCTTTGGGGTCTTCATTTACCCCTTTTTATCATACTAAAAGTCATGTCATCCACTTTCTTAGCTAATACTTTCAAAGGCCTTCTCTGTATTGAGGACAATTTCCTAATTTCAACCATGAGGACAAGATTGCTACAAAGGAGGGTGGAAATGTTGGCAACCCATTTTACAAAATGTACAAGCAAGCATTAACAATTCACCTAGCTAATGGGCCTAGGACTATGTTTGGGAATGTGTAGATAAGAGGATCCGGTTCTGCTCCAATTCAAGCGGGAACAGTCCATCCCACTTTCACTTAAGTGAATATCAAACATTTTTGCAAAAATTGTAGGGGGTGGGGAATAAGAGTGGGTGGGGTGTGTGGGGTTGGGAGAGCAGGACTAGTGGGGCAAGGAAAAAGAGGGGGGGGGGGGGGGGGCTGGGGAAAAGGAGAATGGGGAGCAGGAGGGGGAGAGGGCTGAGGAAGGTGAAGCGGGGGAGAGAGAGAGAGAGAGAGGGGGGGGGGGGAAGAGGGGCTGGAGGTGGATGTGTGGGTGGGGGAAGGGGAGCTTGGTGGAGGGGGAGGGGGAGGGGAAGGGGGCGCTGGTAGCGGGAGGAAGAAGGGAGCTGTAAGAGATGAGGGGGAAGGAAAATTTCATTTTCACTTAAGCGAATGTAGATTCATTTAAGCAAAAATGAAATTGGACCGTCCAATTTTCACACGAACTGGAGCAGAATTATTTCCTATATAACAGGGCCTTAGAGGTGTTTGGTGAAAGGGGACAGAAAAGCATGTAACAAATGTGGGAGAGCGCTAGGAAATTAGACATGGAGGAGAGAGTATTGAGGATGGAGGGGAGAAGGTATACAAGGAACAAACTCTTGGTGATGATGTGATAGAGGAGTGCCTATGAGGGAAGTTTAGGCTTGGGGTGAATTCTCATCTCTTAAGGAGAAAACATCATTTGTTTTACCATTATCATACTTGAATGATACCTACACATATTTACATTAATTTACTGTTATTGTGAGGGAGGGAAAGGTGCATATCAAATTCCTGCACATTTTATAGCATTGTCTCTGATTCCTCAATAGTGGAAAACTAAAATAAACTCTTCTTACCATGCACCAGTTTAGTGGCTCTAGTGTTAAAATCAATACTAAGAGGTACCTGCAAGTCATCTAGTTCACCAAATGAGAACTCTGGGACATCTATGTGGCCCTCAATCAACTTTTTTTCTCCTTGTATGATCCATTCCCCTGCTTTCATTTGCAAATCAACATGGCTTATAAAGTAATTAGATTGAAATGCATAAAAAAGAAAACAGGAACAGTTAGACGGAAGTGCTTTAAAAGAATGGTTGATAGCACCTCACCTTTGACTTTTAAGGTCAACTCATAGGTGTAACCAACACGTTTCTTGTTCCGAACAATCATCATGAATGCCTAAAAATGTTCAATCACAAAATAACAATCCATCACACATTTTCATAAAGCATTGAAATTTGGGAATGGAGAAGTTCAGATATAACTAGAATGAAAGGACACATATAACATACATACATACATGTGTATATATACATATATGTGTGTGTGTGTATACACGTTTGGTCTTTGAAAATATGACATTTTTTTATTGTAGTCCTTATTTAAATTTCATTCTTTAGTCCTCACATTTTACAAAACAATGCATTTTTAATCCCTCCTAGGCTAAAACCACTAGTTTATTAAATTTTAAGCATTAAAAACAAAATAGGAACTAATTTCAAAACATGTCATATTTTCAAGCCACAAAGGGATGCTCAAGTCAAAATGAAAAACAAAAACTTGAGATACAATTACACTCCTAATATCTTTAAAGAAAAATTTCCATTTATTCAACACTATTTAGTTATTCATTTTCAAATAATTTTCCACATTGATCACATTCATTCTTGTGTATTGCCTAAAACAAGCAAATAATCCCTTGAGCAAAGATGTATTGTGTTTCTTTAATCTACATTTTGGATGATAGAAACTCTACATTGCATAACATTAATGAATAGAATTAAAACAATTACTTTATTAAATTATATCTCTGTTTTGTCCTATTTGATGTGACAGAACAAAAGAGCTTTATAATTTATTCTTATGCCATTAAAAAATATAATCTTCACGGTACTAACTCAAACTCCTAACACCATTGCGTGAAACTCAACCTCTACACTTGACCAAGCAAATTGTTTTGTTTCTTGTTCCTCCTCATAACTAAATTTCCACATAACATCATCCAACGAAATTGAACCAAACCATCCCCTTGAAAACAATTCGGCAAACGAAAATTTAATTCTCTAGACTCCATCAAAACATTACAAATAATAACAAATAGATGAATGAAAATATAAGCATACCTTCATTGATAAGAAACATTCTATTAGAAGATTGGGCCTAACTCATAAGAGGAGGGTTGTGTAAGCCTTATAAGAAGTATTCTGACCATATTCCTAACTGATGTACGACATTTTAACACACTCTCCTTTCACCTAAAATTGAACATTTGGTACGTGAAGTTTGCAGGATCTGTGAATAGCCTAACATTTAAGATGGAAAGGCTTTAATGCGATACTATAAAACTGAGTCTAACTTGCTTTTAAAAGTTATCTCATAGGAGGAGGATTATTCAAATTTTTTAGGGTATTTTATCCATATTTCTAGTTGAGGTGAAATATCTTAATACACCTCTCTCACAATTAGAACTAGACATTTGGTGCACATGAAGTGTGCAAGATTAGACATTTATGCGTGGCTTAACATTCAAAAACACGAGATTATGATAGCATATTAAAAATCTTAACACATCCCCCTCACCTTTAGGATTAAACATCTGATACATGAAGTTTATAGGACTAGTTATTTGCAAGTGGTCCAATATTTAAATTGGATACGCTTTAATACCATAATAGATCTTATCACATTCTATAAACAATTTTTCTAATGTGTACCTATAAATGCATAATAAGAGCCTGTATATAGTAAGTTTTTATTAAAAATCATAGTATATAAGTATATTACAAAATTCAATGCATTGATAACATTTTTTAGTTATCAATTTCTTATTGTATGACTTTGAGCACATGTTAGAAAAATCGTTTTATCAAAACCATATTCAATCATCCAATCTAAGACTCTAAAACCTTAGGAGTCTGTTTGGTATCATTGTAAATGGGGATGAAAACTTCAAGAATACTTTTTGATATGAATTTCATCCTAGACCTTTTCACTCCTTTCAAGGGGAGCACCAAACTGACCCAAAGAATTATATCTCAGTATCCTGGGATACAAAATAGATGCATTTAGAAGTAAATCATGCAATACACTCACATCGCCAACACATTTGGTAACATCTTCTACTTCAGCTTTGCCAAAGGAAAACGGTATGGAGCCTACTGAGATAAGCAACTCCTGGAAAAAAAATGCATAGAATAAGTGACCGTAGCTTAAAAAAAAAAAACAAATAAAGTAAATTTGATTAGCTGTGATAAGTTGATGACCATTAATGTAATATTGCAAGGCACAATAAAATGGTTTCTAAGATAGCTGAACAAAATCACATACAAGGTTCATGACATAGACATAGACATGCATGGACAATAATAAAGTGAAGAAGCAAAAGATAACATGGATATTGAGATGCAAACCTTAATTCTCGGAGTTGCCCAATTGTTTAGACTTTTCTCCTCCCATGTCCCAGCCTGTATTAATTTTGAACCATTCAGATTCTTTGATACAAGAAAACTTCATAGCTAAACATAGTGTATAGTATACCCTTCAGGTGGAGTTTGTTTCAAGGGATATAATTACATTCCTACGAATAAAATTACTAAGAATGTTATACTTGGGTGTATTGCTTGGTTAAGGTTTAATATTTGTGGAGATATTTTTCAAAATTCAAATGATGGGAAAAATAAAGTTGGGAATAGAAGTTACTGGTTGGGTTACCAGAAAATTTCCAATATTCCCATGGAAAAGCAACATACCCATCCATCACCATGGGAATGTCATATTGACAAGTTCACTTTTCCAAGAATAATATTAGTTAGTTTGAAACAAACACATCTTTAACAATCCAAATAATCTCTAAACAAGTGTAGCAGAATGCAGAAACATATCTTAATTTCCTCAAAGATATTTGCAACACTGAAAACACAATAGCGCATCAAGTCAATTATAAGACAAAACTTAGATGCAGTTCCTTAGATGTTGTTCATACTGTTTACCAATCAAACTAGAGTTTTTTTTCTGTAATATGCAATAACTTTAAATGTAAATTACTACCTTCATTCTTATTTATAAGAAACAACTACCAATATTTTTTCCATCCAAAATTTAAGAAACAAAAACTTATTTTTAAATGCATTAATTGCTATATTCCTTTTATACCCTTATTTCTTGTGAGATTTGTATTAACAAGGTACTCACCCTTAACCATATAAGTGGACACATTTATTCATTTAATATGAGACACCAATTAATACTAGAGTATTTTTGGAATAGAGTAGTTTATGACATAATTGCTTTTAATTAGTCTAAATGAGTTAAATATTTGTTTCTCATAAATAGGACTAGAGGTAGTATTTATTAAAATAAAATTCTAATTTTGATTGGTAAACAGTACCAACAACACATAAAAACAGCACAAAAGTTTTGTCCTAAATTATAATACTCATGAACTTGGCAACAACCACGATTTCCACATAATTCTGAATTTAATTTGTCCTAAAGCTTCATTTCTAGAAGACAAAACATAGCCACGGTTGATGAACTGGAAATGGAAATGCAGGGGAAGTTTGGGTGAATGGCTACATGCTAGAGATTCTTCATTGGCTCTATTTTATTTTTTAAGAAGTATAGATGTTGAAAAATCCATTCCTTTCCAATTTCATTCCAACGGCCATTATCAAGCATTTAAAAAGCAACAGCCACGATCTCCTCCATTATCCCATTCATTTCTACATCCTTCAGGCTTCAACATAAGACCCAAGTGAAAAAAGTTGTCTTAAAGCATATAAATACTTGGAGCATATTTGTCTATAAGATAAAATTTACGGATCTTTCCCCCCAAATAAATTTTATATGGTCTTTAACAATGATTTGGACTTTTTTATGACTTTAAGATTAAGCATTTGAACAATCATCGAAGAGAAGTGGATCAAATGGTTGATGGAAACTCAAATCATTGACTTTTCTGTTCAATTATAATCATTATAAAGGAGAGAAAGAAAAAAAGGTCATACGCGATTCCAAGCTGAACCAATCGTCGCAGGCTGAGATTGACAAGGGGGAACTTCTTCTGGGGTCAACTTGCGAGGCACTGGCAAAGGTGCTGCATCTCCCGTTATTTTCCTAACCCAATACGTATACGAGGCGCCTTGTTGCCCTTCTTTCTCTGAGGACACTAGTGCTCCAGACTCCATTTTACTATTTCTCCCAACACATCAACAAATTATTAACTTTAAGGAAAACAAATATTTAAATTGCACCATCAAATTAGAAGAAACTTGAACTAACGTTTACGATTACGATTACGAAGAAGCAAAAGATTGGCACCAATGTAAAAGCATACACCAAAGAGTCTTCAACAAACGCTGGGTGTTGTATTGCGGCTATTGCAGAGGAATAAACACAAAAGCCGTTCAACTCACAAAATAATGGACGGCGGTAATACAATTAATATTTGCTCTTCCCGAAGTTTCCGTAGAAATGAGACGGATTGGAACTCAAAATGTCAACTAAAAAAATAAGTGATAATTACAGTAAACCTGATAGGGTATTTTGTATCTCTATATATTCACTCTGGTGATTCTTCCGGTCCGTGATGGTTTTACCTGAATTGTCTTTTTTTTTTAATCTTGCTATCTAAGTTCCGATTAAAGAATAAAAAAAATATAAGCACTAGTTTGTTTTCTTTAAATATAATTTTATATTTAAAAAACATATATAAAAACTTATTTATCGACGTAAATTTTAAAAATAATATTTTATTTTCTGATTTTAAAACTAAAAAACAGACTATGGTCGATATTTTTGTTTTTATTATTTTTTAAATTAATAAAAATTTAACTAAAAGAAGTTTTAAAAATTAAATTATTAAATAAATTTTATTTTTTTAAAAATAATTTTATAAAATTTTTAAAATATAATTTTTAAAAATTAAAAATCAAAACTAAATAAAACAAGTTTTAAGTTTTTATTAAAAATTGTATTGAATTGTATTAATTATTATGTCTTTTTAATTTTAAATATTTTTAAATTATATAAATATATTTATTTAATTTATTTTTTAAAAAAAATACTTTTAATTTTTTTAAATTTAAAATATTTATGATTATTATTTTATTAAAATGTGTCATATATTTAATCATATAACATTAATAATTATTTTAAAATAATATTTGGTGTGACACATTTAAATGTGTCACTTAATTAATAAATAATAATAAATATCATTAAAAAATTATAAAATTTATAACATTAATTAACTTAAATCATATTTATATAAATATATATTATTAATTGATTTCTGATATTCAACACCCAACTTTATATAGTCAATAACCATATTTATATAATTCAGTTACAGTATAATTGTTATTATATTAGTAGTAGTTTCGTACTTATAATCTACTATTGGTGACAAATAAATAACCTTATGATAGTCATTAATTAAGTAAGTTCAGTAACACATATTAGAGAAGTGAAAAAAAAAAAAATTATGCGTACACATTGCAATATTACCAGCTTCTATAATTAATTACCATCATTTTGAACATAGAATTACTAGCTTTTTGTGGTCAATTACCATCTATATACAGTTCACTTAAGAAAAAATTATTATCATTTTAATTGTAATATATTCTTCAGGATTACAATATATACTATTGTATTATCCACAATACAATATGTTAGCTAGTCCAATGATGGGAGTAGGAGACAAATTTATAGACATAATAGATTACCAACTTATACACTAAATTACCAGTATCTTAGACAAAAAATTACTAACTGTGATGCTGGATTACCTACATTCACTAAATGTTGTTGTCTTGAAGGCCACCATAGCAAAATATAAAATTATTTTTAGTTACTCATCAATACAAGATATACCTAAAGAATTACTAGCTTATACACTAAATTACCAGAACTTAGGTAAAAAAATTACTAACTAAATATGTCAAATTACTTACATTCACTAAATTACCTACATTCACTAAGTATCGTTGTCTATAGGGCCAAAAGTCAGAGTACTCCTTAATATTATCTGTACTCGTAACATTGTGAAAAATCTAAAAAAGAGGAGAAAAAAAATACTTGTGATACTGTGAGTGTTGCCCAATTAGTATTTCAAGCTTTCAAAACACAAATGTTGCAATGAGGACCAATATATATATTCAAAGGAGTAGGCTGCAAACAACAAGTGAGAGAGAGTCACAGAAGAATGAATAGTGGGCGAGAATGAGAAACATTTCTTTTTTGTTGAAGAACAAAAATAGTGCAAAGAAGAGGACATATAAGAAGAAGGGTCAGAGTCACTCAAGAAGAGGATATTCAAGAATATGAACAAGGGTGAGTGTAACATCCTCGTTTTTTTAAACAGTTAATTTGTTAATATAATTATAATTTAGATTATAATTCTTCAATTTTTTTGGCAAAAAAAAAATATAATAAAAAAAAATAATTGCTCATTTATACCGGTTAAAATTGCTCTATGAGGATAAAAATAACATTTTTAATTACGAAGAATTATTTTAAATAATAAAATTTGTATTTTTAATTAGAAATAATATTTGGAGTGTAAAAATAATTATTTTGGTAATTATTGCTTATTTTTAGATTTTGGTTGATACTGTTTTATGTGTTAACAGGAACTATGTGATTAGTTTTTTTTTCCTTTTTCTTTTTCTTTTTAAGTGATAACCAAGGAGATATTGATGTCAAAAAATTATGTTATAATTATTTTAATTGTTTGGCATCAATTATTTTTATTTTTGAGTTTTATTCATAATTATTTTATTTAATTATATTAAAATAGCAAAATAATTGATTATTGTATTATTATTTCTTTACCTATTTGACTAAATTGACCACTTTCTTACGTGAACCTTCTTCTTCTCCAAGTCCATAACCCCTTCTTCTCCCTTTCACCATTTTCATTTTCTTCCACTCATTTAAGCTTGTTTTAAGGTATGTTTTTAATATATATCCTTAATTAAGCTTAATTATTTGTTAATTATCATTTCATCCGATTAAAATTTTAATTTTTTCATGTTTTTTTGGCTGTCATGAACAGTAAAAATGGGTCTTACTTTGCTTCAAAATTATTGGTTTTAAACTTGCTTTCTTTTGTACTATATGTAGACTATGCATGGCTTATATTGTTTACATAATTAGTTTTTCAAAAATGTGATTAAAAAGCACTAAACCCTCACAAGGGTTGGCTGCCATGTGGTTTTAGAGAAGGTGAAGTGAGTGTTTTTTACTTCCATTTTATTCCTTTTATATTAGTTAGATTATAGAAACTAATTTTGTGTTAATCGGACTTTTATAGCAAAAGTTAGAAAATTTTAATTTTTACATATACATATAAGAGTATAAAATTAGCATCTCCTTAGTATTAATTATGTTTAGGCATGATTAATTGATTAGGTTGATCGTTTTGAAGATTGGATTGTTCGAGTTTTTCTAAAGAATCAGAAAAGAAAAAAAAAATTCATCCATACCTTCATCAAAGAACATCCGTAAGGTAAGGGGTGGGATGATTTTATTTCAATAGGTGGCATTAAGAACCATAAGGGAATAATTCTCTATTGTTCTAATCAAATAAAATGAATTTAGGTTGTTTTAGAGCTAACCCATAAATTTTAGAAGATTTTGTTATAGTACTGGACATGTATGAAAGGTTGCCTTAGACCAGGAAATTGATTGAACAAGGACTCTCCCTTATATGTAAGGTCCTTTGTGTATTTAAAATTAATGTATTGGAATGATTTATGGTTGAAGTGCTATATTGAATTATTTCTTTATAATTGGTTGAATTCTCATTATGTGTTTGTGTAGATATTCTTGTTGGTATGAATGCCATATAATGGTAAAGATTGGAAGTAATTTAGTTTTATGTGATGTGAGCATATAGATTGACATAATCTAAATGTCCATTCAGACTTGTTGGAGAGAAGAAAATATGTTTTTAAGGTATATATATATATATATATAATTATGTATTTTATATATAGTACAAGTATCTTTTGACTTCTTTGGAAAATGGATTTAATAAAAATAAATAAATAAATTATATTACTGAGAAAGTAGTATTGGATATTTGGAAGGCTTGAATCATTTATTTAAAAAATGATTAAGTCCTCAATTTTTAAGCATGAAAACATATTTAAAGAAAGAGGGGAAGATACGATTTTCTTGGATTTTGAGGTGATGGAGGTGGAATTTAATAAATTAGAAGTATTCTGGATTTTTTCTGGTTGTTTTACAGGAAGAAGAAAATTTTGGAATATCTGATTTACAGAGGAGACTCTGTCGAATTTTATTGAGAAAAGAAAAAGTTAAGGATTGTACTTAACAAAAAAGAAAAATTAAATTTTTTCTCTAATTAAATTAATTAGGAATGAAGACATGCATCATGAACATGTGATAGTGTGATGAGTGGACAGGGAAGTATAAGAAATCTAGGGGCGGCTCCAGGGTAGTCTTGGGGATAGTGACGTGTGATTGAATCTGACAGTGGCCAAGGCTCGCCACCTTGTGCTGTGGACTCTCACTGCAAAACTTTACTATCCTGACTGGTCCCGAGAGATTCTTGTATTAGTAGAGCTGTTACTGTATTATGAGATTAACCAAGTTGGCAGTTAAGTAACAGTGAAACTCCTGATCCTTCCCTGAGTAAAAGAAACAGATTGATGGTTCTGGGCCCACATGCATGTGTCAAAATGTACTAAGTTATAATAATAGACTTGCATCATTTCTCATTCATGGCATATGCATTTGCTTGGTAGATTATGGGTGTTGATAATTAATTGTGTGATTGAAACCCTTATATGTCTTTTGCTGCTGGAGATTGAATCGAATTGTCTCACCCTTTTATTGCTATGTGTGTTGTGTGTGAATATGTTTATTAGGTAAGAACATTGATGGCTCGACCACCGTACCAATTCAGCGTCTCGATCAGATATGATCCCGAGGGAAGATGGGTGCACGACTGGGAGCAACAACGATTCACCCACACTGGATCTATTACCTTTTTGTTAGATAGAAATGGGCCAGGCCCACGAGCTTACCTTATTCCCATCCGAGTACCCATGAGAATTACTTTTCCATTTCCTTCAGATGTACAGTTTGTGCGACCCCCTACCCCACCTCCTGTCCCTGTATTATCACCCCCGGTATTACCCCCAGGTTTCCTTAGACCTTTACGTCCTTCTATACCATATTTACCACCTGTTGAACGGACTAGTTTAGTTGACACACTTTTAGCAAGACCTATCTCTATCTCATCCACTTCCTCTTCGTCTTCCTCTAGTTCTTCAGACTCTTCTGATTCTTCTCACTGTTCAAACACCTCTACTGCTATCGGAAGGAAGATGACTGCTTCTCAAGCAGGACTCCTTCCTAATTTTACCTCCTCTGGGTAGGAATCTAGTGGAAAAGGAGAGTAGGATAGAGTCGAGTAAGGAATAATCTATACATATACGTAGGTGTAAGTACTTTTGACTGAAAAGAAAAATGGGTATATAGGAAGCCTAACCTTACCGTTGTTGAATTTTGGGAGGAAATGGGCACTTTGGTGATCATGGATCCAGGGGAAAGCTCGTGAGGTCTTCGTTTTGGGTTGTCATCTCTGATATCGTGACTCCACTTTATTTCGTATGTAATTCAGTTATGTATATATTTAGATAACTGGATGATTGTATAAATTAACAGATGACGTGTATGTATGAAATGAAGACTTCTAGTAATGGTAATGTATTTAATTTCACTATATCTGAATAAATATATATATACCCATGCATGTGATGTTCTTACTGTTTAGTTATTTTATGATTGTATTTATATTTATTGCTTAGTAAGTAGTAAGGGTGTCACAGTGAGAGTCATTCAAATATTTTTTTTTGATTTGTTCAAGAAGAAAAAGACAAACAAAAGGTCACTGGACAGTTAGCAAAATAAGTTTTTTTTTTTTTTTCTTTGAAGAAGAAGATGAACATGACACATGATTGAGCATGAGAGTTGAAGAAATTTTTTTTGAAGTTTGATAACCTGTGCGCATGTGTAGAATAAGTTTGGTACAACCTAATACTTGATTTCTTTTCTTATATAGGATCACGTATAGACACTTAAAATAAGTGTCTAAATAGCATTACTCCCTATATTATCCATATTCTCAAGGGTTTGCACAAAGCATGACACAAAAAAAAGTAATGATATTATTTTTACCATAATAATATTAGTATAGATAGAAAAAAGAAAGCCACACGTTCGCAATGTGTTGTAACAAAACAACCAACATGATTCACATTAAACCAACAAATTTAGTCAAACTAAATTTTAAAAAAAATCATTGATCAAAAAATCTTTTTTAATTACCTCTATTTTTTTTTTTAATATTCCTTTACCCTTTTTTTTTTACCAGAATAAAAAACATATGGTTTTAGTGATTTAATAACATTATACATAACTCGAAGAGGATTACGAGTTGTTTTTGGAATTTCTATGATGAATTATTTTAATATAACTTTACTGTTTAATGTTGCCTAATTTTATGTACATAATTAAATTTTAAACAGTTTGTTTTTCACGAATGGAGGACCTTAGCTTTACCAAGCAGCTATACCTTTACTTTTAAGTAATTGTCTTTAAAGTATTTTGAGACGTAGAAATAATTCTGCCCAAACGCAACCTTGATGAAATTAAAAAGGCCCAACCAATTTTATTTTATTGCTTTGGGTTGATACATACAATTCATTCTCTACCGTAGCGTAAGATAATTGAGAATAGCGTGCCGAAAGAAACTACTAAATTACAAGCTTTTAAAGAGATCAATTTGCACATGGGAGAAAATTGACGCATAAAAAGCCTAGATATAAATAAGCTAACAATTTGCTGAGGCACTATCCATAACCCACAACCTTAAAAACCTATAAAATTGTGTACGTCTATAGAAGAAAATGATTGTAAATCCTCACCTCAATCCCTTGTACTTGCCAACACGGAAAATCCTTGTAATAATCCTACATTAATTAAAATTCATAACGGCGATTTGAAACCTCTAATTAATCTTTGGTTTTGGTTGCCTTGGCCTCAATACCATATAAAGGCACCCTAGAACAATCAAGAAAGCTGGAAACGTTGTCATATCAAACACCATATGTATTTTTCTCTCTCTGGTGCAGTTAATCGGATGGAGAAGGGCAAGTGTCGCATTAACTTGATCATTAAACCTGCAAGAAAGAATGTGTCAGAGGAAAAAAAACCAAATTTTCAGAAAAAAGATTTAAATAGCTTTTAAACACAGAAAAGAGAAAGGAAAGTAATCAAGAGCAAGTACTTCACTGCTGCTGAAGTCTAAATGAAAATACAGGTTAGCATCCAACCAGTGGGAACATATAAATAATTGTGCTCCACATCCTATCTCCACCCTCAGGATAAGCTTATGGCCCATTATATAGGGATATAAAAAAATAGGAACAAAGGAGCAAGGAAAAACACGTTGATGTAACAGGAACTATTAATCTTCAACTGTCGAACGCATCCTCTTTAAGTTATAGTAGGCAGAGACCATAAAGGGGCCAGGAAACTTTATTTTAGTGTTTTTCATTTTTAGAGAAGTTTGAACTTAGAAGCATATCATGAACCATGTCAATGGTTTATGCATATAGGTGAAGAAACATGAACGGTTTCCTGCTTTTATATCCATATAATATACACCCTAATGATAGAGCCCTATTGGATTTGAAGCAGCAGTAAGGGCAGTAATTCTATAGGTCCACACTCCAAAAGATAGAGACTGCAGAAGTACTTGATAACAGAACCACACGTAAAGGCATCACTGAAGTTTTAGTCAAATGGCGAGATTGCAAGGAGAGTTCCCTACCTTTCACCTTGAGGGCAAGGTGAAAAAGGAAGAGAAGAAGGGGGGGGGGGGGGGGATTGAGTGATTTACATAAGGAAATAATTCAGTGATTTAGGTAAGACGATAAAAGGGTGAAAGTTGACCTGGATAGCTATAAGAAAGGAGTTAGGAAGAAGAAAAAGGAGGAAGTAAAATAGATAGTAGTCAGGAAAGGAGAGTGGAGGGTCTCTTGAATACCCTTGTTAGTTGTTACCTTTCATTTTCTATTATTCTGCTCTTCTGGTGCGCTGTTGCCATCTATTGGTACCAAAATTATTTAATAATACAGTGAATTTATCCCAATTCAGGGTGTTTTGATCCAGTTTCTAACAAAAAAAAAAGTGAAACAAATGAAATAACCAAACTGGTTCATATTTCCGCACACAGTTTAGTTCATTGATCACACCATTCCAGTTTGGTTAATTGTAATAAACCAAATCAATATCACTATAACAATTGGGAAATTTCAGATATCAATCTCACTCTCCCACAATTGAACCCTAAACCTCCTTTCTCTCTTTGCATCAAACCTGAGCCACTGATCTGCTAAAATGAGTCTCTGGCTTTGGGTGTTGAGCAAAAGATGGCTGCTTGCTGGTCTGATGTGTGGGGTAAGCAGGTGACCAGTGATGGTGCAGTGAGGTGGTGGTGACTGGAACCTGAGCTGTGCACAGTTTCCAGGGTGGTCATGAGTCCTGTAGCAGCTTGGTTGCGGTCTCAACCAAGGCATGTGGTATGGTGGTTGGAGGTGCATTGTGGAGTATATTGCTGGAGATGAAGGCTTATGTTGCCAGAAAGGCCGAAACAAGAAACATGCATCACCAATAATAATGGTGGAATGAGCAAGATTGCTGTGAACTGGTTATAAACTGGTTCCATATCAATTTACAATTGATTCACCAAAACAAAATCAGTTTGGCAGCAAAATAATTCTAGATTGCTTTGGAAAACCAATCCATATTACCGGTTTGGTTTAATTGCCAAATCAAACCATGTCTAATTACATTACATGTCATGAACAAACTATTCCCTATGCTTAAGCTGTTTATGTGAAGGAATAAGAATGATTTCATACTGTTATATCTCCAACATAGCATAAGGAAGCATTCATAGTGTGTGGGCTAGGCCTAGGATAGTTACTTTGAGGAATCACCAAGAAGGAAATGAGTTGGAATAAATCTAGAATGCTATACGGATGGGAATATCAATTCTATGTTGTTGAGAAGGGATGAATATGCAATTGAAGACTAACTTTGACAAATGATCAAGTGTTTTTGAGCAAGAACCAAATAATAAGTGCATTATTGTGTTTTGTGTAGGAAGAGTTCAGAGACCAATTTGTTTGGTGATCTGGATGACTCTTGAACATGCCCTAAAGCAATTTCTCTATTTGTTTTAACTTTTAAGGTTTCTGAAGCAATTTCTTTATGGATCAATGTTGTATGCCCCCATTTTTCTGTTGATATCTCAGAAATCGCTACTTTTATTTTAAGAATCTCTAGACAGTGGATGAACCACTTTATTGCCTTTATTGCAGGTTTCAACTGGTTTCCTATTGCACAAGCTTAAGCCACTAGGTTGGAGAAACCTTTTGAGCAAAGGAGTTCCCTTTAGCACATTGATACCAAGATGCTGTATTTTCTGCTATTTTCCTGTACAGTTTGCTAGGTTATATTAGAGATGACCTTTTGAAACTGTTCAATGAGTTTCATTGCAATGGGTATGATTGAATGAGTGGCAATCTACCTTCAACGCTCTTGTGCATAAAACAGTCCTACAGGGGTCATCAATCTTACTAACATATAATAAATTATTTAACTGGGTACCTTTTGTCGGGCTGATTGAGGTGTTGACAAATAGTTCAAAATGATCCAGCTCTTAGTATCTCACTCTTTCGGAATAAAAAAGAAAACCTATGTAATCTTCTATACATCCTTTGAGCAAACCCCACATCTGGTTCACAAAAGGAAAATACTACCTTCTAACTATCTAGCCTTTTTTGTAATCTTTAGTCCAATTGTATCTCATAAAGGGACAACACTTCTAGCCAAAATCTTTTGGATTCCAAGGCCCACACTAAGGTGTAGTCTTCAATTTGGAATTTTGTATTTAATAGTAAGGTTTTGAAATGTAGTTGCATGCCAATGTCGTCTGCAAATGTGTGATGTAGTTGTGGCTTGCATTAGGTGATGTGACCTGTAGTTAAATCCTTGCTAAATAGGATTAATAGTAATACAAATGACTCGTTGCAGGTTGCCAGATTGCAAAAATCTCTTTTTTATCCAATTTGCAGTGTGTTTCACTAATTCACTTCATTTATATTTATATTTATAATTATAATTATACTGTCCAAAAGCTAGAGCTCTGTGGACTTCTGTATTGTTAGTGAATGTTAGATTGCCCCGGAGTTTTGGAGAGCTTTATTAAAGGGATTTCTCTGTTAGGCAAGCAGAGAAATCGGTGAGCATTGCATAGATGATGTTACTTTCTTCTTCGATTGGATTTATATTTTTTATGGTTTTCTTAGGAGGTATCCTATCTTCTCCCATTGATAGAAAAAATCTATATAAATATATCTTCCATGAATTATGTTTCTTTTTCAGTAAAAAAACTTATTGCATAATAATATCTTCTGTCTAACCTTTTGGATGCATCCTCCAAGGTGTTTAGTAACCTCAATGCATCAGCATAGCGCAGTTCCCCAGTGACAGTTGATACCTGAAAATACAACATTCATGAAATTAACTGGTAAAAAATGAGATTGTAAATTTAATAGAAGCTACTAATAAATAGCACTCACCCTTTTCCAAAGGCTAACAACATAATTGTACTTGTTTACAAGCTCATGCTCCTGGGACTGGAAGATCACGAAAGTTTTTTCAGCTTTATTTTGTTAAGAATTCATACAGATAACTCATCTCTTGTCTCAAGGAAAATAAAGGCCCTACAATATTTCTGAGAAACAAGTGGTAGGCTTGGATGAGGAAATGCAATGGATGAGGAAATCAAGACACATGATACATTGACTACAAAATACTCATTTAATTCTTCAAGATAAATTTATGAATTGACAAGTGCTCTCCCAATACCAGTCCACATCAGAGTGGCACCATTGGCAATTTTGTCCTGCCTTGTGATAGTGCTGAGCAATGAACAACCAAAAAATTAATTGCTAATAAACCAATGAAACTAAAAGATTAAGCTGTTATGGAAAGGAAAATGCTACTCAACCAGAAATAGTTGACATGCAAATTGACTTATGGTTCTTGAGTGGTCCTTTACCATTTCGTCTTGTCCAGCAATCACTTTGAAGAGTTGAGAGAGAGTAACAAGAGTTGAACCCACAATCACTTGGTCAAAATGCTTTCATACTATGATTGAAAGTTGTGGAATAATGAATCTTATTTATTGATTCAAAACTGATCAAATGGGCAAAATAAAATATAAAGAAAAAATCAGGATTTAAAATCAGAATTATTGGATGGTAAGAATTATACCTCTTGGGCTTCTAACATTCATTTTTGACTTGTAAGACAAGATAATGAGAAACACCTCAGTAAAGAGGTAGGTGGTATCATGGTAGTCAAAATTGTGTGCTGGCTTGTAAAATTGTGCGATTTTACGATTCCTAATCCCTTTTTGTGCTAGCTCGCTCTCAAAATCGCAAATCACTAGGATCAAGTGTGATCGTCATGCTTGATTGTAAAATTGATAAGCACAAACGACCAGCGTGCTGAGAAAACCCAATTTTTAACTTATGACCCTCATCTTTATATTTATATGCATATATACAATTTTGTAGGATTTTACTATCCGTGTTGCAATCCTATAAGTTACGATCTTTTACCCCTCTCTGATCTTAGTCCTACGTAAAATCTCAATTTTGACTGCCATGGGTGGTATACTAGAGGTCACCTTTTGTTGATCGAAAAAGATTGATGCAACTACGTTGCATCATTTAATCTACACTTCATCCATCATTGTGTTCTATTTTTGTGCTCATGAGGTGTTTGGACCCAAGCACAGACCCTATACACCAATAATACTCTATGTCTCTCTGGGCTTTGTTGTGACCTCATGACTATTGTTGGTGCTTGACATGTTGATGACTCTATGGCTACTTATCTAGGTAAGGTTTCTGGTTTCCTTTGTGACTTTAATGAGATACTTCCTCCTACTTCTACACTAACCTTAGAACTTGAGCAGTGGTAACAATTCTTTAGGATTCTTGCTCTATATGGTTTGCCTGACGAACATTCCCACATTCATGAATCATGATTAGATCTTGGGCTCTACCATTGCTCTTGAAACTGTTACACATCCTGTCCCTATTGACTCATTTACCTTAGTCTCTCATGGGGGTGATGGTTCTCAATTCCATAGACCTAGGAAACCTCACCTGAAATGTGATCACTATCACAAGCCTAGTCACACCATTGATAGGTGTTATGCTTTACGTAGATGCCCTCCTCACACTGCTCATGTTGCTCAGAGTACTATGCCCACTCCCATTGATGCTCTCTTGGCTACACCTTCACAAGCATCACCTCTCAGCTATAATGACTTTCTGATGTGGTATAAGGAATGCCATGCTTCAAGTTCCACTGATTTTGTTGCACACATTGGTAATTCTTTTGCTAGCATCTCCCATTCCATTCCTCTTGATCCCTGGGTACTTGATTTAGAGGCCACCAATCAAATAATTGGTAATAAATCACTTTTCTCTACTCTTTCTACTTTTGGATATTTACCTTCTATTACTATAGCTAATGGTTCTCTAACCCAATCTAAAGGCATTGGTACTTTCCATCCTTCCTCTACCTTTTCTATTTATAATGTCCTTTAAGTTCCTTGATTTCCTTTTAATAGCAGCTGTCTCATCCAATCTCTTGATTCTGCTATTACCTTTACCCGTAGTTCAGGGAAGACATTTAGAACTAGATGTGAGTCCAAAGGTCTTTATCAATTATATAGACCATCTCATGTTAGTTTGGTGGTGGAGTCTCCTCTCTCGATTCAAGCTAAATTAGGACATCCAAATCTTTCCAAGTTGTGCAAATGGTGCCAAGTTTATCGAAATTATCATCATTGTCTTGTGAGTTGTGTCAGCTAGGTAAACATGTTCATAATTCCTTTTCTAGTCATCCTAATATAGGGTTTTTTCTCCTTTTATTTTAGTCCACTCCAATATTTGAGGTCTTGGTCGTATTGTGTCTACATTAGGATTTAAATATTATATTACTTTTATTGTTGACTTTTCTCAATGTACTTAGTTATATGTAAGAAAAGACTGATCTGAATTGTTTTTTGTCTTCCAATCCTTTTATAATGAAATAAAACTCAATTTGAAATTCCGATTTGCATGTTACAAAGTGACAATGCACATGAATACTTATCTACCCAGTTTCAAACTTCTATGGCTTCTCATGATTCATCAAATTTCATGTCCTCGTCACCTGATTGAAACTACTTGAACTCTTCTCATTCAATCATGTTTCTTATCATTTCTAGAGAGATGCTGTTCTTATTGCCTACTATATTATCAACAGGAACGGTTAGTCTCACCAAATTCTCTATCCTCATCACTCTTTTTCCTATTCCTCCCAAGTGTTTAGGTCTACATGTTTCATTCATAATCTTGCTCCTGGGTTGGACATACTTTGCTCATTCTCTCAAGTGTGTCTTCCTTAGTTATCCTTTCTTTCAAAATGGGTATAAGGGATACTCTACCACTCTTCATCAATATTTTATCTCCTTTGATATTATGTTTGTTGAATTAAAACCTTTCTTTTTATCCGACTCTGCATCTAATTCTCTTCAGATTTAATTCATTTCCTTCCCCCTAAGGACTTTATATCCTCTCTACCCTCTGATTGTCCTTTGCAGGTTATCAGCACTGGCATCATCAATTAGTGCCTCCACCAATCACCACTACACCTACTTTTGATTCACTGCCAGTTTCCTCTCTGTTGTCTCCTCCGGCCCTGCCTTTCCCTGACAATACTTCCATTGCTCTTCAGAAAGGTAGTCACTCTACTTAAAATCCTTCTCCTCATTATGTTACACTGGGTTATCATTATTCTTGCCTCTCTTGTCTTTTGTTTCTCTTCCTAAGAATGTAGGAGATTCCCTTGTTCATCCTGGATGGAGAAAGGCAATGCTCAACGAAATGAGTGCACTAGAGCAAAATGGCACCTTGGATCTGGTCTCTCTACCGTTTGGAAAATTTGTTGTTGGCTATTCATGGACTTTTACTGTTAAGGTTGATTCAGATGGGCAGGTTGATCAGCTTAGGGCTCGCATCATGGCTAAAGGCTATACACATATCCATGGCTGTAATTCACCATTGGCCCCCCTATCAATTGGATTTTAGTAATGCTTTCCTCCATGGTGATCTATTGGAAGGTCAACATGAAGCAACCTGCTGATTAAGTTGCTCAGGGGGAGTGTTCTAGACGTGTTTATTGTCTATGGAAAGTCTTATAAAGTAAACAATCTCCTCATGGTTTGGTAGATTTCACACTATCATTTAGTAGTTTGGCATGTTTAGAAGTGAAGCATATTATTTTGTTTTCTATTATCATTCTTTTGCTGGAAGCATCTATTTATTTGTATATGTTGATGATGTCGTTACTAGTCCCATGGATTTCCAAGTGCAACTTATCTACTCCCGCGGCTTTTCCAGTACTACCTACCATGTCCTGTGGCTTATATATATATAGCATCCTACAATTTCCATACTCTAGATGTTCAATCATATGCGTGAGGGGGTGTGTTGAAGTCCCACATCAACTGTAGATATAGCTAAATAAGCTTCAGGCTTGAGTTAAGCTTAAAGCCCAAATAGGCAAAAGTTCAAAAACATTTCTATATTTAATCAGTGTCCTACTGCAAGAAAAACATTTTTCAGAGAATAATCTGGTAGAATAATGTGCAGTTCATGCATCACATGCTAAATAAGTTTTTCACAAATTGAATACATTTAGTTTTCATAGGAATTAAAATTTAGGAAGCAACACCCATTTATTTTGCCAGGAAAATAGTCCCCACTTAGTCTATTAAGATGTAAGAGTATTTCTATAGACGTTTGGCATAATCTAAGCAATACAAATTTATGTAATATCAATTGAACTATTCCATCCTATCTCCCTAGAAATTCAACATAACCCAATCCCTCCCCTTTTCAATAAGCTCATATATGTCTAAAATCTCATTCTCGTCTGAATTCTAAGAGCAAAAATTTACTGTTCAGAGAGGAAAGATAGGAGATTACAGTAAGGTGCATTCCAAGAATGATCTAATTGATGGCTTTGGAACATGATAGTTTCTCTATCATTAAATGGATGCAATGCTATACAATAAGGATACTGGTACGCTCCATTAACAGAAGATGAATGGCAGAATTAACCAGTTCTATTGACTCTTCAAGCGTAGTGATGATATAACTCCTAGCAATTGAATCAGACTGAAACTGTGAAATGTGCCAGCCTTGTGATGTAATGGAGAAAGGGTTGCATCCTACCGACCATAACCAGTCCTGTCATGTTCAGAGATAAATCTTAAGATATGGCAGTTCAACTACAGCAGTTCAACTATGCTTTATAATGAAACTACACTTAGCATATTAAGTATTCTAGGAACCTGGTTACACAGTATGCAAGCACGCTAACCTCTAAATGTATATGTATATAGTAGATCAAGGCATTAAGCATCTGTTACCCGAATAAATTGAAAACATGGTTAAACTTCCTGCAGATCCATTTGGTATATGTATGTCACTTCTTTTTGGGGGATGGGGAGAGTTGCAGGGCGGGGTATGGTCAAAAGTAATATTTTTGCGTTTTAGAGGACTTTGGTATGCCCAAAGCAAAGTCATGTATGCCTACTTATAGTCAACACACAAACCAAAATTCCTAAACAAATGAAAGATATCTGGGTTTAATTAGACCAAAAACTCTATATGCTTCTTAAAAATAGACTGAACTCCAATCATAATCATAAAGTGTACCTCAATTGCAGTCTCATGGGCCTGACCATATACGAGATGAAGGGGAAGTAAACCAGCAAGATGCTCAGCAGTAGCAGCGACTGCAGCTTTTATAGGCTGCCTTTATTGTCCAGATGAAGGATGAAATCATGAAAAAACTGATAAGTAGATTTTTGTTCAAAGATAAAGGATGAAATCATGAAAGAATTGATAAGGACATTTTTGTTCAATAAATACAGGTTTTATCACAATTTTCAATAGCAACTTCAGCAAAATTATCTTGAATAATATTGTAGCATAAATTATAATATGACGATTTATAAATTTCAGAGAAAAGTTCATTCCTTTCCTTCCCCAATCAGCTTAACAAAACACTATGCTTTGACAAAAATTTGAAAACATAAGGCCTATTATTAAGATGATTACACATCACTTAACATAATAACATCCCAAATCATTTGGTTCCATCATCAACATATTCCCCAAAAGCAAATTCAATAATAACTGCTTTGCAAGATAGATGAATAAGCCATTTAAAAAACTTTAGGTAGGTATCTGAATCTAACCTCAAGTTCAGTAGAAGTGAGTGCCCATTACAATGTAGATGGCTTTCCCAGGAAGAAGGTTCTGACTGAACGACAATAATCATATCAGATAGCGCTTTTGCCTGAAAATATTTGTCTAGTAAAAGTGGTTCATTGTAAATGAACCAAAAGACTGGAACCTCTAGCACGGAACTGGAATGTGCATGCCTACCTGATTGTTCCCCAAAAATTATTATAATCGTCAATTCCCAGAATATCATGCAATAAAAGGAAAAAAAAATAAAAATCAGAAATCCATTTCAAAATGCAAGTGAAAATGAAAGAACTCAAGTCATCAAACTGTCCAACAGCAATAGGCAGTCCCTACTAGCTAGATGCAGAAAGTTTTTGTCAATCCCTAACATAGCACATTTCTACAATATGTTATGAATGTCATTACACTCCAAAGACTATAAACCAATCCTCAATAAATGTTCCAAAATAGGTGCAGAAACCCAATAAGGTATGCCATGATTGCTTTTTAGCAACTAAAGCATAATGTCAAGCATCTTTTAGGCTGTGCTGTGTGCACAAAGGTTATCATATATATTTATTTAATACAACAAGGTTTTGAGAAGTTAATTTATTTTTAATCTTATTCAGCTTGTGTGGAGTGTCGATAAAGAAGTGGTGGACTTGAAAAGGGAACAGTAAAAAGTCTGTTTTCAAATTAGACTTTGAGAAGGTTGAATTATACTTATTAGTGTCTTTTTGGCTGGGACCTTAGGATTTATAATGTTTATACACGATTGAAAATTAGGAAAATAGGTTAGTGCTGTTTAGATGGTTAAATTGTTTAGATGGCTAAATTATACTTGTTAGTCTTGTATGGATGGCATACCCCTTTACTATATTTCCCAATTTTCCCATTGCATATCTTTGTTATAGTAGCATAGAAAATCAAGAGAATTACGCAGGATTTCCTCTGGTTTGGTGTTGGTGTGAAGAATCATTTGGTAGGCTAGAAAACTTGTAGGCTAAAAGGTTAGAGCTTTAGGTAACTCTTAAATATGGGCTGAGACTTTACTCAACCCCAAAACCTAGCTTGTAAGGTGAGGATTGCTTTAACTTTAAAAAGTTTTAGCCATATCTATAGTCGATATGGGACTTCAACAAGAATTGACATTTATTGTAGGACTGATTTTTTTCTTTTATAAATATATTACATTGGAAAGCCGCAGGGTCAAGTAGGGAGCACTTGGAAAGCTGCAAGACCAGCTAGGTTGCACTGGAAAAATCTGTTGAGGCCAGTTTCTCTTACTTTTTTTCGTCAAGGGTGGCCCATCTTAAATTTAAACTACAGCCTAACTGAACCCCAAAAGCTAGCTTGTAGGGTGAGGATTGCTTTAATCTTCAGAATTTTTACTTTAACCACATTTGTAGTCGATGTGGAACTTCCACAATAACTTAGTGGTTAAAAATATTGCTTTGGTAAGTAAATGGCTTTGCTGTTTTCCTCGAGCAAGGAAAAGGGACTTCAACTGGATTTTGGTTGCTCTTCCTTCCCACAGACAAGCCAAAGGATGTAAGTAGGTCTTTCATCTCAAAGAAAACTGTGATGGTACAACAAATATGTACAAAGCACTCTTGTTGCAAAGGAATTTCACTAACAACAAGGATTTCACCATACAGAAACGTTTTTGCTTGCGGTAAAGCCTGTCACTGTAAGATTAATCCTTACCCTGGCTCAAATAAGTGGTCTATTCAACAACTCAATATTAATAATGCCTTCTCGAAATGGATCTCTAGATGAATGTCTACAATATGACCTAGCCTCCAAGAAGTGTGTTGGCAAAGCTATCAAACCATGACCTAGGTGCTTGTTTTAGACCATAGAGTACCTTTTTGCAATTGCAAACAATTCATAGATGTGACTGGTTTGAGAGCTTTGCCAACACACTTCATAGCTTTGGCTTTAAGACTCGTAGATGTGACTGTACTCTCTTTATTCTAACTTTATCAAGGGACACTACCTATGCCTTTGTTTATGTTGATGATATTCAAATCACAAGAAATTCTCCTACGCTAATCCAGCAGCTAATATCCAAGCTTAATTGTACTTTTTCCTTAAAACAACTAGGGCATATAGATTAATTGAAGTGAAGACCCTCCCTGATCGATTACTCCTCCTATCTCAAACTAAATATATCTGAGATCTTCTAGCCAAAGCTCAAACTTCCAAAGCCACAGAGATCAGCACTCCCATTGCAATGGGAGCAAATTCTTGAGATATGGATTAGATTATTTCTCAGAACCCAGTCTCTATCACTCTATTGTTGGGGCTCTACAATATGCTACAACAAAAAGGCCTGTGATATGTTACAATGTAAACACCTCATGCCGATTTCTCTCTCAGCCTGTTGAAAACCATTGGAAACCTGTCAAACATAATTCTTAAGACACCTGAAGGGTACAATCTATTATGGCTTACATGTCAGACTACCATCCAACACAGTTCATTTGTGCTTTTCGAGGCTTCTGTGATGCTCACTGCCACTGGGCTCCTAATCCTGATGACAGAAAATCAACATCGAGTTCATGCATCTATCTTGTACTAATCTAGTTTCTTGGTAGTCAAGGAAACAAACCCATGTTGCTAGGTCATGTGCTGAAGTTGAATACGGAAGTCTAGCTGTTGCAGTGATTGAAATTCTGTGCATCAAATCTCTTCTTGAAGAGTTGATAGTTCCCAACCCTTCACCCATTGTGTACTGTGACAACTTAAGTACTGTATCTCTGGCTCATAATCTAGTTTTTCACTCTAGAAAAAAACATATAGAACTAGACTTACATTTTGTCAGAGTTATTGAAACTCGCACAATATGCCATATTCCTTCTCATGACAAGATTGGAAACATATTAACAAAAGCAGTCGGCTGTATCACTTTTTGTAATCTTAGAAACAAACTCAAAGTAGTTGATTCACTTTCAATCAATCAACTCCCTTAAGTTTGAGGGGACAATGTGTTATAATAGAATAGCTCTCCTAGATATTTCAATCTGCTGTAACAGCCATAACTAACTCAGTTAGTTACAGGCAGTACCAGTATATATAATGTTGTAATCCTAAGACATGTGGAATTAAATCATTGAGTTTTTCAGAGTAATCAGTCTTTTTTCTTCTCTCTCTCTTCGAAATATCCTGCTTATGATTTCTAACAAGAATGAGAAACATGTGCATGAATCAATGGACAAAATATATTTTCATTTTATATCCAGTTCCCTTCCTCTTGTATATACAGTGCTGTAATTCTCACATAAAAGTGGAAATAAATCATTTTGAATTTTTCAGAGTAATCAGGTTTTCCTCCTCTCTCTTTTCTCTTCGAAATATGTTGCTAATGAATTCTTAACAAGAATGAACAGCATGTGTATGAATCAGTTGACAAAATATATTCTTTTTATTTTCCCACTTTTCTTTTTCAAATTCAAGATGATTGCTGAAACTATCCTTGTTTTCCCATATAGATACAAACGGCATTGTGAAAGACAAAAATCGAGTACATAAGAAGGACCTTTAAGAGAACCATGTTTATTCAGCCTTCGCAGTTGGTATTGCAGAATGGAAGAATCAAGATAGGTACGAATCGTCTTTCGATAGGTTCCGTTGACAAGAAGTAAGGGCACAGCAGCTGCTCGTCGAGCAACTGAGAAGGCCATTGCTAAGGCAGGATCCTCTGACAGAGGTAACCTAAAACCTTGGTTTTATCAGTAGAAAACCAGGAAAAGCACACAATTCTAAAGGAAAATGACAAATCAGAGGAAAGACTAATTAAAGAGTGGCATTAAACATTTATGACTGCATACATGTGTTGACTGAACATCGGTTTTTGAGACGGAACCATCAATGAGGAAAGCCCATCCATTATAACCTTCATATCCACAGGAAGCTGTTTGATGTGCCTAACTTTCTGCAAAGTGATTACAAGGGCAAAATCAATATTTTTGTTGCAAGCTTTTTCAAATGATCAAACACACACCATACCTCTTGCGTCATGAAAAACAACTGAAACGATATCTTCTCATAATAGTGAAAAGCACCATCCGCAACTGAAGGTGACACAATATGTCTCATAGATCCCCAGAGTGTTGCACCTAGATGTGCAAGAAAAGAATCACGTACAACTGTGTAATTTTGGAACTCCTGCACAGGGTGAATCCATGCATGAATCTATACCAGAATATCAAACTACAAATAAATAGTGGCCTTGCAATACATTAGAAATAATCCACTAAATTAACAAAGACTAAATGGCTGACTTCATATGTGTCACTGAATAAATTCCAGCTCTCCATTCGCTTTAATGCCTCTAGAGCCTTTTTCTTATGACTTTCATCGTATTCTTCACCTTCAAATGACTGTAGCTCATTTCTCAAATCCCGCATCCTCTCATCAAGTTCTGAAATTATCACATGTTACAGGTTGTATGAAAAACTACAAGAACATCATGTAGGTTTTAAACTGATTGAAACACTGAGCTGCAAAATCTTCAAGGTTTGATACCCAAAAGACTTAATAAAATGAAAGAGAACTCTGTATCAAAGAGAACTGCTTGATGAGAATATCTCACATGCAAGGAAGCACAGATACTTCAAATGATTACAATGCTAGTTTGTCAGACATGCATCATTTTGGATAATATTATACTAATATGAGTGTGATATATAATGTGTACATCACTACATCAGTTAATTAATCCTGTAAAACATTGATGTCATCAATAATAGTATCAGAAAGCATTAAGTAGAATTGCTTATATTTTAAACACCACTCCGCCTATTGCCCCATAGCTGGTCCCAAGCCCAGGTAAAGGAGGGGGGTTGTGTTAAGCATTTGGCAAACAACATAAAATTTGTTGAAACCTTTTATATGGATTACACACAAAGATATTGGTAGCCGACCTCACTTGGTGAGACAAGGCTTGGTTGTTGTTTCTTATATTTTAAACACAAGCCAATATTTTCATTATTGTTTATATCTTAATATATCTTTAAGATTTATGCATTTGTATTACTTTTAAAAAATTAACTTTATGTTATTATCTAACCAAGTTGTGTCCTATAAATTATAAAGATGATGCAGTGTTTGTGTCCTTTGTTTTGTGTTGTTTGACAGCCCACATGTTCAAAAAGTAAGATTGTAGGGAAATGCAATGAAACATTTTTTTCACTGAAACCTAAAAGGGCATTAGACAAATTCAAAGTTCAATTTAGAAATAAAGCCCAAAAGCTATGACATGCGATTACCTTCACAAAGAGCAAGTTTGACTTTCCTTCCCTTGCAGTGTTTAAAAGCAAAAAGCTCATATATATCAATCTCAGCTAAAAGAATATCAATGGCCTGGTGATCTTTCTGCAACATTGAAAATAAAAATTGACCTACTTTGGAAATGCAATAAAGATGTAAGTGAGGGGAAGAAGAGACATTCTTTAAACATGTTGGATGCCTACATTCCTCTTAACAACCTAATTTACATTACAATGATATCAAAGTCTAACAACACAAAAAATTCCCGTCAACTTTAGATAGACCTGGCATATAAGTGATCTCTATTTCTATCACAACTTGTTTCTCATCCTAAATTATTTCAGTTTAGCCACAACTTTTTTTCCTTCTGTTTGGGGTATTGACAGTGTGTGAGTGTGACGAAGGATTCTAACATGTGTTTAAATTTGCTACAACTCTTTGAAACCTTGTTCATACAAGAATCAAATGGAATATGGAATATGCAATCTATTTTTAGATCCAACATATGACACATACATCACCAAATACAGCAAATTTCTCCTGAATAGCATCTTGCAATCGGTCTTCAGCTTCTTCTTCTGAGATTTCTGCAATTGGCAAGGGAAAAATGATCAATACAGCCATAAATAAACCATGGCTTTAATAGTTAAGCTATGCAAAATGAGCTGAATAAATAAGATTCATCTTTCATAAGCATTTTCTAGCCCTAGATTAACTAATCCAAGAACATAATTAGTTCAGTAAAATACTGCAACAATCTTTAGATTAATTAATTGAACTGAAAAATACTATATCACATTGGTGTCCTATTATTATTTTTCATTAGCAAGCTAAGAGGTGTTAGAGATACAAACCATTTATCTGTCTTGATCACCTTAGCCTTATAAATAGTTGCTCCTTGAGCTGCACATTGTACGGTGAAGTACAACCTTTAGCTCTTAAAGATGAGAGCAATAGTGTAAAATGCTACTGTTAATCACTTAACCCTTCAACGTATCGAAGGGGATGAGCAACTTGACGTAGTTCTTCTCGCTTTGGAAGGCGCAGCTCTGAATTGTTTCTACGCCTGGGAGGAGCAGACATTAGTCCTTTTGTGGCAACAGTTCAAGAGCGCCTTGCTTGGCCGCTACCAACCGGGAGCAAGCAAGGACCCCTTTGGAGCCTGTTTCGCCTTCGACAGACAGGATTGGTGCGCGAGTACATAGAAGAGTTCGAGAAATTGTCGCGCCCCCTCAAGCATCTCGACATGGAGGTGCAGATCGGCGTCTTCCTCAACGGCCTCCATGAAGAAATTGGCGCGGAACTGAGAAGCTTGGAGTTAGAATCGCTAATGGCGATGAAGGACAAGGTGATCCTTCTGGAAGAAAGGAACCGGGCATGGAGAAATAACCAAGTCCCACCTTGGGCCAAAGGGTCTGGCAACAATAAGCCCAATTCTTCATCCTATTCAAGACCGGGTCCAACAACAACAAGACCCTGGCCCAATAATACCACCCCCCCTAACAGCAACAACACATCACGGGATTGGCAACCCAAACGAGATCCTCTACACCAAACCCAACCTCGTCCACAGCTATCACAAATAGAGATCCATGAGAGAAATCGTTGGGGATTGTGCTACAAATGTGGGGACCCATGGAACAAGGAGCATGTGTGCAAGTTTAGACACTTTAGGCTCCAGCTTGTGGAAGGCAGTGAAGGGGAAGACTCCGACGAGGAGCGCAGTCAGATCCAGGAGGAAGAAGTACCCTCCCTGGACATAGGACTTCACGTCTTGAAGCTCTCCTTGCAAAGCTTGAAGGGATTCACCAACAAGAAATCTTTTATGGTGCGGGGGACTCTCCAGGGCCACAGCGTCATTGTTCTGGTGGACTGTGGAGCCGAGGGAAATTTCCTGCACACAACGTTGGTGGAGCGGCTGAAACTGAAGGTAACCAAGACCCCAGAATACCGAGTGGAACTCGGGATAAGAGCACAACACCAGAGTACAGGAGTGTGTGAAGGAGTCACGCTGGAGGTGCAAGAAGTAACCATAACATAGACATTCTTCCTCATCAAATTGGGAAGCGTGGATGTAGTTATGGGAATGGACTGGCTGCAGAGTTTAGGAACGATCACAACAAACTTTTCTCAGCTATATATCAGGTGGCACCAGGGAACTGAAGCTCGGATGATTCAAGGGGACCCTCTCTGAGCAGGAAGGGAGCCACGCTCAAGACAACATTAAAGGCTCTAAAGGAAGAAGGCGAGGGAATTTTGGTTACCCCTGTGGAACTTCCATCGGGGACAGAAGCTACACTACCGATACCTGAAGCCATGTCTAGTCTCTCCAAGAGTTTGAAGACCTCGGTAAATTACCGAAGGGGCTGCCTCCGGCGAGGAGTTGCGACCACGCCATGATATTAAAGGAAGGAGCCCTCATACCTAATATCAGGCCTTATAGGTACCCCCACTCCCAGAAGAATGAAATCGAGAAGATAGTAGATGAGATGTTGGAAGCAGGCATCATTCGGCCCAGCATAAGCCTGTATTCCAGCCCGGTACTGCTGGTAAAGAAGAAAGACAGTGGATGGAGATTCTGTGTAGATTACAGGGCCTTAAACAGCATCACAAGACCCGACAAATTTCCGATACCGGTCATTGAAGAACTGCTAGATGAATTGGGCGAAGCCAGAGTATTCACCAAATTGGACATGAAATCAGGCTACCATCAAATTAGAATGAGAGAAGCAGACATCGAGAAGACAGCCTTCCGGACACATGAAGGCCACTATGAGTTTCTGGTAATGCCTTTTGGATTAACCAACGCTCACTCCACTTTCCAATCACTCATGAATCAGGTCCTCTGACCCTTTCTGAGGAGATTCACACTAGTCTTCTTCGACGATATTCTGATCTATAGCTGAACTGAGGAGGAGCATATGAGGCAAGTGAGGATGGTGTTGGAGTTACTGAAGCAAAATCAGCTCTACATCAACCTTAATAAGTGTTGCTTTATGCAGAAGAAGCTAGAGTACTTGGGTCATCTCATTTCTGAGGAGGAAGTGGAGGCTGATCCCAGGAAGATTGAAGCTGTAGTAACATGGCCCTCACCAAGAGATGCACGGGGACTAAGAGGATTTCTGGGTTTAACAGAGTATTACAGGCGATTTGTGAAGAATTACGGGAAGATTACTTGGCCCCTCACACAACTACTCAAGAAAGATGCTTTCGGATGGAGCGACAAAGCACAAGCAGCCTTCGACAACCTAAAGAAGGCAATGACTTCCCTACCAGTTCTCGCAGCCCCAAGTTTCGAGAAGGAATTTGTCCTGGAAACCGATGCTTCAGGCACGGGTCTAGATGCAGTTTTGATGCAAGAAGGAAGGTCGATTGCCTTCTGGAGCCACACTCTATCTCCCAGAAACTAGATGAAGTCAGTTTATGAGAGGGAATTGATGGCCATTGCACTGGCAATTCAGAGGTGGAGACACTACCTCCTTGGAAGAAAATTCACAGTGCACACTGACCAAAAATCTCTAAAATTCTTAGTTGATCAACAGGTGTTGGGGGAAGGGCAGCAAAGGTGGATCTCCAAACTCATGGGATTTGAGTTTGACAACAAGTACAAGGCAGGAAAGGAAAATCAGCTGGCTGATGCCCTTTCCAGGAGGTTACAGATGGCTGCAATCTCTACTATAACTTTCTAGGAATGGGCAGGGTTAGAAGAAGAGATACAGAGGGATGCTAAGCTAACCAGTATCATACAGAAGCTTGTTCAAGGGGATCCTTCCGTCAGCAACTACACGTTGAAGCAAGGAAGGCTGTTCTACAAAGGTAAGCTGGTGCTCCCTAAAAATTCTCCTCGAATTCCTCTACTCCTCCGAGAATTCCATGACTCAGCCATGGGAGGTCACTCGGGATTCTACAGAACTTTCAGGAGAATTGTGAACATAGTTTGGTGGGAAGGGATGAGTAAGACCATCCGGGAGCATGTTGCCACCTGTGATACCTGCAACAGGAACAAGTATCAAACCTTAAGCCTTGCTGGATTACTTCAGCCCCTGCCTATTCCGCAACAGGTATGGGATGATGTTTCTATGGATTTCATTGGTGGACTCCCCAAATCACAAGGATGGGATACCATATTGGTGGTGGTAGATAGGCTAACTAAGTACGGCCACTTCATTGGGCTGTCTCACCCCTACAATGCAAGGGACGTAGCAGACCTGTTCATAAAAGAAATAGTGAAGTTGCATGGGTTTCCCACCTCTATCATATCTGACAGGGACAAATTTTTCATGAGCTCTTTCTGGGGGGAATTATTCAAGGCAGCAGGCACCAAGCTACGTTTTAGCTCAGCATACCATCCGCAAACGGATGAACAAACTGAAGTAATTAACAAGTGCTTAGAGACCTATTTAAGGTGTTTCTCCAGTACAAAACCCAAGCAGTGGGCAAGATGGCTGAGTTGGGCCGAGTTATGGTTCAACACCACTTACCATAGCTCCACAGGGACCACTCCCTTCAAGGCTCTTTACGGTCGGGATCCACCGACTATTATTAAGGGAGGAGGAAGTATTTCAGCAGTGGAGGAAGTCAACACAGCTCTAGCAGAAAGAGACAGCATCCTTGCTGATCTGAAGGGTCATTTAAATTGGGGTCAGGACAGAATAAGGGCCCAAGCTAACAGGAAGAGGAGAGACATGGAGCTAGTAGTGGGAGAATTGGTCTATTTGAAGATTCAGCCTTACCGGATGAAATCTTTTGCTACCAAGGTCAACCAGAAACTAAGCCCGAGATACTATGGGCCCTACAAGGTGATAGAGAAAATTGGGGAGGTGGCATACAAGTTAGAGCTGCTTGAGGAAGCAAAAATACATCCGGTTTTCCACGTTTCTCTGCTCAAAAAATGTGTGACCATGGGAGTAATAAGCCAGCCCCTACCTACAGGTCTTAGTGATGGATGGGAGCTACTAATGCAACCTGAAGAGGTTTTAGCAACAAGGACAAATAGACAGGGAGAACCAGAACTGCTCATCAAGTGGAAAAACTTGCCAGACCATGAGAATACATGGGAAGTGGCTGCGGACATCCAGTTGGAATTCCCCGATTTCCACCTTGAGGACAAGGTGGTTGTTCAAAGAGAGGGTGTTGTTGGGGATAAATTTCCAAAAGAACTGAAAGTTTATAAGAGGAGGAATTTTAGGAGAGGGATTAGGCAGTAGGATAGGGTTGTTATTATTTTCTGTTTCAGATTTATCTTCCTAAGTAGTTTAAATAGGAATTCCAGTAGATAGGAAGGGGGCTGGAGAGCAGCATCTTAGAATAGGGCTTGAACCGCTATAGAGCTCACATTCATTGTCGTTTTTTTTTTCCCTGCTCAACTGAGCCAATTTAATACCAATTCCATTCATCAGAAAATTCTATCTTAACAAAGGCCCTCTCCCTTTACACTTTAAATCAATTGGAATCCAATGACTCATGCTTAAGATGGTAATTGCAGTAGCCTGAGGTAAAATTATGAGTACTGGACAAGTAGCTTATTTTAGTAACCCTTTCTAACTTGTTTAGTGCCAATGTCAAGCCTTGAAAAGAATATAACTTTACCATCCCAAGTGACATATTGTCATTGCCAGCATTCATTTTAATTGAACTGCAGACATTTTGCTTTTAGTCAGTACTACATCTTTATTTCTGGATTTCTTGGATTGTACATATGTATATGAGATTGCACATTTTCTTTTATAAATATGGGTAGTAAGTTGCAATCCTCAGCACTTTAACAATAATTGTCAAAAGTATCATTGTAACTGTATTCATTACACACACAGACACATGCACACAATCCAGTAACATCATTACCACCTGAAGTTGTACCAATTGTCTTTTCGACACTTGGTAAGCTTGCTTCTGTACGCACACCTTCTCCACCAACAGCAGGTCCCCATGAAAAAGGACCAGCACTTAAATCAATAAATGCCCATCTGGTACAAAACATCAATAAATGTTAGCAGAAAGAAAAAAAATTGCATGCTGAAAATTTAGCATTGTTGAAGCAAAGGAGAGTGAACCTGTCCTTTCCAATCCATGTGTCTGTGAGACATTCAGCCTGAAAACCATTGTAGTCTCCAGATTTTAATACTTTTTCCAAAAGGAGCTTCAAGTCTTGATCCTTCCCTTTTAGTAACTTGAAATACAGGGAAAATTATAAATTTTCAGGAAAAAATGTAAGGCAAAAATTATGTAATTAATGCCTACTCTACTATATCTGGAGATTTATCTGATGAGTATGTACCTGTAATGCTTTGACCTGAATGATCTCAGCTGTGTCTCTCCCTTGACACAACCTCCCAAAATTATCTAGTGCTTCAAGCCAAAAATTATACCATTCTGCCTGCATTATGTAGTTGTACCAACACAGAAAATATTCACAAAAATTTACACTGCTCCCCTCAAGAAATCTAGAAAAGGGATCAAACCCAAATCATAAATGAGCAAGACAACTACTATTATGAGTTACTAGGAGGTATTCTGTTATGAGTTAATTGTTAGGTTGTTAAGAATTTGTTTAGAAAAAGTGTCACCAGTGTGAGTAAGTAATAATCTTGAGTTTTTCTATTCCTTGAAGCAAGCTTATAAAAAGGGAAGAATTCTCTTAATGAGGCTTTTACTCATTCAATTTAGTTCCCAACATATGGAGCTCTCATTAAGAGAATTCATCCATGACTACCACAGATTTAGACTGTGAAATTGCTTACTTCCACCACACAAGAAATCAATTTTTCTTCAAGTTGAGGAGAGTAGAAGCAATATTGGTCACAGGATAAAGGCATCTTTGGCAACCAGATGAGGCATCAAATGATCGCTTGGAAATTCCAATAGATAATGTAATAGGGAGATTCACATGGAAAAGGTAGGGCAAGGGAGTCCAATATAGGTGGGTCATTCGGAGGTATAATAGCCAATTTTGCACAGAAGAGAGCCCAATGTTGGACTGTAGGATGTGAGTTAGAAGGACTAGTAGCTTCTTTTGAAGGTACATCAAGAACAATATTACTAGTGGTAGCAACTAATTCTACAGGTTTGCCAACTGAGTTAGGGATTCCACTACCATAAGGTCATTCAATCATGTAAAAGATTTCAAGAGCACATATGATGCAGAATAAACATTTATAAACATGGATGCTTTCACCATACAAGGAAACAAAATACTTACAATATCAGTGTCCTCAGTTCTTGTCCATGCAAATTTCATCATTGGATGCTTTACATATAATGGTCGCTGAATCTTATTAAGAGCTGTAAACAATAAGTACTTAATGAGGGGTCTAAAGTCAAAGAAAGAAGAACGGAAGAGGAACTTCCAATTCAACTGCAGAACTAAATCAGAAGGATTAAAAATATGATAAAGCATTGTAGTTATTATAATGCCTTTCTATTATGGAATAGTAGTTGTGGTGTTAATTTTCAAGATAATAGAGGAACATCAGTTGATATTTCACATCTTGAGGATCTTGCATGATTTTAAATGGGTTAAATTAATCTATAGGTCTTTGAACTATTTGGGAGTTTTTAAACATGTCACTATATTTTAGAAGTTTGTAAATAGCTCCTTGAACTTTAAAATCATTTTTTAATTGGCACCTTGGCCATATTTCTGTTAAAGTTCATCAAGTAAAGGGACCTAGTGCCTGAATTGAACCCTAATGAAGGGCTCCAATTAAAAATGACTTAAACCTAGGCACAAACTTTCAAAGTATAAGGACTTATTTAAAATATCCCAAATAGTTCAATGACCTACAGATTCATTCAATCTTTAACTTATACATTCCTTTCATACCAAGAATATTTTCAGGAATGTCTTCTGACTGAAGAAGCTTCATTTGCAAACTCTTATTCTGCATCAAATGGAAGTTGTTAGTGTTAGCATTGAAGGCATTATACTGTTAAAACAACAACCAAGCCTTATCCCACTAGGTGAGATCGGCTAAATGGATCACAGTATACTGTTAAGCTTGGTCAAAAACCAAATTTTTAGGAAAAAGCATGGATAGCCAAAGAGAAATATTTAACAATTAGAGTTTTGTAAGCAAATATTCCATGAACTTTGCAGAAGAATGGCAACCATACTATGACCAATATTATCAATGGCAGATGGCAAGTCACGGCAAAAAGCCAAAAAACTGCCATTATGTTATGGCGGATGACATGTTGGGTTATGGCGAATATAATAAAAAATATAAAAAATATTACAAATTATAAGAAATGGTAGAAAAGAATTAACTCAAAGCATAGGTAGCATAAGTCTTAATTCAAAACATAATTCAATACAAAATAAACAGTCATTGAATGTTAAGCTAACAATAAAGTAATAGAAAATAATAACAACATAAAGATTAATTATCTACTCCTCCTCTTCAACTACAATGAAGTCATCTTCTTATTCATTCACCAAGGCATATCTCTCATCCTCCTTTCCTTCAGATTCTTAATGATTAATTTCCAATTCATCTTTTGTTTCTTTCGACTTCATCTTCTAACTCTTCATTATCATCATCTTCAATTATCATTTTCTCTTTTCCTTTTGTTGTTGAACATGCCTTAATCTTGGAAACAATTGCATCATTAATGGTAATACCACTTGATCGATTCTTTTGTTTCTTAGAATGATGCCTAATATATGTTCTAGGCTCTCCAACTTTATAAGGTTCATAAACAGTTGTCCAATTTGAAGTGTTATCATCATAAAAAACTAAATCATTTCCAACATACTAATCATGAACATTATGGCAGTCAAAATTGCATGTTGACTCAAAATCGCAGCAATTTCAGATTTTTCAACCTTCATCAGTCTTCATGCTAGCTCGTTTGTAGGATAAAAAACAGCCAGATTAAAAACTCAAAATTTTACCCAATGACCCACAACCCATTATGTGACCTGGTTTGCTAAAAACCTATTGAAACCCCAGAATCAATTCAGAACTTGCTTTCCTCTACTCTGCGATTTCATTTGACTTCACACAACAACCCCGTTTTGCTCCAGCGACCTTGTCTGCTCCAGTGTTTTTATTTTGTTGCACGACGTATTCTTAGTTTTGGGTTTTCTGTTAAGTTATTTTCTTCTCTACTTTTATTCTTCATCTTCTGTTGCTCTATGGCTGGGTGCTGTCCTTGCACCATGCAACAATGCCGCCAGAGTTAAAATGTTTACTTTCCCTTTCTATCCCCAAAATGAAGGAGTTTTAAGGGTTTTTTAAGGGTAAAGAAGACTTTCTTTTAAAAATAATCTGACTTAACATTTTGCCCTTAAAATGACCCTATATTAAGTCTTTTAAGGGTAAAATAGTCTTCTTATCAGAATACATTACCTAATCCATCTTCTGTCTCCCCTTCTCTATTCACGCTCCATTCCCTCATGACCATCTATGTCTCTATTTTTAGTGGACATATCTCTTTTCCTGTTTTGAGGGTGGCTCCCTTCCCTCATCTGTCTCTAATTTGCTTCTCGCATCTTCATATTTATACTATTTTATATTTATACATACAATTTTGTAAGATCTTATGATCCATGTTACAATCTTACAAGATACAATCTATAACCCCCTCTCAAATCTTATGTAGAATCTCAATTTTGACTACCATAATGAGCATCATCATCCATCTCTCCAACCAACAACCACTCATTAATGTCATTGAGTGTAATTGGATCTAAGATTGTAACGTTATTGGTTATAATTGACATAAATGAAGTCATGCAATTTTTTGTTATCAAGTCAATTGCTCTTCTTTGAATGAATATGCAGCGCAAGTTTAATTAAAAAAGTATTGATTAGTTTCTTCCTAATTTCTTGAAGAAAGCACTAGATGAAAAACTACTTGCTAAAAAACATTCCAGTTGTGTTACATCCGAATACACTACTTGTCAAGTGCAAAATTTTGATAGCTAGTTGCAATTTAGAATTGAATGTTCATGCATTCATACATTTTTCACCATTGAGCTATAAAATCAAAGATATATTAACTTTAAAGGTCTTAACTATAAATTAACTTAGAATTAAAATGTTGAAGTCTTTGATTAATTACTCGAACCAATGCTTTTTCTTTGTGATTTTGCAAAGTTCAACCTAAAAAGACCACCATCACTCATAAATTGGTAGTTCAAGTAATATGTTTTGTTGCACATCCTGACTTAGCACCAATCTCTTGATACATTCATATAATCCATTCGTAACCTTCAAAATAATGTTCTATTAGAGGATTATCATAAAAGAACTTAGAGTTTAAAATGTGAGCAGCTGCATGCAATGGACAATAAAGTTGACAAGTCCATTTATTATCAATAACTGCAAACACATCTTTGTATTTGCTTTCATTTATTAACAATTTCCTCTTGTTTGTAAAACTTTTCAACAAACACTGACTATAAACAAAGCCAACAATGGTTGTAAAAACAAGTCTACCCACCCCAACTCGCCAAAAAATGGGCTAGATTTTCTAGCCCGACCAGTTTAAGGGTGAGCTAGCAAGCCAGCCTACCAAAGGCAAAGACCAATGACCAAAAAAAGTTGGCTGGCTTCCTGTCAGTCAGCTTAGTACTTAACAAAAGGGCAATGACAAAATCTTAATTTTTTAATATTTCAAAGACTAAATTCTAACAAAAATTTTTATAAGAGGTTATCATAAAATATCCAATATTTATAGAAATCAAAAATATAATTAAGCTTAAAATTAAATGATATGGCATGCCACATGAGAGTGTTAAGCTAACTCTCTATCAATTAGCTCAACATTTATCAGAAAACAGTTGATGACAGCAACTAAATCCTAACAAAATTTTTTATGAAGACTTATTGCAAAATGTGTTATACTTATAGAGACAAAAAACAATTAAACCTTGATAAAAATTAATATTTAATTAATAAATAATTATTTTAAATTTTTAAAAATACAAAATGAGTCCAATGGGCTAGCCCGCCCTGACCTGCTTTTTGGCGGGTAAAAACGGGACAAGCTGGGTAGGCCAACTGATCCAATGCATTAAGCCTAGCCCAACATTTTTAACAGGCTAGGTGGGCTGGCCTGTCAAGCCCAACCCAATTTGACACCCCTACCAACAACAAATATTCTCCTTTGAATTGTCTTTTTTATTAAGGGAAGCTCTCTAATATTTTCAAGCATAAGATCTATGCAATAAGCTGCACAAGGAGTCCAATAAAGATTTGGTTTTTCCTCTTCCAACATCTTACCAGTCAAGACATAATTGTTTTCATTATCTATTATACTTTGCACAACTTTATCATTTCCAATCTCCTTTGCAAGAGCATTAAACATCTCAAATAGTTTTTCACCGATCTTCACAAAATTAGATTCATCAATAGACATCACATTAGTCCCAACAAGAGTTTACTAAGAAATTAATCAAACATCTTTGCTTAAGATCAGTCCAGGCTTCTAACATGATGGAACAACCATGTTTACTCTATTGCTCCTTATGATCTTTCAAAATGGAATCAGTATAATCTAGCTCTTTCTTAAGAATTGGAACTCTAATACCATGATAACTTGGAGCTAGCAAATTTGGACCAAACGCATCAACAAATGTAATTATTTCTTGAAAGTTCTTCAATTTAATAAGGTTAAAGAAAAGGGCAAGCTTGATACGAAAATTAAGTTATTTATTTATGGTAGTTTAGGGTTGGCTTGGCTTCCTTCTCACATACTTCTCTTATATTTGTTTGCTTCAATTTTAACTTCTTTCTTTTCTCAATGGTAGTTTCTAGCTTTCTACAAAACAAGTCCATTGGGTCTTTCTTATCGATCTTCTTATTTCCCATAGCAATACCACGTGCTAGGCTCTCTTCCTCATCTTCACTTTCATCATAGCTTATACCTACAAATTCCCTCACATTTAGTATTTCAAAGTTGTCTTGACTCCTTTTATCCTTTTGATATGCCTTAAGCTCTTTTTAAACTTCTGGACACTTGGAGCAAGCTTTCGCATTACCCTTCTTTCCAATTAAATGGTTTACTCTAGTGATTCCTACACTCAACACTTTTCCAAAAAAATTGCTTACAATATTATTTGTATCAACATCTCTCAATGAATGAGAATATTTCAATCTCGACTCAGAATGATTAGAAGCTCCTGAAAGGTTTATGAAGATTCCTGCTCAGCTATGTTAAGAAAATGAAAGATGGAGAGGGAAAAACGAAAAAAAAAAAAAACTACCCAAAAAAATGGAGTCGCCGAAGATGGCGGTAGCAATTGCCAAAGATGTAGAAGTGGTCACCAGACGATTGTTGAGGAGAGCAGGAAAAAGATGAAGGCACAAAGCAGAAGCACAGACAAGAGAGATAAAAATGTGAGACGAAGAAGAGAAAGGAAGAAGACATGTGATTGCATGATTTAGGGTTTGAGCTCGTGGATTTTGTCTTTGAAACGGGTCAGGTCTATGGCCCAACCCAATTTTTTCTGAGAAAACTGCCATTTCTGCCATGGCTGTCAGGCGCATAACGGCTGCAATGACGCCACCAATGAAAAACTACAATATTCTGCCATGGTCCTGGCAGTTTGGTCAAAATCTGCCACCCGCCATGACATTGCCATAATCGTTTTTTGACAACACTAACTATGACACACCTTTTACAAATGAAGCAACCAAATCATAATACAAGAGCAAGTTTAAGGGAGAAAAATCAGAAAGTTTCATATACCTGCTTTAGCAAGTTTATTTCGAGCTCTGATAAACCTCTCCTGAAATATTTTTCAAATAAATAAAAACTAGAAGCAAGCAAATAAAGCATGGCCAAACAAATAATTTATACTTTGATTTCAGTTTACAATATAAAATAAATGACTCAAAATGTGTAAAATTGTTTTAGATTAGGAGGAGGAAATAAAACTACTACATTTCAACATAATTTATATTATGAAATATTCATACTTATTATATGATAAACTAACAAACCTTTCATAAATTTTAATGGTCTTTTATTATGTTGGGATCTAATTACATGTTATGACACATGAGTCCAACATCAGAAGTATAAGATTCTAATGTGTACTTTATAAGGCCTTGGGGTATCTAGCTACAATGGCTAGCTTTTGTGACGTGCATAAATGGCACAGAATTCTTGTTCATATCTACACTCAAATCTAAGATACTCATGCATTTTACTAATATTTAGCATGTGTTTTTCTTAGTTCAGATAACTGCTTCTTTTTGTAGAATTGCATAATGCACTATAACAAGATTCCTACGCCAAAAATGTAATTTCACAATTAACAAAGGACACCACTTCTCACCCAAAATTCCAATGGTCTACTGAAAAGCTTTTCTACAAAGGTAAGCTGGTCATTCCTTCCAATTCTCATTTAACGACTACTTTATTGGCTGAGGCACATGAGACTCCTACTGGGGGTCATGGAGGATATTTGAAGACCTTATAGAGGTTAGCTGATCAATTTTATTGGCCTCACATGCAGAAGGATGTTAAGCTTCATGTTCAACAAATGCCACACTTGCCAAAGGAACAAATACAAGACTCTAGCACCTATGGGGTTGCTAACACAGCCCTTACCTATTCCAGAGAGAATTTGGCAATGTATCTCAATGGATTTTGTGATTGGCTTGCCAAAATCTGTTGATTGCTTGACCAGGTATGGCCACTTTTTACCACTCTCCCACCCATTTACAGCAAAAATAGTAGCTGGAGTCTTGCACCAAGAGATTGTACACTTACATGGCATGCTCCGCTCAATTGTTTCAGATTGGGATTCCATTTTCTTAAGTTCTTTATGGCAAGAACTGTTTTGCCTTAGCAAAAGAAAGTTAAGAATGAGCACTTCCTATCATTCTCAAACAGATGGCAAAAAGTTGTTAATAGGTGTTTGGAAGCTTATCCACGGTACTTTGCTCATGAACAACCCAAGAAATGGAGTTATTTTATATGTTGGCCAGAATATTCATTCAACACTGGTTTTCATGTCTCAACTAACACTACACCTTTCAAGATTGTTTATGGTTGGGATCCACCTCCATTAAATCCTTTTGTGAAGGGTGAAACAGCTAATGCTGAACCAAAAAAGCAATTACTACACCAAGATGCTATCCTGAAGTGTTTGAAAGAAAATCTCACCAAAATGCTCCCGCATGAAGGCTCATCAAGACAAACACCGAAGAGAGCTTTTTTTATTGGTAATTATGTATGGTTGCTTATCCAACCTTTCAGGCAAAAATCCCTTTCCAAACAATATTTTCAAAAGCTTTCTCCTAGGGTTTTTGAGCCCTTCAAGGTTTTAGGGAAGATAGGTGGTGAACTATGAGTTGGCGTTACCCCCAGATGCAATGATTCATTCTATATTTCATGTTTCAATGTTGTGACCAGCACATGGGATCTCACCTTTAGTTTCACCGTCTCCTCTACCTATTTCACATGATTGGGAACTTCTATTACAGTCTGACCATGCGCTTAAACACCAATGAACTGCTGGAAAGAATCTGGAATTGCTTGTAGCATGGAAAGGACATCCACTTGAAGAATCAACTTGGGAAGAATGTGACCTCATTGCTGCACAATTTCCTCATTTTCCCCTTGAGAACAGGGTGTTCTTCCAATAGGAGAGAAATGATAACCCCCTAAGTACATATCAATGGAAAAGAGCATGTGGATCATACCATAACAGCACTTGATTGTCAGTATCTGCAGAAGCTATTTTTCATGCATTGTGTCATTTGTTCTCATTAAGTAGGGGTTTATGGAGTATGTATGTCAGATAGTGGTCAAGCTTAGTGCTTTGTCGTCGTTATTTTTAAATTAAAATAATTATGACCAGGCCCGCTACTTCAAGTTGTAACTTTTCGTCTATATATGTTCCTAGTTCAGTTTTAGCAAAGATCAGAAAATTACAGAAAAGCTTTTATTCCTTGGAGATTCTCCATTGGCTATATAGATTTCTCTTATCGAGAGATTCTTTCTTTGGGAAAATTATTAGATTAGACCAATACTTCAATTTTGTTATTCCAGTGGTCTATCAGCTTACATGGATTTATCTACTGAAATCTAAATCTGAGGCGCTATCCACAATTCTATAAAAAAGAAATGGCATTCTTGGAGTTTATAGTAAATGGCAACATTATACAAGAATACTCACCGATACCCATATTTAGGCTTCTTCTCATCACGTTTGGGATTTAAAATAAAAATATTATATGCATTTTCAAGTTGAAGGTATTCAACTAGGCTAGCCAAAAGACCATCTATCATGTCCACATCTACTTGCCAACCACCACTATTGTCCCTGCAAAGAAGAATTTAGAAGAATAAGAGAAAGCAAGAAATTTAAGAGACAAAGCAAAAGACATCATGTTATTTGTCCAAACAAGAGGAAAAAAAGAAAGATAAAAATAGAACCACTGGAATTGAAAACCCCTTTAAAGGTCTAAAGATCCTTTTCATGAGTCATTAGCATTCTTACACCATTTATAACTTTATAAATAATGTAATTTTATGGATCCAACCAAATTGCAACTATCCATTGCCTCAATTGTTTGTGTCTAATCCTGTAAAATTCCAGCAATAAGAATATAATTAAATAGTTCTTTTAATGTTTTAGATTTCAAATATAGACATAGCATCAGTCTTGATGTATGAAGTACTAAATAGTTTTAGATTAATGTAAAAAAAATTCGATATAATCAATGTGATAGGAACTCAATCCAACAGTGGGTTTTGCAAAATAATTTTCAACTAAAATCTCATGGAAATGGTGTAAGAATGCTTTTGACTTACAGGTATAAACAAATCCTGCTTAAAATTATAAATTTAAAGAAAGTACTTAAAATTTTAATTTAAAAAAAGGGCTTAAAAAGAGGGTGGAAAGACAAGCACAAAGCAATTATCAATTAAGATTGTTATATGAATTAAAGACAGTAGTGTAATTATTTTAAATTATAATGGCACACCAGGAAAAAATTTTGACCAAAGTAGTTAATTGGCAGTAATCCACTTTAAAAAACAGTGTACGGATTTATTTTATATTGTCCAACATATCTTTAACAGACATTTTTTTTATAAATTTAAAAGTTAATATATAATTTTATAATCCAATAATCAAATAGGTTAAAATACTAGCCATACCCACTTTATTTTCAAACCTAAGCTATGCCATTTTGAATAGAGTGGAGGTCGTAAGTTATTTTCCTTTTTCAATTTTTTTCACAGACTAAATAAAATGTGTTCTTTTCATTTTTTAGTAGGGGCTCTCCCCCTCCAACTGCAACACTTCATCACTGGGTAGATATGCCATGCACCTCATCTCTGTTCAAGCAACACAGGAAGTCTGCAACTTTCCTGTTTTTCAGCTAACTTTATCTCTTCAATTGCTCTCCTTGGTGCACCACATTTGATGACAATATCTTTCACCCCTTCACTATTTATGCACTTTACCAATCATACAGGGAAAAGGAAAAAGAATAATAGCAAAACAAAAACAGGATTTGAATACTTGCATAAATGTTCATATATAACTCATAATGGTTCTACCAATAATTAATCTAATTGAAGAAATTAAACGTAACTTACTGGCTGCCCACTGGATCATCCTTGCGACCAAACACATTTATGGCCTGGTCAAATATGGAAGTAACCTTCTCTCCCATTTCAATAGCATGAACAGAAAAGCTGCACCAGAATGTCCAGCATCATAGCAAGAACTTATAGTACAATTTTCTTGCAGAAAGTAAATTTCAAGAATAAACGAGGAAAATTTATGTCTTACTTTGGAGTTTCCACATCATCAGTTCAATCAAGATAGTTCTCAAAAGAAAAAGATATAGAAGTGTACTATTCATTTTTCTAATATATTCTTTATTTTTAAAACAAACTGCAAAATTAAGTGAAAGATGAAAGCAAAATCAAACTAATCAGATGAGGTTTAGTGCACATTTGGATTAGGTTTTTTTAGGGAAATAAATAAGCTGAAACAAACATGCACTCAGTTTGAAACTTATGAACCACATCCAAGAAACAATGAATGAAGCCATTTAAATTTAAGGCCCGGCTACTTCTCTTCTGAGAAAGAAGATAGCACAGGCTTTGCATTTCAAAATTCGGTCTAAGCCAATTTTCTTTTCATCCCTCCATTTGGGTCAAAGGTTTTTAATATGATTAATCCTCCATAACTGAAGCTAGTGATACATATTGTATTGAAACTTGAAACTCATAGCCACTTCATAAATGCAAAAGTAAAATTCATTACAAAAGCAAAATGATGCCGCATACTAGTATTTAAATGCAAAGCCAGATGAAAAGAACCAAAAAGAGTTCCTTGTATTTTTTAGGGGCTTAGGATAGAAGTGTTACTTGTAATTTATGTGACTGACAACAGGAAGGTGGTGCCATCGCATTTTATCCATACTGGTTTTGTAAAATGCTGTAAAAACTTCTTCATGTCGAATCCGAGTGTGTTCAAAGATGTGATCAATTTTTGTAAACCAACGCTCAATTTCTTCTGGAAGAAGCTTGAATTCTGAAAGACAAAAAGCATGCTAGAATCAGCACCTATAACATAAAATAACCAAAAAAAAAAAAAAGATAAGTTGGTCTTCTAACTATGTACCGTGGTTGCCCTTCCCCTCAAATCCTATAAATATAAAATTCATAGGAACGGGAAAGTGGATGGAATCAACTTCCTGAAGCTTTAGATAGTTAGCAATGTTACCTGAAACACAAAAGAAATTAATATATATATATATATGTGTGTGTGTGTTCAAGCCATGCACTAAAGATTATTACAAGAAAGAAACACGCCTTGATTTTTCTATTTATTTTTTCTTCTCTTCTATTTCTAGCCTTCCATTGGTTTTCTCCCATTTTCTCTCCACATCCAAATGATGCATAAATAATTGGACAGCAAGAAGCAATAACTCAGAATAAACATAAATAGTTAGAAAAATGAGGTTGAAGAAGATCATTTGTGTTAATCCTATTAACTAACTATAGCTACCCACATGACGAGAGACGGTTACGGGAAAAAGGGATGAAAAGAAGGAATTAAATAAGAAAGATTTAAAGGGGAATAGGCTTACATAGAGTGAGGAGAAAGAAAAAAAGAATAGGATCAATAATCTCAATCCATGCAAGCCTCAAACCCTGCATTTAGCAATATTTGAATAGGTAAGCAGTCCTAATAACCAAACAACTCTACATCCCCAAAAATCCTAAATAACCCTAATATTTTGGATAAACTACACTAGTAATCCCAGTTTACCTATTCAAACAATCTCACATTATACCAAATCCATAAACATTATTTTTCCTATTTAAGGTTTTGTTTGAGAGTTTGAAAGGAGAGGAAAGGGATGGGTTTGAGGGGTAAGGGAGGAGAGGGAACGGAAGGGAGAAGGGTTAACAAAAAATCCTCCAATTTGAGAAAACTTAAAAACGTAAGTTTAGGGGGGGTTTTGGAGGGTTAATAAACACTCTTCATCTCATTTAAAAACTCCCAAATAAGGGTTACCATCTAATAAGCCTTCCCCTTCCCTCCCTATCCCTCCAAAAATTAACTCCCAAACAAAGCCTTAGACTCCACCACATAAAAGACCTACATATAAAGGGACCATAGCTTTGCAAACTGATTATGCACAACGGATTTTATGACTATTTGGGGATTGAGTAACTAATATAAACCTTAGGAGAATCACACCATAAAAGCAAGCCACAATAGTTGGAGGGCCCAAGGCCTTATAAACACCACACTAAAATCCCATCCTTCTAATGTAGGACTCGAATCCCATACCTAGTAATTGGATTTTAACAGTTACAAATTTTATGGACATACTAGAATAAACACTAGTAGATTCAAACACACAATCCATTCAATTCATAGAAAGAATAGGGAGCTTTATCGCAACAGTTGGAGTTGCTGCCATGTTGTAGAATCAGCCTATTGCAAACACAAGGTAAAACTGCCTACTATGACCACATAATAGGTCCAAGCCTTCCCTATAGTCAACGAGTAGTGAGAGCCCTACAGCACTGGGCAGCCTTTTGTAGACTGAAGAAAATCAATAATGAATTCAAACTCCAAAGGTTCTCTATCATTAAAATTACATAGGAAACCAAATAGAAAGAAATTATAGTTCAGTAGAAATACCAAATGCCAAACAGAGTGATGACGCATGGAAAAAATTATGTAAATGGGAAAAAGAATAGGAAAAGGGGGTATCCATATCCCTCCCCAGTCCCCAATCCCTAAATCAAACTGCAAAAAGAAGCACCCATAAATCTCTAAGTATCCAAGAGAAGCAAATAAGCAAAAGCCAGAAAGATACACAGGAATTACAGACATCAACTGTGGCTTTAGCATCATAATGTTTGCCAGCTCGAGAAATTTGTATTAGATCAAGCTTCATAATCCTCTAGCCACTTTTGATTCAGTTTACATGTATGTCCCTACAGATTAGATGAACATAATTGGTCCTCCTTGGACCATCTTCAATTCCTTAAAGGCAAACTCTCAACTTATTTAACCTTTCATATGAGTTTCTACAAAAGCAGCCAATACAACAAATAGCAGCCTGGAAGCTAAGCATCTGACAATTCAAGTTAACTTTTATAGAAATAAAAAATGGCATAAATAGTTCAAACATAAATAGTTCAAACAAACAAAGCTAATTTGTGAAGAATTTTGAAAAATGCATGTATACCTGCATTGGTATAATTAAATGCGCTTACTTTGCCATGGCTTGAAAACTTTAAATCATCAAAATCTGAAAAACAAGCATATTAAGAGAATCAAAAGAAACCCTTGATGGAGAATGAAAATTGATGATTTTATTCAATGAACATGGTGTAGACATACCATTATGTATAACATCCTCACTCCAAAATCGACTCTTTTCTTTGAGGTTAAATAGTGAGAATACAGACGATCTTCCACTTTTGCGAGTTTCGATAGGAGATCCAAGTGAACTAACTGCTAAGAACTGATAAAAATCATAATAAGCATCAGAACAGTGAATATCTTTACTCAGAAATTAAAAACAAATCAAATTACAAAGAAAAGAAAATTGAAGAATCAACATTCAGAATGGACTAATAGATCTAAATATGAGCACCAACAGGAGATAATGCAAAAAATATTCCCTTGATAAAAGCCAACAGAAATTTATCATTTTTTAAAAAGTTAATTTTAATTGTTAAATAAATGACAGCCAGCATCCACTAAAAGGTCACAAAAGTAATTGTGCGAGGTCAACATACTTAACCACAATTATTTTACAATTTTGAGAATCTGAATGCTATGCTTATTGATACTTAAGCAGTTAATTTAAGGTTAAATCATGTTTTAGTTTCTATTTATAGAGTATATCTTCTTCATTTCCCAATTTTAGCACCAACATCACTCTGATCCTTGACCTGTTGACAAAGGATATGTTAGGATTCAAAGAAGAGATAAGAATGAAAGGATGAGACTGAATCTTATTATTCAATCAAGAAAGACTCGTCGTAATTTAGAAGCAATCCTAGAGCTCACAGCTCCTTCTAGAGATTGAATCTCCAATCCAAGAATACAATTCATATCCTCCTCGTTTTCTGTTATTCACTCCCCTTTTACACTTTCTAACTAACAAAGACTTGGACTAACTTCCTAACTGCTTGTCAGGCCCTTTTGCGGTTGGTCCCTTCTTTCTAGAATACACATACCATATTTTGGGTTTAACTAGGCCTCAATCCAGCAACTGTTCTCTTGGAGTTTCTTCTATATTTTCTGGTCTAACAGGATATGACAGTGCCATGAACCTATAGATTACAAAAAAAAATAAAAATGGATATTTAAGGCTTAATAGCCTATTCAAAAGAAAATTTTAAAACTGTTAGTGTTACATACTCCTCTGAATATATTTTGCCCCATATGAATAGTTGAATGTTTCTACTTTTTAACTTTCTTTTTACCAAAGATAAACCTTCTTTCAGTAGGTTTAATATTTTTTTGTTGCATTCAAAGTTGTTCAGGTGGAAAACCAAAAAGCTGCCACCACTGGCAGTTTATGCATGTGCCATTTCTTCCATTATTTTCACTTGCATTGGAGCAGGTGACCATCTCCTTCCCCTCCCCTCCATTTCTGTTATTTGTTCCAAACAGAACCATCACTCCATCATTGCCTTTGTTCTCTTCTCTTTTCTCTGATGCAAAAGTACTCAGCTTCCTCCTCTCATCCCACTCACTTTTTCTTCCTCCAACTCCTTACTAGATGCCCCTACCATAGTTGTTAATCTCGGATAGTGGCAAATAGCATATGCAGGATGACCACTATTTAAAGATTTATAATATGCATATATAATAGTGTAAAACATTACAACGAGTGTTATATTAAACAAAAATGCTTTCATATGATAAATCAGGGAACAGACGCCGGAAAATCTGATTTTTCCGGTGAACAAAAAAAAAAAAAAAAACAAAGGATACGCCTAAGAGGAGACGCCAGAAAAGCTTGTTCCTCCAGCGAAATGGAGCAGGTGAGCCTTCCAACAAGCTGATTTCTCCAGCAAAATGGAATGGGTGCGCCACTGAGAATGGGAGAAACCGCTACGTAGAGGCTCGGTCTTTTTGTGGAGTGAGGAGAGCGTGGGGAAGATGGGTTTCTTTCCTTCCCCCAAATAACCTTTCTACCCTTAAAAATATAATGCAAACGGTGCGTTTTATAAAAAATAGAATAGGGTTTCTTTCTTTCCCCCAAATCACACAATCACAACACGAACATTTCCTTGTTTTGGCAGCGAACGCCACACCTGCCGCGATGTGCCAAATGCCCAGCGATGTAAAACTTCAAAACATATATATGAATCACTCACGTCGATATTTTGATAAATAATATTTTGAGAATTTGATTTTTGACAAATTCAATAGTATCATGTGATTCATGCAATCGACTTCACCTAGTGGGATAATGTTTGGTTGGTATTGTTATTGTATATATCAATCTTAGATAGCAGCGCATTGCAGCCAACCCCAGGGTGCAGTGGGATGACAGGTAATGGGACGACTGCTATTCTAAAATTTTGATACACAAATTAAATATTTTTATAACATATATAAATGCTCAAAATTTAAAAAATACCCAAAATTTAAGACTTGTTCGTAATTCATAATTAATAATTAAAATAGAAGATAGAAAAGAAATGAAAATTATAGTAGCCTGATAGGTATGAAAAACAAAAGGTTAAAGTATGTATTTAATTGGCTCAGTTGAGCAGAAAACAACAATGGGAAGAGAGCTCTAAAGCGGCTCTGCACCCTAAGAATGAAGTAATTACCCAAGATGCCCATTCCCATCTATAACCCCATTTATTTAAACTATTCTTGTTTCCTAAAATCATGCTCCTAACTACTGAAAACAGAAAACAATAACAAAAGATAAATAAAGATAAATCCTAAACAAAATATAACAGCCTATTTCCTAATTCCTCTCCTATAGTTTTGCCGCTTATAGACCTTCAGCCCTTCCGGAAACTTGTCTCTAATAATACTCCTCCCTTGAACAATCATCTTGTTCTCAAGGTAGAATTCGAAAAATTCGATTTGGATATCTTCTGCCACCTCCCAAGTGCTCTCGTGATCCTTCCATTTGATTAGCACTTCTTTGTCTCCGTGGTTGGTAGTCCGCACTGCCAGGACTTCAGTGGGTTGAACCATCAATTCCCAATTCTCATTCAGGCCAGTTGGTAAAGGTTGACTTTGTACGTCTGCTGCCACACATTTCTTGAGCAAGGATACATGAAAAACAGGGTGTATCCTTGCTTCTGCTGGTAGTTCTAGCTTATAGGCAACCTCGCCGATTTTCTCCAATACTTTGTAAGGACCATAATATCTAGGACTGAGCTTTTGATTAGTTTTCGTCGCTAGAGACTTCATCCTATAAGGTTGGATTTTCAAGTAAGCCATCTCTCCTGCTACCAACTCTAGTTCCCTCCTCTTTGTGTTAGCTTGCGCCCTCATTCGATCTTGTGCTCTGTTCAGCTGCCCCTTTAATTCTTGGTCTCTTTCAGCTAATGCAATGTTGACCTCCTCCACTGTTGATGCGCCTTCCTCCCCCTGGAGGATGGCTGGTGGTTCTCTTCCATATAATGCCTTGAAAGGAGTGGTTTCTGTCGAACTGTGGAATGTGGTGTTAAACCATAGCTCAGCCCAGCTCAACCACCTAGCCCATTGTTTAGGTTTAGTGCTGGAAAAACACCTCAGATATGTTTCTAAACATCTATTAATCACTTCAGTCTGGCCGTCAGTTTGGGGATAGTAGGTTGAACTGAATCTTAGTTGAGATCATGCTGTTCTAAATAATTCTTTTCAAAAAGAGCTCATGAATACTCTATCTCTATCTAAGATAATTGAGGCCAGAAACCCATGCAACTTTACGATCTCTTTGACGAAAACTCCAGCCACATCTTTGGTGGTGTAAGGATGAGTTAGGCCAATGAAATGACTGTACTTGGTTAATCTATCGACAATCACTAGGATGGTATCCCAGCCCTAGGATTTAGGTAGTCCTCCAATGAAATCCATGGAAATGTCATCCCAAACCTGTTAGGGAATTGGTAAAGGCTGTAATAGTCTTGCTGGGCTTAGGGTCTGGTATTTGTTCCGGTTGCAAGTATCACAAGCAGCCACATACTCACGAATAGTCTTCCGCATTCCTTCCCACCAAACTAAACTTGCAATCCTCTTGTAGGTTTTGAAAAATCCCGAGTGGCCGCCTATGGTGGAATCACGAAACTCTTGGAGTACTAGAGGGATTCGGGAAGAATTCTTAGGAATAACCAGCTTAACTTTATAAAAGAGTCGCCCATGTTTCAGCTCATAGTCGGTTACTGAAGTCTCCCCTTGTATAATTTTCTATACTACACCAGCTAGCTTCTCATCTTGTTGAACCTCTTCTTCTAGTCCCGCCCATTCCGAGAAGGTAACCGTGGAAAGGGCTGTCAACTGAAACTTGCGAGAGAGAGCATCCGCGACCCTATTTTCTTTCCCCGCCTTGTATTTGATTTCGAATTCAAAGCCCATGAGTTTAGATATCCATCCTTGCTGCCCTTCCCCCAATACTTGTTGGTCAATTAAGAACTTGAGAGATTTTTGGTCTGTATGCACCATGAATTTTCTCCCAAGTAAATAGTGCTGCCATCTCTGAACTGACAGGGCAATTGCCATTAATTCCTATTCATAAACAGATTTCATTTGGTTTCGGTTTGAGAGAGTATGACTCCAAAAGGCAATAGGCCTTCCCTCTTGCATCAAAACAGCTCCCAATCCAGTCCCTGAGACGTCAGTTTCCAATACAAACTCTTTGTCAAAACTAGGGGTTGCTAGCACCGGCAAAGAGGTCATGGTTTTCTTCAAAATTTCAAAGGCTGTTTTGGTCTTCTAAGTTCCAGCAAAACCCGTCTTTCTTCAATAATTGTGTGAGAGGCCACGCTATCTTCCCATAGTCCTTCACAAATCTTCTGTAATACCCTGTTAACCCCAGAAATCCCCTCAATCCTTTAACATCCCTTGGTGCTGGCCAGTTAGTTATTGCTTCAATCTTTTTGGGGTTAGCCTCTATGCCCTCTTCAGAGATAATATGCCCCAAATATTCTAATTTGGCAACCATAAAACAGCATTTCTTTTTGTTGATGTACAACTGATTTTGCCTCAATAGCTCAAGCACATCCCTCACCTACCTCACATGCTCTTCCTCTATTCGACTGTAGATCAAAATGTCATCGAAGAAAACTAAGGTAAACTTTCTTAAAAAAAGTCGGAGTACTTGATTCATGAGTGATTGAAATGTGGAAGGGGCATTGGTTAACCCAAAAGGCATCACCAAAAATTCATAATGCCCGATTTTAGGTCCAGCTTAGTAAATATCCGAGCTTCTCCCAATTCATCCAGTAACTCCTCAATGACCGGAATGGAAAACTTGTCCGATCTCGTGATAGTGTTCAGAGCTCGGTAATCTACGCAAAACCTCCATCCCCCATCCTTCTTCTTTACCAGTAATACCGGGCTTGAGTATGGGCTAATACTGGGCCTTATGATACCAGCTTCTAGCATCTCATCCACTAACTTCTCAATCTCATTTTTCTGTGAGTGAGGATAACGATAGGGCCGGATATTTGGTATGAAAGCTCCTTCCTTAATGATTATAGCGTGGTCGCATTCTCTCACAGGAGGAAGCCCCCTTGGCACTGTGCCTATGTCAACAAACTCCTCCAATAGTTTACTTATGGCCTCTGGTATCTTCTGCGAGACCTCCTCTTTAGGTTGAGCTTCTATTGCAGTTACCAAAATGCCTTTGCCTTCCTCCTTTAGTGCCTTCAACGTTGTTTTGAATGTAGCCCCTTTTTTTCCTAAGGATGGGTCTCCTCGTAGTACCCGGATTTTACCCCCCTCGCGCCATTTAATATACAGCTGAGAAAAGTTGGCTGTGATTGTTCCCAAACCTTGCAACCAATCCATACCTAGGACGACGTCCACACTGCCCAATTGGATAAAGTAGAATGTTTGTATAATGGTCCCCTCCTGTACCTCCAGTTGGACTCCCTCGCACACTCCTCTGCTTTGGTGTTGTGTACCTATTCCCAGCTCCACGCAATATGGGAGAGTCTCGGTCACTTTCAGGTTTAGCTTTTCTACCAGCCCGGTGTGTAAGAAATTACCCTCTGCTCCACAATCTACCAAAATAGTGACATCATGGCCTTGGAGGGTCTCCTATGCCATGAAGGATTTCTTAGTGGTGAATCCTTTCAAACTTGTAACGAGATCTTGAGTACTCGAAGTCCGGTTTCTAGAAAAGGTTCCTCCCCTCCAAAAGCCTCGCCCCGCTCTTCCTCTAATTTTTCCTCTTCGTTTTCCTCTACTAGTTCAAGTTGGTACTATCTGTACTTGCAGATGTGCTCTTTGTTCCATGGGTCCCCGCACTTGAAACATAACCCGCGACAGCTGCTTTCTTGAATTTCAGCTTGGGATAATCTAGGTCGTGTTTGGTTTAGCTGGGGTGGGTCTCGTTTGGGTTGGAAGTCTTTGGTTGTTTTATGGGCCCATGTTGTTGACTGCAAGGGAGATGAATTATTGGGCTTAGTCCATGTTCCCGTTTGCAAAGAATGGGAATTATGGGGCCTACTGTTACCAGCCCCTTGGGCCCAAGGTGTCACTTGACTATTTCTCCAGGCCCGATTTCTCTCTTCTAGAAGGATGGCCTTGTCCTTCATCGCCATTAACGACTCTAGCTCCAAGCTCCTCAATTCCGCACCAATCTCCTCCTGGAGCCCATTGAGGAAGATGCCGATCTGCACATCCTTATCAAGATGCTTGAGAGGTCGCGACAGTTTCTCAAATTCCTCTATATATTCAAGCACGGAACCAGATTGTTTCAGGCAGAATAGTGCTCCAAAGGGGTCCTTGCTCGGGCTTGGTTGGTAGCAGCCCAGTAGGGCATTTTTGAATTGGCGCCACGAAGGGACCACCGTCTGTTCTTCCCAAGCGTAGAACCAATTTAGAGCCATCCCTTCCAAGGCGAGGAGCACAACGTCAAGGCGTTCATCCCCCTCGATGTGTTGAAGAGTGAAGTATCTTTCGATCTTCACTAGCCAGTTGACTGGATCTTCGCCGGAGAAGATGGGGAGTTCTATCTTTCGTTCGCGGTCTGCCACAGGAGAGTAGTTGCAGCGATGATCTCAGAATGGGGAATGGTGGTGCCGACGTCGAAAGGTGTCTCGGTAGTGGGTGCAGTCGCGAGGAGACACAGAAGATCGTCTCCCGTCGTTTTTCGGTGAGACCGATGCCTCAGACATGGAGGTGGGTTTCCACCGTCCTGCGTCTCGGCGGTTAGGGGTCCTCGGTGGGGATCTGTCACGGCAGCGTGCTCGGCCCCGGACTGCCATTCGTTGCATCAGTTCTTCCAGTGTCTTCTCTACACACTCTAAACATTCCAAATCCATCGCTTCAACAAGAATCCCAGCACCAGGAAAGTGCTTTGATACCAATTGATAGGTATAAAAAACAGAAGGTTAAAGTATGTATTGAATTGGCTCAGTTGAGCAGAAAACAACAATGGGAAGAGAGCTCTCAAGCGGCTCTGCGCCCTAAGAATGAAGTAATTACCCAAGATGCCCATTCCCATTTGTAACCCAATTTATTTAAACTATTCTTGTTTCCTAAAATCATGCTCCTAACTACTGAAAACAGAAAACAATAACAAAAGATAAATAAAGATAAATCCTAAACAGAATATAACAGCCTATTTCCTAATTCCTCTCCTATAGTTTTGCTGCTTATAGACCTTCAGCCCTTCCGGAAACTTGTCTCTAACATAGCCCAAGGCTGCAATGCACCAGATTGACTACTTGCTGATGAATAAAAGGGGAAGGTGTCTGGTGGTACCAGAATATTTTAGCAACAGAAGGATGATTTCCTTTGCAGTACCTTACGGTCCCTTGGGTTCTATATGGAGGCAGGTTGGGGAGATTATTATCAGATTTGTTGGTGTTTAATTCTGTGTCTGCGAATAGTGAAAGCGGAAGATTACCACTCAGAAGTTTCTCGAGAGATTGCACTGAATTTTAGGGACATCAGAGTAACATCCTTTTTACCATTTTTCTTTGCCCGAGAGAGAGACAGAGAGGATAAACACCAGCTGAGTTTTAACGATCTAAATATCCTGCGTATCTATCAAGATGGATTATATCTATACCGTGTTTCCAGACCTTGTAAAAGACCCATGGATTGTAGCTCCTTACGTACTACTTGAGCAAAAGGCAAGATAAAATTTAAGACACTCCATTCTCAATTCCATTAGAGGAAACCCTAGGAAGCATCACTCTATTCTCACCAGTCTCCCCCACAATTCATGCACCATATCACCGGTTCCCCTTTACAGCCGATCAAAAACACTTTCCATGTAAACTAAGTGAACAAAAACCAGAAAGTTAAAAATGAAAATAACAATAACAAAACAAAAACCTACAATGAGAGGCCTTCCGATTGGTAACGAAATCAATGCCCAAAAAGTTTAGAGTGAGAGGCCTATAATAAGCAAACAAGTATATTACCAGAAGTGTAGTGACGGCAAGTTGAAGCTGCCATGGCAGACACTGACGTTTGACGGTGAATTTGCGAAGATCCATTTTCATTTTCTTCCTTTCAGAAATTGTGAAGCAGCAGAACGGACATCCAAGTTTGTAAACAAGTATTCCACTTAACCGGTTTCAAGAGCCGATGGGCCTATAATTTTGAGTGGGCTGCCCCACGTCTTACACGAGGAATGATAAAAGAAAAAACCAATAAAAGTTAAAAAATACATATTTTTATCTTTTTACTGGTTAATAAATAAAAAATAAATAAATTTAAAATGTTAGATAAGTTATAGTCAATAAAAGTATATTAACTTTTTTACGAAAATAAATAGTTTATAAAATTATTGTACATATAAATTGATAATAAGAAATGTATATTCTTAATTTTTATGTTTGATAATAATAAATACATATTTTTAATTTGTAATATATAAATGTAAAAAATAAAAATTTAGAAAATAAATTAAAAGAAACATGAAAGTGAAAATAAATAGTCTAGATTTATTAATTTTAAATTTTAAATAAAAATCTTTTATATTATTTGATGGTCTAATAGAATTATTAGTCATAATAAATTTAAAAATAAATTAAATATGTAAAATAAATTATTAAATATACTTGTATGTTGCGTTTTTTGTTTATATTTTTTATTAAATTATTTTATTTAAAATATGTATAATTTAATTGTAAAAAAGATACATTAAAAAATCATAAATGTATTATTTACTAAATGGTAATAAGTATTTATTATATTAAATAATATTAATTGTAGTTAAGAAAGATTATGAAATATTTTATTATATACAATATTATTTTAGGTATTTTTTATGTTTTTTTTTTACTACTTTTGTCAATAAGAAATTTTATTTTTTATTAAAATTAATTTTGACATATAATTGATTATAATTAAATACAAGTTTTAGTAAATATAATTTGATATAATTTAATGATTATTTTTGTAATTTTTATTAAAAAAAATATATTGGTGTAGTAACATGTCTATGAACAAATAATAGCAATATGATAAATTTTTGAGGGTTTGTAGTAATTTTGAAAATCGGACTGGTATTTTACTCATTTTGCGGGGCTTCACTCATATGTTTGATTTTGCATAAAACAAAGCTTAGAAACAAAAGATATTATTTTTGCAATTTATTTTGTAGCTACTACTCTCCAACTTAGTTATACTGTTTTTACGATATTTTGAGTTACAAATGAAGTTTTGAAGCGATTTCTGATTCATTGTAAAGCTTTTTTTTTAAGACTTCAGTCTAATGACCAATTTTGTGGGAAATGGAGACCAAAGTTGAAAGATATCTCGAGTTATGCTTTGAAAGAATCACATCCCTCATGAGCATTTTCGAACGAAGTTTACTATTTCGGCGATATCTCGAGTTATGGTTTAAGTTTTAAGATGATTCTTTTTTCGTTGTGAAACACTTTTCATGGGCTTTACTCTAGAGTCTGAATATGTAGAAAACTAAGCCTATAAACAAAAGCTATGACCTTCGAAACTTGTTCTACTCGCTGCACTTTCTACCACATTTTATTGTTTCGGTGATATCTTGAGTTGCGGACGAGTTTTGAGCCAGTTTCAGATTCATTTGGAAGCACCCATCAGAGACTTCAGTCTGGAGTTTGGTTTTCCAAAAAGTAGATCTCGTACATAAAATTTCGAAGCTCTCGTCAGGAGCTTCACTTTGGAGTCTGGTTTTGCAAAAAACAGATCTCGGACTTGAAAGATATGACCTTCGCAGTTTGAGCGTTTTCGGGCAGCGTTTACTGTTTCGACGATATCTCGAGCTACAGGCCGTGTTTCGAGACGATTCTTTTTTTGTTGCGAAGCTCTTTTCTGCGGCTTCACTGTGGACTCTGGTTTTGTAGAGAACAAAGCTCACAGATGAAAGCTATGACCTTCGCAACTTGTGTAACACGGATACACTTTCAGCCCTATTTTACTGTTTCGGTGATATCACTAGCTGCGGGACGAGTTTTGAGCCAGTGCTTGATTCATTTCGAAGATCTCGTCAGGGGTTTCACTCTAGAGTCTGGTTTTGCGGAAAACAGGTCTCAGACCTGAAAGATATGGCCTTCGCAGTTTGTTGCGACTATATGCAACCCCCAGATTCTGAGCGTTTCCGGGCAGCGTTACAGTTTCGACGATATCTCGAGCTGCAGGCCATGTTTCGAGACGATTCTTTTTTTGTTGCGAAGGACTTTTCTGGGGCTTCACTGTGGACCCTGGTTTTGTAGAAAACAAAGCTCACAGATGAAAGCTATGACCTTCGCAACTTGTGTAACACGGATACACTTTCAGCCCTATTTTACTGTTTCGGTGATATCACTAGCTGCGGGACGAGTTTTGAGCCAGTGCTTGATTCATTTCGAAGATCTCGTCAGGGGTTTCACTCTAGAGTCTGGTTTTACGGAAAACAGGTCTCAGACCTGAAAGATATGGCCTTCGCAGTTTGTTGCGACTATATGCAACCCCCAGATTCTGAGCGTTTCCGGGCAGCGTTACAGTTTCGACGATATCTCGAGCTGCAGGCCGTGTTTCGAGACGATTCTTTTTTTGTTGCGAAGGTCTTTTCTGGGGCTTCACTGTGGACTCTGGTTTTGTAGAAAACAAAGCTCACAGATGAAAGCTATGACCTTTGCAACTTGTGTAACACGGATACACTTTCAGCCCCATTTTATTGTTTCAGCGATATCTCTAGCTGCGGGAAGAGTTTTGAGCCAGTTCTTAATGCATTTCGAAGATGTCGTCAGGGGCTTCACTCTATAGTCCAGTTTTGCAGAAAAAAGATTTCAGACCTGAAAGATATGGCCTTCACAGTTTGTTGCGACTATATACGACCCCCAGATTCTGAGCGTTTTCGGGCAGCGTTTACTGTTTAGACGATATCTCGAGTTACAGGCCGTGTTTCGAGACGATTCTTTTTTTGTTGCGAATCTCTTTTCTGGGGCTTCACTGTGGACTCTGGTTTTGTAGAAAACAAAGCTCACAGATGAAAGCTATGACCTTCGCAACTTGTGTAACACGGATACACTTTCAGCCCTATTTTACTGTTTCGGTGATATCTCTAGTTGCGGGACGAGTTTTGAGCCAATTCTTGATTCACTTAGAAGATCTCGTCAGGGGCTTCACTCTAGACTCTGGTTTTATGGAAAAAAGATCTCGGACTTGAAAGTTATGGCCTTCGCAGTTTGTTGTGACTATGTGCGACCCCCAGATTCTGAGCATTTCTGGGCAGCGTTTACAGTTTCGACGATATCTCGAGCTGCAGGCCGTATTTCGAGACGATTCTTTTTTTGTTGCGAAGGTCTTTTCTGGGGCTTCACTATGGACTCTGGTTTTGTAGAAAACAAAGCTCACAGATGAAAGCTATGACTTTCGTAATTTGTGTAACACGGATACACTTTCAGCCCTATTTTACTGTTTCGGTGATATCTCTAGTTGCGGGACGAGTTTTGAGCCAATTCTTGATTCACTTCGAAGATCTCGTCAGGGGCTTCACTCTAGACTCTGGTTTTATGGAAAACAGATCTCGGACTTGAAAGATATGGCCTTCGCAGTTTGTTGTGACTGTTTCCAACCCCTAGATTCTGAGCGTTTCCGGGCAGCGTTTATTGTTTCGACGATATCTCGAGCTACAGGCTGTGTTTCGAGACGATTCTTTTTTTGTTTAGAAGCTCTTTTCTGGGGCTTCACTCTGGACTCTGGTTTTGTACAAAACAAAGCTCACAAATGAAAGCTATGACCTTCGTAACTTGTGTACCACGGATACACTTTCAGCCCTATTTTACTGTTTTGGTGATATCTCTAGCTGCGGGATGAGTTTTGAGCCAGTGCTTGATTCATTTCGAAGATCTCGTCAGGGGTTTCACTCTAGAGTCTGGTTTTACGGAAAACAGGTCTCAGACCTGAAAGATATGGCCTTCGCAGTTTGTTGCGACTATGTGCGACCCCCAGATTCTGAGCGTTTCCGGGCAGCGTTTACAGTTTCGACGATATCTTGAGCTACAGGCCGTGTTTCTAGACGATTCTTTTTTTGTTGCGAAGCTCTTTTCTGGGCTTCACTGTGGACTCTGGTTTTGTAGAAATTAAAGCTCAGAGATGAAAGCTATGACCTTCGCATTTTGTGTAACACAGATACACTTTCAGCCCTATTTTACTGTTTCGGTGATATCTCTAGCTGCGGGACGACTTTTGAGCCAGTTCTTGATTCATTTCGAAGATCTCGTCAGGGGTTTCACTCTAGAGTCTAGTTTTGCGGAAAACAGATTGCGGACTTGAAAGATATGGCCTTCGCAAGTTGTTGTGACTGTTTCCAACCCCTAGATTCTGAACGTTTCCAGGCAGCGTTTACTTTTTCGACGATATCTCGAGCTACAGGCCGTGTTTCGAGACGATTCTTTTTTTGTTGCGAAGCTCTTTTCTGGGGATTCACTGTGGACTCTGGTTTTGTAGAAAACAAAGCTCACAGATGAAAGCTATGACCTTTGCAACTTGTGTAACACGGATACACTTCCAGCCCTATTTTACTGTTTCGGTGATATCTCTAGCTGCGGGAAGAGTTTTGAGCCAGTGCTTGATTTTTTTCGAAGATCTCGTCAGGGGCTCCACTCTAGAGTCCAGTTTTGCTGAAAACAGGTCTCAGACCTGAAAGATATGGCCTTCGCAGTTTGTTGCGACTATATACGACCCCCAGATTCTGAGCGTTTCCGGGCAGCGTTTACTGTTTAGACGATATCTCGAGCTACAGGCCGTGTTTCGAGACGATTCTTTTTTTGTTGCGAATCTCTTTTCTGGGGATTCACTGTGGACTCTGGTTTTGTAGAAAACAAAGCTCACAGATGAAAGCTATGACCTTCGCAACTCGTGTACCAGGGATACACTTCCAGCCCTATTTTATTGTTTTGGTGATATCTCTAGCTGCGGGACGAGTTTTGAGCCAGTGCTTGATTCATTTCGAAGATCTCGTCAGGGGTTTCACTCTAGAGTCTGGTTTTGCGGAAAACAGGTCTCAGACCTGAAAGATATGGCCTTCGCAGTTTGTTGCGACTATATGCAACCCCCAGATTCTGA